TCAAACTGCGTGAGTCGTTTCAAGTCGGGCGCATCTCAAAAAACTGTCGAACCATTCCAAATGCAACCTAGGGTTTTTAATTTTGGGAAAAATAACTTTTTCAAGCATTTTCCGAGCATTTTTCAAGTCTCTCGAGCCCCATTTTCCGGAAAATTCGAAAAAAAGATCGTTGATTTCATTTTTGAGTATTTTTCAATACTCCTCTTTTCACATAGAACAAGTTTCAACCCAAAAAATCGATTCCGAACTTCAAATATTGAACACCCTTTTGCGCTGTAACGTTACGTCAGTAACCTGAGCCATCTTTTTTCGCCTTTCACCGCTCATTTTTTTTTATTTTTGTTGGCAGCTTCTTCCGTTTTACACTACGTAGAGACAGGTCTTCCCGATTTTTTTCCACTTTCTTTCTTTTTTGCTTGGGCTTTCAATAATTTTAGAACTGAAAATTGAAAAAATCGCTGAAGAAAGGTGGCTATTTTGTGATTATAAAGTGTGCTCTATCGCTAAATTTTGAAAAAATTTCGATTTTTAGGGATTTTTGAGAGTATCATCGCACAGATTAGTTATGATAGTATGTTAAACTTGAAAAATGGCTTTTTTTCAATTTTCTTTCTCTTTTTGCTTGGGCTTTCAATAATTTTAGAACTGAAAATCGTCGAAGAGCGGCTATTTTGTGATTATAAAGTGCGCTCTATCGCTAAATTTGGAAAAATTTGATTTTTAGGGATTTTTCAGAGTATTATCACACAGAGTAGTTATGATAGTATGTTAAACTTGAAAAATGGCTTTTTTTAAAGTTCAAATGTGCTCCACTGATAAAAATATCGTGCACCTGACCATTCTCGTTCAAAATTTCATTCTGAATGGTCTAATTTTTTTATAATTGATGTTTTGAGTCTCTAGTAATTTCCAAGGCTTTTTTTTCGATTCAAATAAGCTCTACTGCTAGAAATTTGAAGCCTAGGCCTCAATTTTTCAAAATTTCAATTTTAAAGCCGCCTAGCATTTTTTTTTAGCTTTTTCGTATCCAAAAAGTTTCGAAGCAGAAAAAAAGAGAAAAAAAAAGCTTTTTTCCAGTAAAGTCGCCCATAAAAAGAACGGTGTACAACTTTCCCACCGAGTGAGCAAACAAAGATTCCGGGCCGATTTTCGAATTCCTAATTTCCTTTTCTCACATGAATATATCGTTCCTTCGCCTCGTGAAAAACGCTTTTTTCCTTCTTTTCAAAACTACTTTTTTCATGGATTTGTAGAACCAAGCTTTTGCTTCGGAATTAAATTTGAAGATTTTTTTGAAGATTGAAAAGCTTTATTGCGTTTTTAAAAGCTTCATGTCACTTCTAAAAGTTCAAATTTATAAAATGAGACTTTAGAAAGTGAGGAGCGTTTCAAAAATTGAAGAATAGTTCAAAAAGGGCTGATTTTGTGGGGATAAATCCAAGATTATCTTAAAAAGACCAGTCTAAATCGAGTCAAGTGTGTTTTGAGGTTTATAAGTCAAGATTTTCGACTTTTCCAACCCTCTCGGCTACAAGAAAATGGCTAAAATGTTTCTGGTATACTTTGAAACCTTAGAACTAGGTATTATTAACTGTTTGAAGCTTGTAAAGCACAAAAACGGAAAAAATTTTAAAAAAAAAAAAAAATCTCATTTAATTTTTTTGAGACCGAGTAAATCAAGTTTCAAAAAAAATCGATTTTGATTTTTTAAACTCTATTGAATCCTTTCTTAAGGCCCATTTTGAAAAAGCTAAAGCTTGGAGCTTTTTACAGCAAGAAATATGGAGAAGGAAGGCAAAAATTCAGCTTTAAGACTATTTAAAATTCCCAGATTCGAAATTTTTCAGTCGACAAGTCTAATTTCAAGAAAAAAAAGCTATCAAGTTCAAATTCTGACTCTCAGGAGATCCTAGGGGCTATCTTTAGAAAAAAAAAACGAGTCCATCAAAGATTTTTTTTTGAGCAAAGAAAATTTCAATCCCTCTGCAAAAATGACCTTCCATGTGGAAGAAAATCAAAATTGCTCCAGATAAACCAAAATTTTTTTCGTTTTAAGGCAACATATGTATATGAAATTAGAAAAAGAAGCCTGAAGACTAAAAAAAGCTCTATTAAAGGCGCAGACAGGTTAACGCTTTATTAGGTTCGAGGTTATTTTACTTTTCCGTTGGGATTTTCTTGAAAATTGGCCGGAACACTTCTTGATGTACTAGAAGAAGATTCTAAAAGCCTCAACCTGTAAAAATTCCTCGTTTTTGAGAAAATACGTCTAGAAGTCCAAGAAAATGGCTATTTTGGGAATTTGGACCCTTATTTCTTGAGAAATAGGTGATTTTGCAAATTGAGACTTTCAGGATCTCCATCTGGTACATCAAGAAGGGTTCTGAAAAAGTTTAAGGAAACTCCCAAGCGTAAAGTGAAACGACCTTTTTGTGAGAGCTTTCAGAAAAAATCGAATATATGGTCAAATTTCAGTTTTTTGGCACCGGACCCAATATGACAAAATTACAGATCCGTGCAAAAAATTAGGGCCTAATAAGATTAGAAATTCATCTATGCGAAAAATGAGAAAGAAGATCAGTAAAAATTTCCAAGATGGACCATTCCGAATCGATTTCCCCCTTGCCTCGTTTCACGGCGGCGGATGAGTAGAAAAAGTAGACTGACCTGAGGACGGAACGGCTCGGCCTCCTGTACCAGGTCCGACGTCCTTTCTCTGCGTCTCCACACGACCCCCCTTGTTCTCTCGGGGGAAACGTCGGACGGCGCGCCGCGCGTTTCGCCCCGCCCACTCTTGCTGGTGCTGGTACACGGAAAATGGGTGCCGTTCAGTCCATTCCCACTTGGTTTCAGTGTTTTTTCTTCATCTTAATGTTGGCATTTTTTTAGAATTCGAGAGGGATTTTGAAATTTTTCCGATCATTGACCGATTCTTGAGCATGGCATTTGCCCCCCCCCGCCTCATCTTGCTGGTGCTGGTACACGGAAAAGGGGTGCCGTTCAGTTTATTCTCACTTGGTTTTAGTTTTTTCTTCATCTTAATGCTGGCTTTTGCCAGAAATCGGAGTTTTGAAATTTTTCCGATCATAGGCAGACTTCTAAGCATGACATTTGCATCGATTTGTTCTATAAATGCTTGATTTAATGGAAATTTTTGACAAATTTGCTATTATTTTCAAGTTTATCCACACCAAAACTAGGTTGGGATAATACCTATGACCTTCTCCGTCATGAAAATCCTCCCTTCCATTAAAAAAATCCCGATTTTTTTCTAAATTTTTTGTACTGATTTTTCAACCACGTTTCCAATTTTTTTCTTCCTTTTTTTATACTTTTTTTGGAAATTTCATCTGTCAGCGTTGGCTTGGGATTGAATTCGCGACCTTTTTAACCAAAATAATCATTGATCGATCCAAATTCTACCTGATTTTTTTGTTGCTAGAGTAGAAAAAAATGATACTATTTATAGGACTTTTCTGATTTTCGCCATTTTTGGGACGTTTTTTTCATTTTTTCTTATTTTTTTGCCAAGAATTTTGAGCTCGGATGAAGCCTGGTACTCTGGAATACCTGAAAAATAAAATTAAATCCTTTTTTTCGATTTTTTGTCCCTGGGATCGAACTTGTGACCGTTTGGATCATAGACAGTTCCTTTAACCGTTGCGCCATACGGCTTTTATTGATTTTCTGCCATTTTTCGTGAAAGGGAAAACTTTTGAGGTTTTTATGAACGGTTTTTGCTACAAAAAACTGAGCTGGGATCGAACTTGTGACCTTTTTGATGATGAACAGAGTCTCTGGCCACTGCGCCATTGAATATCAATTGATTAGTTGTGCGATTTGTTGATAAAAAGGTGCCAATCAAGTTTTTTCATGAATTTATCGATTTTCTACTGTCTTTCTTCTTTTTTCTGTGTCTCTTTCGTTGAGTTTGCACAGAAATTTGAAAAAATCCTGTAAAATTATTTTTCAAGCCTTTTTTCTCCATTTTTTCATCATTTTTCGATCAATAATCATTGAAAAAACAATTTACGACGTCAAAAATAATAATGAAAAAGGTCGATCAATCGCCTCGCAATCATTTTTATCAATCGCCCACGTGTTTCCCATTTTTCCATCATAACTGACTCACATATTTTTTTGCTGTTTGCTCCAGCTTTTTCCGCTTTTTCCCGACCCCTCTTCATCATCAATATTTGCCAATCTGACTGATCAAATTTTTCAATCATTTTTTTCTGGTTTCTATACAGAAATTTTTGAGCATTAAAAAAATAATTTTTCCTCTTTTTTTATTTATAGCTATTTTTCATTGCAGAAATCGAAAAAAACATTCATTTTCCTGGTTATTCTGAATTTTTCAAGCTGGAACTTTAAAAAAATTCCAATTTTTTTCAATTTTTTTAAAAATTTTTTTAGACCTGGTTTCAGTGAAAATATCGATTTTCCCTCATTTTCCTGGGTTTTTATCAATATTCAGTACTTTTTAAAGTTATTCCCGATATATTTTTCATTCTTTCCAAGCTTTTTCTAATAAGAAATCAATGAAGAAATCACAAAAACTGAGGAATTCCTGTTTATCAAAAGGCTTTTATCACACCTCATGTTTTATGAGTTGATAAAAATTGACTTTTTCTCAGTTTAAAACGATTTTTGAACTTTTTTTGACCTTTTTTCCAAAAAAATGAAAGGAAAAACAATAATTGCGAATTTCTATGCACCAGAGTCGGAATTTTCATATTTTTTGCCGTTCGATTGCTTTTAAAAAAATGGTCTTTTTTTCATTTTTTACATTGTGACCCTTTTAAGCTTCGTGTTAAGCTCCGCAAAACCGATCAAAAAAATCACGAAATAAAGAAATTCCAGTTTATCAACGAATTCTTATCACCACAGTTCAAGTTTCATTGGTTTGGCACTTCAAAATGATAAAAATCCTCCATTTCCAACGTTTCAATCAATCTTTAGCCTTTTTGACCTTTAAAATGTATCAAAAAGCGTGATTAATGCCTCAAATAGGCGTGAACGGAGGGACCGCCGTCTGCAAAAAGCGCTCCGAGCGGGTCATGTTTGTCGAATATTACGAAGATCAACAAAGACCGGGCCGGACGGGGAAGAAGAACGCTTACGTGTGCTCTTCAGCCTTCCAACCGTCTTTCTCCAAGTCTTTTCATTCATTAATTAACGGGAAATTTGCATAAAATAAACAATGAAACCGAAATGAATTTATTTTGGTTTCTGTCGTCAACTTTTGCGCGTTGTCCGTGAAAACTCTGACGCAAAGGATGTTCGGCGAAAATACGCGCCTTTTTTTCGATCATTTTCCTCCATTGATCTTTGCATCATCTCTCAACAGGTTTGTATTTCCTTTTGTTATTGATGGAAGGTGGAACTTTAATTTTTCTTCTTAGCCTTCTGGTATCCTAAGTCACAACGTTTTGACTAGTAATTGACTAAAATCTGAAGGAAATCGATAATTTCAAGCGAAAATGCTTTTTTTTATATTTTTGTCGTGACATTTGTGTTTTTTTCCGTGAACACTATGACGTAAACGCCCAATGACGGAAATACGCGCCTTTTTCGAAATTGTTTCGTCTTTTTCTTTTTTTCTATTCATCTTCAGTATTTTCGTGAATTCTTTTGTTTTTTTGGATATTGCTTTATCTTTGTATTCAAGCATTTGGGTTTTTCCGTTTTTTATTGTCTAAGTTTTAAAAAAACATCGAATCGAAGATTTGATCCATGTTGGGATCATTTTAAATTTTTTATGACCTTTGCGTTCTTACGTGAACACTTTGACACGTTAGTCATTTGGCGGTAAACATGAATCCTTTGCGTTTTTTTCAAAATCTTGTTTTGAAAAATTTGCATCATCTCTTAATTTTTTTACTTTTTTTCGTTGTCAACGAAGGCAGGGTCGTTATTTTTGTTCTTCATCATTTTTCTTTGACTAGTGACAAGATTGTATTTGAAAAAGAAATAATTCATAAGTTTCAGCGAAAAATTTTTTTCAATTTTTTTGTCGTGGCTTTTTGCGTTTTGTCCGCAAGCACTCTGGCGGGAACGTCGATTGGCGGCAAATACGCGCACTTTTCGAACTTTTGTCATCTTCTTCTTTCTATGCATCATTTCTCAATGTTTTCATAGTTTCCGTCGTTATCTAGACGTTCACAAGCTTCCACTCGCGCTCGTAAAACCGTTCTCATCATCATGATCTCTCTGATTGCTTTTGTCCATTCACTTTGCAAATTGACGATGATGGTCTTATATGGAAATTTGATTCTTCTTCCGGTATTCATTGGAAAAGACGACGAAAAAGTATACGACGACCACCGTGTATTTGGTTTGCAAACGCGGCAATTCTTAAGGATTCATTTTTTTTTTCTCCTCCTTATTTGTCCCCTCTATTCACACCGTTCTCGTAATATTCGTTGTTAGTTGCGTTGTCCTACTTCCTCGATTTATTTTGAGTATATTTTTCCAGGTTTGGGTCAGCCTCGATCACTGCCGTTTTGACAGCAGTCCATTGTTTTTAATTTTTTGTGAGTTGAATAAAAAAATTCCAGCTGAAAAAAAATTTTTTTTAGCGCCGTCTTTTTTCAAAATGACGACGGCTTTGGCGGCACTCCCGCGGCCCACTGACCCACGCTTTTTCCAGGCCCCTACTTCTTCTCGTCTTGCCAGGTTTTATATCATATTAATCGATTCAAAAGTTATTTTTAGGCTTGAAATCCCCCAAAAAAAGGACACGGAGTTTGTGCGTGGCAACATCATCTCGGATCCACAGTCTTCGGGATCTTATTATATCGAGACGTATCTTGGAAAGGTTCATTTTTCTTCGATTTTCATGTTAATAATGTGAGAAACGATGAATCACCACGTGAAAAATGTGTGTGAAAACGTACGATGTGTCACTTTTTTCATGTCTTTTTCTCCGAATCGTTTTGGAAGCTCTTGTTTCGAGGGATTGATTTTTTAGACAGTAAATTGGGATTTTATTCAGTTTCAGTTCTTTCAAAAGTGATTTTTTTAATATGTATTCTAGTTTTTTCGTTTTTCGCAAGCTTTCCAGCCGATGGTTTCCCAAAAATATTTATGATCATATTGAAATTAATTAAGATTACCATTTAAAAAAACTATTATTTTAAATCTATGAGCCGTAAAGTAGTGCAAAACTGTGCAGCGAAGGGCAAGAGCTTTTTTTTTGTTCTTTTCGATTTCGGAAGACTTTTTTTCCATTGGACTTTGAGTAGATGGGGACAGATGAACCATAAAAAAAGGCCGCGAAATTCAAAAAACCGTCGTGTCATTTGGGAACAGATGGGAGAAGGATGGTGTATGGACGTATTTTTTTTTACTTTAAAGAAAAATTCTGAACTTCGAATTTAGGATATTATTATGTGTGCAAAAGTTGAATTTTTTTCAAATTTTTTTCTTTAAATTTTTCTAGTTTGACGTTTTTAGTATATGAAGCATGTTAGAATACTTTTGCCGTAAAATTTGAAAGCGAAAAAGTTTAAAAAAATTGGCAAAAATAACAGTTTAATCGAGTTTTCGCTTCAAGACTTCATTAGGAAACTATGCGCTCATAATCGCGGATCGGGTTCAAACTTTCTTGATTTATAAATCTAAGGATGATTGCTTAAAACAGGCATTTTTTTTTCTATTAAACTTAATAAGGTGCCGAGAAAAAGCTTGTTGAAAGTTAACAGGTTGAAAATTATCAAATTGCTGATTTTCTCCTATTTTTTGGCAGGAAATTCATTAATGTTCGTCTTAGGAACTCCAGAGTGGTCCCTATAGGGGCAACCTTAGAGACATTTGAAAGATCCACTCTAGGGACAACTTTACTAATTAAATAGTCGAGAATTGTTATGAACTCTGAGCGAAGAAGCATTTTCATGATAAAAACTGGACAAACTGGACGTCTTTTGAATGATGTTAAAAGACCCCTATAGGGTCCACTTGAGCTTTATGGGCTAAGGGATCAGACCCTAAACCTCTATATGAACCATAACTTTAACCTTGTAGGGACCCTTTTTTCGACCCCTATAGGGGCTGTTTTCCCTCTAACCCCTATAGGGACCACTCTGGGATTCCTAAAGGTATCTGGATCTGTTCATTTCTCACAAATTTTTTGCCAGAACTTTATCAAAATTTGATCAGAAAATTTTCCATGATCAGAATGTTATTCAAACGATTTCAAATCTTCTCAAGAACCTGTATTGTTCCGAAACACTTAGTTGATGTGCGATTAATTGGTTGAAGCACTGTGGAAGCCTCCCCCTACGGAAATGGCGTTTTGTCACGCGACGGTCCTGGCAGATGTCCTCCGCGTTTTATTGCACCCATGCAAATGCGTGTGCGGTTTTGGTTGTGTGCGGGTGGTAATTAACGGTGTGTGTGTATTTGGATGTGTGCGGATGGATTGGAATGGAAAGAAATTAAGAGTTTCCGAGGAGACTGGTTTTGTGGATCAGTTTGAACTGTTTGGTGAGGGTTTGTAGAGTTCATTTTTTGATCTGAGGACCCTAGGACGTTTTAAGGAAGTTTTAGAGCTACTAAATCCCAAGTAAGGTGAAAAATAAGGTTCAAGTTCGATTAGAAGTCGTAGTTTTTCCAATTCGGTATATATTTTTAGAGGGACTGGTTTTATAGATTATTCTAACTGTTTCGTGAAGGTTTATAGGGTTCATTATTCGATTTAAGGAGCCTAGGACGTTTTAGGGTAGTTCTAGAGCCAAGAAGTCGCAACTAAGGTGAAAAATAAGGTTCAAGTTCGAGTAGAAGTCGTAGTTTTTCCAATTCGTATATACTTCTAGAGGGACTCGTTTTGGGGATCAGTTTGAACTGTTTTGTGAAGGTTTATAGAATTCATTTTTCGATTTGAGGGGTCTAGAAGGTTTTAGGGTAGTTTTAAAGCTAATAAATTGCAAGGTAGGTGAAAAATAAGCGTTAGGTTCTTAGAAAAGTCGCGTTTTTACCGATTCGATATATACTTCTAGAGGGACTCGTTTTGTGGATCAGTTTGAACAGTTTTGTGAAGGCTTATAGAATTCATTTTTCGATTTGAGGGGTCTAGAAGGTTTTAGGGTAGTTTTAAAGCTAAGAAATTGCAAGGTAGGTGAAAAAAATAAGATAAAAATTTTTAGGATAAATGATATTTATTAGTTTGATGACCTTTAGAGGGACTGGTTGAACCGTTTGGAATCTTTTTCAAGCGTTAAAGCATTATTTTTCGCTGTAAATCAAGTTTTTTATTTTTTATTTTATTTGATAGCCTGTAACTTGAATCATTTGAACTTAAAAATTGGATTTCAAGTGTAATCAACGTTTTTTTTTTTGCGAGTTTGGACGAAAATTAGTGATCTTCGAGTATACTCTATTGCATTTTTGAAAAAAATAACTTTTTAAATGAAATTTTTGGATCTCGTGGATTAAAAATCGCATAATGAAAAAAATCTTGAGATTAGTTTTTTTCTGACTACGGAACGATTTATCGCTATTTTGAGCTTGTGAAATGTCCTAACTCGAAAACGAGATCTATTGCGAGGAATTTTTCTTTTTGTTCTGGAATCAGGAGGTCCTAAAAGTACACTTCAGCAAAGTTTCAGCAAAAGTTCAAAGCGGGGGATGGAGGGGGGGAGATTCCGATTTTTTTCCTACCAAGAATCAACTTTTTCTAGTCATCAATCTCTCGCGATTCAGTAACTAACAGGACCCATTAGTTTTCCCCCATATCATTGAGTCTTTAACGGCCTCCAAATGAACTGCAGGGAAAGGACATTTGGTTGTTGACGGATGGATAGATGAGCTGCCAGCAGCCTCCGAACAGTCGAACCTAGTGGAGGTCAGACCAGAGAGGAGCCCTCTCAAGTGTGTTGGTTGGTCCGAAGAGAGGCCATTTGTCCTTTTTTCCGCCGCTTTGCCGCACCTCCGCCATTCATCTGTCATTCACACCTTCTCTACTCTGTCTCTTTCGCCGCAGATTTTCTATGACTTTTGTCTCAATTGGATCGGAAAGGAGATTGATATCTACTGCCACCATCTGGGGTGGTGGTAATCGGAGGCTTTTTGAGCTGCTGGGTGTCGCGAAATTCAAGGGGTTTCGGAAGAGTTTTGTGAAGAACTAATCGGAGGCAAGGGTTTTGTGAAGAAGGCTTACTGTTTGAGAAGAAGACATGGAGATTTTAATTTTGGAGGGGATCAGAAATTTTTTTGCGGAATCGAGTCTTTACCCAGCACGTTTGAGATCAGTGGATAGAGAGCGAATAAAAAAAACCCATTAAAAATTGGATTTTGATGATCTTTAAGAAGTCCTGTGGATGGTTATCATCTCAAATTTATTATAATTCGTTTCTTAACTTGAAATTCTTAAAAAAATATGAAATTTCTGAGTTTTTTTGAAGATTTAAGCTCAGTTCTTGATTAGATCATGTTTTTAAAAAAATTAATATTTTGGTCAAGGATTCAAAAAAAGAAAATAAGCTTCAAAAAGTTTCATTTTTTTCAACTAGACAATGATCGAACAACTGTTTGGGCAGCTTGATTGGATTTAGCACTGAAAGCTCGGCAAAACTATTCGGAATTATCGCCAAATCCTGGACAAATACTAATCCTCGCCATATAGGCTTTACAACCGCAGATGTTCCCTCCCCATTCTACTTCTTCATTAAGAGGATTTGGCCGGCTTGGGAAAATCGGAATCGAGAAATGGGATCAACCGTTTATTGCATAATTACCTGCTTGTGTTGGAAAAAATGAAAGAGAGAGGTTTTTGGAAGGGAACGGAAACAGAATGGGATTTATTTTTATAACTTTAAGCTTCAAACAGAATAATTTTGGATATAAATGAACTGAGCAGTCCATAAAAAATAAGGAAAAAAAAAAAAAAGCGCTGGGAAAATTTTTAGTGGTCACTATAGAGGCTCACCAATGACTACTTGGAGAGGACACTAAAGTGGCCACTGAACCCATCTCTATAGGGGCCACTTAAGTAGTTTTTCATCCAATATTCCTTCCAGTAACTCTGATAATTTTAAAACAAACAGATTGGACCAGCTGTGTTGATTCATTGACCCCTAAAGTGGCCACTAAAAGTTTTAGTGTTCTAGTAGTAGCATTTAGACCTCTATAGTGGCCACTAACTTTTAACCCCTTAAGTGGTCACTGATTTGACTACTATACTGGCCATTAAAAATTTTCCCGGCGAATCAATTTTCTAATGAAAAGTTAATATTAACATGGCAACATTCTTTACAAATATTTAATAATTTAATATAACTTGGAAGATTTTTATAATGGGAACACACAACTTGTGATTTAAAAAAATCTGAAATGAGAAAAATGTGTCACGTTTCACGTTGCATTTCATTGCAGACTTTCGACTTTTTCAAAAAAATGAATGCTCGAAAAATGCAGTTTTTCCCTATACCTCTCATATAAAACTCAGTTGAAAATGGGTTGGATAGAGGTTTTTTTTATATAGTTTTTCGGTTTCTTCTCCTACTGGGAAGATTTATAGTGACCTCTTTAGGGTTTTCAAATTTAAGTGGCCATTATAGTGGTCGAATCAGTGGCTAGAATTTGTTGGCCTCTTTAGAAGTCGAAGTGTTACTATCGAACCAGGCAAAGTCAAAGGGGTTGAAAACTACTATAGTGGTAACTAGGACGCGAAAGAGGGACTTCTATAAGTTCTCAGTGGTCACTTTAGTGTCCTTGAGAAGTCTCTTAAGTGGTCACTAGAGATTTTCGCAGTATCGTTTTATGAAACCGTTTTGGAACCTTTTTTTGAAGAGTTTAAGCTCGAAAAAATTTTTTTTAACCTACCGTAAAGTATAAAAAAATATTATAAAAGACTTTGATTACAGGGAGGCTTCGCGCGATGTTACCAAGCTCGACTCGTGGATCCTCATTCCCTGCATTCGAACTGTCCGACGTCGTCTTCGCCGCCGATGGCCCTGAAAATCGTGCCGAAACGACGGCTCAACGGCTCACCGGACTATGCGAAAATGCACCGGGAGATTCGTCTTCATGCGACCGCGTCTCACTTGTAAGTCGGGGGAGGGTTGGGCGTGCTATAAAGTGCGGACGTTTACAAAATGCGATCGCTTTTTTTGGGCTCTAATGCAAGTTAATAAAATACGCGCGTTTCCAAATTGCGAACGCCTATAAAATGCGACCACTTTTTTTGGGCTCCAATGAAAATTAATAAAGTACGGACGTTTCTAAATCATATCTTTTTCACTCTTTCTGGCACCTTTTTTTCTTTCAAATATTGTTTTTTTTTCTATTTTTCTTTTCGATTCAAAAAATACTACGACGAAATTAATAAATTCATTACGATGAACTTTTTTTAATGGCTCGAGGTTTCTCATAAGTAGTTTCTGAAAAAAATATTTTTGTAAAGGTTATGAATCTGTAATAAACCAGGTATAAGATGAAAAATTGATTATTTTTACAAAAATAAATCTCGAAAAAAAGGCTTAAAAAAATAATACTGTCAAAAAGTTCAGACATGGCACTCCTATACTGAACAGAATGCTATTGAGAAAAATTAAAATTTCCTTTTTTTCTTCAAAAAAATGCCCGTTTTTTTATTAATTTGGAACACGAAAAAGCGGTCGCATTTTTGTAAACGCTCGCTCTTTATAGCATACTAGAAACGAAAAAAATTTAAAATTATATAAAGAGAAAATTAAGTGAAAAAGTTCTACCAATCAATATTTTTTTCAAATTACGCGCTTTAGGATTGTACAGAAATGATGAAGAAAAAAATGAAAAATTCATCAATTTTTAGTGAGAATGAAGGGATTTTCATTGATTGAGAAAGATGTCCCAAGGCCTTTTTAGTACAATTTTCGAATGAACTTTGGAAAAAGTTTGAGAAAATCGAAGAAAATTGCGAAAATTAGAAACTGTGCAACGGGAAAATTAAAAAAAATTTCAACCAGAAGACCAAAAAACGCATATTTTTCAAATGAGATGGTTCTTCCTGTTTGTACCATTCATTATGTAACTTTTAATTGATCGATTGATATCTTTTTCAAATATTCTTGACATCAGAACATTTTTTTCTTTACAAGTGCGGTTAGTTAATCTTATGTTCTATAGCTTGTACAGAAATATTGAATAAAAAAATGGATATTTATTAAAATTGATGAGAATGAAGGGCTCCTTGTTGATTTTTCCTCGGTTTTACCGGGTAACTTTTGAAGAAATGCTCGAAAAAAATCCAAGAAAAAAATGTATTTTTTGCCCATAGGTTCTTGTCAGCTTTTTCGGATACCTTTTGAAAGTATTTTTTTAACAATTTTTTATGATTTTTTTCAAAGAAAAAAAGTTGATTTTTCAAATAAAGACTTTCTACACAGTAAATGAGTGATCAAAAAAGAAGAAAAAATTGAGTAATCTTGGAAAAAAATATTATTTTTTTAAAATTGATCCTTCTGATGACTCATTTTGAGCTTCTTGAAGATATTTCCAAGTTTTGAAATTTTTTTAAAAAAATTCAAGATTTTTTGCAGCCAACACGAGAGCATTGTCCGATTTTTTTCGGCTATTTCGAGGATCCCGAACATTTCTACTTGAAATTGGAACTCTGCCAAAAAGAGACCCTTCTCGACCTCATTAACAGCTCCGAAAATGGTAAATTTGAAAAAAAAAACTCGATAAAGTTCAAAAACACTCAAGTGACCACTAATCAAGGTTGATTTATTTTTTTTTTTCCCGATGACTCATCCCCTATCTCTCCCTCGGTATCAAGTTCTCAATGAAAGAAGAGAAAGAAAAAAAGTTGGGGTCCGCCTATAAATCTTCCTGGGTGCCGTCGATTTGCAAATTGATAGGTTCCTATGGGTGGAATGGGATAGGAATAAAAAAAGGAACCGGTCCGGTTGAAAGGAGATTTTGGGTTTTTCTGGCATGAGGGAGGCTTTTTTTTTTGAAGTATTACCTTAGTTTAGGTCATTTTAAGGTGGATTTAGTGGGTTTGGTAGGGAGTTTTTTGGTTTTAGGAAAGGAGTTTTAGTTAAAAATTAGCATTTTCGTGGGTTTGATATTGTTTTTTGGTTCTAGGAAGGTTTTTAGGAGTTTTACCTAAGCTTGAGTTATTTTAAGGTGAATTTAGGGGAAAATTAGCTTTTTAGTGGGTTTCTTAAGGGGTTTCGAATTTCGAATATTGCAGATTCTATAAGTTCTTTAAATGAAGACTTTGGCGGTTAAAAAAGTTTAGGAAAACTTTCAATTTTTAGCCCCACAAGGGAGATCATTTTAGTTTTCGATTGGGATTTTTTTGAAAAATTGGCCAGAAAACTTCTAGATGTACCTGAAGACGATTCTGAAGGTCTCAATCTGAAAAAAGTCTTGGTTTTCGAGAAATAAGAGCTCAAAGTCCAAAAATAGCCATTTTTGAGATTTTTCTGTGGTTTTGAAGGGTTCTTTCTCGAAAAATAGGAAGTTATGCAGGTTGAGACTTTCAGAATCTTTTTTTTTTTGAGCATCTAGGAGTTTTCTGGTTGATTTTCGATATAATAATACCCAAAAATTGGAATTATATTTGTTTCAAGCGAAGCTCTAAGGCAGAAAGAAAGTATGAAGAAGGTTTTTTTCAAGTTTTATCCATCTAGGAATGGAAGAAATCACGGCGAAGCGGTATTTCAAGAACGTCATCGACGCTGTCGATTTCCTGCACCAGAAAGACATGCTCCATCGGGATATCAAGCCGGGAAACGTGTTCATTGGTTGGTTCTACTCGGAAATAATCATTACGGATGAGTTTTTTCCAGGACATGACGAAAAGGCGAAACTCGGCGATTTCGGGCTGACGATCCTGAAAACCCACGCGGTCCCCGGAAGCGTCAGCGGAACCCCCAATTATCTGTCTCCCGAGGTGGTTTTTGTAGAACTTCAAAAAGTTCAATAAAAAAAAGTACAAAAAACCGGATCAGTCAAAAGAAAGTGTTTGGTAACGCTACTAGAACATAGTCGGAATGGTAGATTAATTAGGAACCCCAGAGAGGTCCCTATTGGGTCAACTTTAAGGCCGCCTGGAGGGTCTTCTCTAGGGGCCACTAAAGCTTGCAAAAGTGGCCCCTATAGGGGACATTCTAGTCTGTAACTGTTAGGAGCTCTAAGCGAAGAAGGTTTTTCCATGGGAAAAAAACTGAATGAATGAGCGTTTTTTTGAATGAAATTGAAAGACCCCTATAGGGTTCACTTGAGCTTCAGAGGCTGGGGGTCGGACCACCTTGGTTTTACCCCTGTAGGAGCTGTTTTTCTCCCCAGCGCAAGGACCATTCAAAAATTCCTAAGAAGAGCTGAAAGACCCTATAGGGTTCACTCGAGCTTTAGGATCTAAGGGATCAGACCCTAAACCCCTATAGGGACCACCTTAATTATACCCCTATAATGACCACTCGAGCTTCAGGATCTAAGGGATCAGACCCTAAACCCTATAGGGCCCTCTTCAGGGATCACTTTTTCGGGCCTCATGGGGTTGTTTTCCCCCCTAACCCCTTGAGGGACCACTCTGGAATTCCTATAAATGGCCGCTAGAAGGGAGACTGTAGAAGGACCCTTCCTGTAAGAGAAGCAAAAAGGTTTTCTCGACTTTTTTGGAACCACGGGGTCCTAAAGACCCTCTGAGCGAGCTTTCTGAGCAGTTTTTGACTAGAATCGATTTTTGTCAAATTTTCAAGAGAATCGTTTCAGGTCCTGGGACACGCTGGCCACTCTTTTGCCTCGGACGTCTGGGCCCTCGGCTGCACCTTATTTTGCATGGTCACCAAGAGGCCGCCCTTCGAAAGGGACACCATCGAGGAGACCTACCGACGAATCTCGGAGGGCTTCTTCACCTTCCCCAGCAAGTGTAGCGCCAGTCGCGCCTGCGAGAACCTCATCAGAAGGTTTGGATTGGTGGAAAATGAAGGAATTGATTTTATTTCTAATATGTTCTTGCTAACGAATAACAGACGGTTATGATAGAAAAAAATTGAATAAATGGATCAAAAAAAGAATATTTATCATTTCTTCAGATGCCTCCAAGTCGACGTCCGATCACGAGCCTCTCTCACGGAAGTGCTCTGCGATCCGTGGTTCGGCCTTCGGATTAGCTACTCGGCGTCCACTTCGTACCTCTCCAACGGCAGCGGAAGCATGGCCTCGTCCATGTTCGCCAGCAACACCGGCACCGATTATTCCGGCAGCAGCTCGTCAAGGCATTTGGCGAGGTGGGAGTTCGGCTTCTGGAAAAGGGGGAGGGGGAATATCAGTCGAAACTCTTGGTAGAAGGAGCCGCTTTCATACGTAATCCTGATAAGTGGAGCCGTTTTCAGACATATTGGCATGAGAAGCACTAAATAAAACTTCAGACTTTTCAAAGAGTCTTTGGCTAGGTAGAAATTCGGCTTTTGGTAGGAGAAGGCGTGGAAAATGAGTCTAAAATCTTGATAAAGAAAGCCTCTTTTGGACAAATTGGTGGAAAAAGCCTCGGCTTGATAGAAATTTAGTTACTGGAAGAAAATGACGTGGAAAGTGAGCTGAAAATTTTGATAAATGAAGCCGCTTCTGGGCAAATTGATGGAAAAAGCGTTACCAGTTTCAAAGAAAAAGTCTTTAGTCAGGTAAAAACTAGGCTTTTGGAAGGAAAAACCAAAAAAAAAAAATGGTAAAAGGAGCCGATTCTCTGCGTGAATTGATAGGAGAAGAACTGAATATAGCTTCACTAGGTCCAAAAAAACCCTTTAGCTAGGTGAAAATTTCGACTTCTGGAAGAAAGTGAGCTGAAAATCCCCTTTGAAAAAAATACCCCCCATAAAAAGAAAACTCTTTAGATAAACTGGGGGAAAAGGCGCCGAATAAAGCTTTATTCGTTCAGAAAAAGTCTTCAGCTAGGTAGAAATTCAGTTTCTCGAAGAAAAAAAGACGTGAAAAAAATGAGCCGAAAATGACCGAGTAGAGGTAAAAAAATAAGCTAAAAAAATAAAAAAATAAAGCTAGCAAACTTCTGAAAAAAATTGAATTTTTTTCAATTATTCTTTTTCGATTTCTTTATGAGACCTATCCATTCGACGGGTCGTTTTAGCTTGAAATTACTATATTTTTGAGCTTCCCATTTAGTTTCTAAAGGTATAATTGACTTTGAAAAAAAGTTCAAAGCGAAGTTTGGATTTTTGTTTTGTCGATTCTTTCTCAAATAGTAAATATAATGACTTTTTTTGCTTTTTCTTCGTCTTCAAAGTTCCATTTCTCATTTGCAGACCGAAGAGCGTTTGCGACCTGATGCAGAAGACGGGCCTCCGGGACGACGAGAACAGCTACGGGCAGCCCTACGTCCTCAACAACAACTACCCGAGCTATTATCTGACGCCCCAACAAGTCTCCGGCAACACCTTCTACAACAACAACAACAACATCAATAATAACAACAATGGGGGGTACTACGCGGCGATGCGCACCTCTTACGGAGCCTCCCGCATGTCGCCCGTAGTCGTCCAACCGCCCAAGTCGCAGCCCAGCTACTACCAACAGTCGACCTACGTCGCCCCCTTGGTCTACACCAACCCGATGGCCGTCCCGATGCGCCCCAAGAGCACGCCGTCGACGGCCGCCGCTCGCACCCGACCTCGGTCGACTTACGACCTCCGCGCAGAGACGTCCTCTTCCCTGAGAGATCAGATGAGAGTCGAGGCGCCGGTCGTCGAGTACAAGCCGAACGTGGCCCGGAGCGGGTCCGCCGGCGTCGTCAATCCGAACGTCAGCCGGAAATCGACCATGCGGGATTCTGGATTCGGAGGATCGGACACGGACGTCTCCGTCATGACCTCACTGGATCTGGCTCTCAACAGGATGCTCGGCGACCTTCATTCCGCTGCGGAAAGTGGGTTTTCGTTCCGATTACTGAAAGGCGCATGTAGAGTCCTATTAAAGGCGCATGTAGAGTCTTATTAAAGGCGCATATAAAGTAATATTAAAGGCGCATGTAGACTTCTATGAAAGGCGCATGTAGAGTCCTGTTAAAGGCGCGTGTATAGTCCTATTAAAGGCGCATGTAGAATCATATTAAAAGCGCGTGTAGAGTCCTATTAAAGGCGCATGTAGAGTCGCCGTGATCTACCTTCTTTATTTCTTTATTGTCAGAACAACGCAAATAATTAAGATACAGATAGAAAGGAAATAATATAACATTGGACTTTCACCGCCCGAAATTCATGATTTATAAAAATTGATACCCATGAATGGAAGTCGGGTCAATTTTTGACCCCTCAGTGTAATTTAACGTATCATTACAGACCGACTGAAAGTGGTACCCTACACACTGCCGCAAGTTTTCGTCACCCGCTGGGTGGACTACACGAACCGCCTCGGATTCGCCTGTGAACTGGCCGGCGGAACTCTCTGCGCGAGACTGGTCAATGGAGCCTGCGCTACTGATTGGTAAGGGGGTGATTCGTTGAGAAATGAAGATTTTGAAGGGGAAACTATAGGGTTAGAGATCTTCATATCAGGTACGGACCTTGGTAACGCGAACTGGACGTTTCTGAGCATGTCTAGTGATCACTATAGCGGTTTTAGTGCTCTTAAGTGAGCCCTTGGATTGCTCAGAAGCGTCTGGATACATTTTTTATTTCTCAGACTCGGAAACAAAATAAAAAAAACGACGTCTGGGGTTCATAGTTCGACTAAAAAATTTGAAAACATTTTCAAAAAAAAAGTAGGAAAAAACGGATCTGTATGAAGCTCCCCACGTATCAAATCACAACAAGGCTTCAAAGTTAAAGAAATATTTAATATTTTGAGCCAAGCTGAATATCAAAAAACTTGATTTTAAGACATTTTTGATAGATGTAAAGATTCGAAATTCCAGCCCCTCGACCGGAGATATCACATATGCGACGTCGCCATTCGCCCAAATGTTAACCCTGCCGAAATATCAAGCCAAACAGGACCCGGTCATTGAAAAAGCTGTTCATGTTGGTTATTTGATCATCCTGGTCGCATTTGGAATGGCTCGACGCTTGGCGAAAGCTATAACTATGAAAATCGCTCTTGAAGCAGCGCCCTAACCGTTTTTGGTCGGGTGCACTTCCAAAATGGACTTTTGAGAGTTTAGCCATTCCCCGTGCGACCAATATACCCTTGAACGACAGAAAATCGATTTTTATTTTCTAGATTATGGATCAGATCAGCAAGTATATGAAAACGGAGCTCTGTGCCAATGCCCCGCCGGAATTTAAGGTACCTAAAGAAGTAGTGATTCAAAAAATATTGGTTTTTAGAACGGAGTGACTTCACCGATTCATTTGGTCTACACGAATTTGAATCAGCGCGGCACGGTCATGATGTTCAGCGATTCGACGATTCAGGTAAGAAAGAAAGACTAAAAAAAATGGCCTTGAAGGTTTTTGGAAAAATGGAAAATGGCTCAAGTCCCTTGAAAAGGGAAAGCTAGAAATTAATAAGAGATTTGAGCTCAAAAAACCCCTTCTTTTCTGAGTCTCTCCAAATCGCATACTCTCTAGTTTAGAGTTTTCTTCAAATCGCAAACCGCTACTCCCTGACGTCACTTTATGACATCATTCGGAACACAAGAAATAAGCGTAATCAAACAATTTGGCTATATATTTATTTTATTTACGTGAAAAAAAATTGAAGAATGGGAAGAGCCTGAAATGCGCCTTTGCATAAAAAAACTGCGCCCGGATTGCGTTTGTCAACGATTCGACTTTTTGTGCATGAAGATTTTTATAATATTTTTTTATTAATTATTATTCCATTTCCTTATATTCAATTTTTTTAAATGGGAGTGTCATTAGTTTCATAAAATGCCGATGGGTTCCTTAAGCCCATTTTTATCATGGTTTATGAATTATTTCGAATATTCGATTTATAAAAAAATTATTTAGAATATTCGATCATTTTTTTAATAAAAAAACTTTTAAAGGTTTCTAAAAAAAGTAAGAAAAAAAGGAGAATAAAAAAAGTTTTTTTCAATTAAAAGAGGATTTTTTTAGATGTGATAATTTTCTGTTTCTCATGTGACTGGAAAATTTTTCACGTCGAATTTAATTTTATAAATTTGAAACGTGAAAAATGAATCAAATAATATGGCTGCGTGTGCGAATCGCCAATTCAAGATGACGTCATGTCAGGGAGTAGCGGTTTGCGATTTAACGCGAAGTCTAGTTTAGTTAGGAACTTTTTTCAACTCAATTTGCCTCAGAAATCTTGACCAGAAAGACTCAAACTCTGTTTGTCTGCGTCTCTCATTATCGCTTGATGTCTAGCTCTCAGTTTTCTCGTTTATTTTTAAAGGAGCATAGGCAAATTTGATAAATGTTTTAAGGCGAACAGTTGTTTTTAGCGCTAATTTAGCGGCTTGTGACCTGTAAACATCGCAGTTTTTAGAATTTTTGAAGAGGTTATACTTTTTTCCGAATTTCGAAGCGAATTTAGTCTTTTCTGTCGGCTTACCTTTCGTCTCTTCAAAAAATTTTTTCAAAAATTCCTGTTCTTGTTAAAGGAGCATAGGCATTTTTGATAAAGGTCTTGAGGCGAACAGCAATTTTTAGTGTTATTTTAGAGACCTCTGCGCCTTCAAATATTGCAGTTTTCAGAAGTTTTGAACAGGCTTTACTTTTTTCACGCTAAACTGTCTTCTCTTCCGGGAATCGTTAAAAAATCCCTGTTTTTCTCAAAGGAGCATAGGCAACTCTGATAAATGGTCTTGAGGCGAAGAGCTGATTTTTATGCCATAGTGACTTTTGCGCTTTCAACACGCTCAGTTTCAAATGTTTCTGATCAAATTTCACCTTTTTCCATAGTTCGAAAGTAAAGGTGATCGTTTCTCAGGTGAACCTGTCGTCTCGTCAGAAGGTGGTCATTTGGAAAGTTCCCCTGTCGCGACTCGGCCTCGGAATGTTCGCCCCAGTGGACACGGAATCTTTCGCCACGGCGGTCTGTGTCGTCGCAGCGCCGAACCCGCCGGTCTCCTACTTGATCCTGCCCCAAGGCCTCGAGCCGACCGACGTCATCCACATGCCTGGCTTCAACTATGATCAAGATGCATTTTTATTGTGAGTTTGAGGGGGAATTTTAGGAGAAAGGCCTGAAGAAGTATAGCTGATTCACGGCCAGCTTAGGACGCTAAGGGGGGCGTGTCCTGTCTGCGCTCTCCACGAGCCAGGCGCTATCTCGTGCATTATCGTGTCAGGACCCTTTTTTCGATGGCTCAAGCCAGCCGTGAATCAGCTATACCTTTCTTCTTCAAAAATCGAAACTACTAGACTAAAGGTGCGTTTCCAGGTACCGCCGCCCGATTCTGGACGCCTATGAAATGATCAACCCTCAAGCTTTTGCACGTCGTCCTCCACACGTCACGGAATGCTGATTTTCTTAGTGTTTCTCTATTTTAAAATGTCCCATTTGAGCTTTTTATTCCCTTCTTGTTGAATTGGTCCTGAGACATTGTTTTATTGTTCATCCTTACCCTGTTCCATATTCGAATCCTTCTTCTCCCGGCCCCCTTTTTTGTTCGTTTTAACAGACACTTGTCATTTTTTTCAAAGTGTAATAAGTCAAATAGGCTTTGAAATGAGGACGAAATTGATTGAAAATTGACCGCTTTGCAGCCGCGACGCGTTGATCCATTCCCCCATGCGACCTTTTTCAATCAATTTCTTCCTTTCCTGTACCCCCTCTCCGCTTGTACATGTTCCCCAAAAAACAAAAAATAGTACCATATTTATTGCAGACCACAGTAATCCCTCACCGGTTTCTGTAGTTCTCAAAAGCATTCATGACATAGAAATTCGCTGATTTAGGGTCTTTCATTTTTTGGTATTTTTATGTGCCTAAGTTTTATCTCTTTCTTTCATTCCCAACACTCAATTTTACTCGCAACTTTTTTGCGGGTTCTTTCTTTTTTTCATTTCAAATACGCCTTTTTCCTGAGTAGCGTGTACGGACAAGGGTCTCCTCAAGGGTTTCCTTTGGAAAAAAAAATCGAGCATTTCTCTTCTCAACTTTCTCCAAAACTGCCTATTCCAAGTATATTGTTATAAATCACACAAAATACGGTATAACAGCTTCAAAAAAATCAATACAAAGAAATGAGTTGAGGCATACGAATTTCCTTAAATAATTATCGGGTTCCTTCTTCTATTCTTCTTTTTTGCCTGTGCTTTTTTCATTTTTGAAGGATAGTTCTCATTGTACTTCATTCCGTTCTATGTTTCGTTTCTTTTTAAAATTTTGTTTTGCCAGTCATTTTTTCCACATGCGCCAATAAATAATTATGCCAAGTAATCAAAGTTTACGTGAAGTGAGTCGTTTGCAATATTCTACTGTTGAACTCAAAACGAAGCCAATTTCAAGAAAATTTCAAATTATTTCAGATTATCTTTCATGCAAAGCTTCACGAAACGATAGACTTAAAATACATGATATATCCTTACGCGCAGCTACAAAAAAAAGGAAACAATGATTTGAAAAAAAAAATTTTCTAGTCATTATTTTTTGGAAAAAATGGCATGGACTCGCCTAAAACCAACAAAAAAAGAGATATAAAACTCGAAGTCAATGACAAGCATCCCGCCGGAACGCCAACAGTTCGCGAAAAAATCAGAGCGACCTATTTTTATATCAAATGATGTAGATCAATAGTTTCATTTCACCTGAAAAATTTAAAAAAAAAAACAGAATAGTTGATTCGAAACCGTATTAGGCGATTTCTTGAAAATTTTTTTAATGAAATGATAGAAAATATCGATACATTTTGAATATTTATGGCGTGCGGAGAAAAGGAACATGCTTCAAAACGAAAAATCGTGTTCATCGGCGCAACAGTACTAATTTTATTTAGAAGCAAATTTTTTGCGTTTCGAAGAAATTTACGTTTTTTCCGATGAAAACGCCATTAAATCGCTTCCAGAATGATAAAACCAAAAGTTCAAACTCCGAATTAAAAAAAGCAAGAGTTATTCTTAAAGGCGCACGGCAGGATTTACGAGAAATAATCGCCACGAATACAGTAACTTCCTCCGTTCTGTCGTGTTCCGCAGTTTTTGAATTTCAATTGAATTTTTTTCTTCATTTTTTTCTTGTCTTTTTCAATAGATTTTTGCGCTTCTCTGTTGTTTTTCATAATTATTTCGTATTGTTTTTATAAAATTTTTCGAAATCATTTCGCGTCACCGTGAAATGATTCTGGTGATAACTTTTTTTACCCAATATTCGTTCCGTTCAAAGTTAAAAAGTTTGAAAAAAATTACTTCTTAAAATTCATATAATTTTTGTTACTTAAAAAAATAGTGAAAAAATGCGCAGTGGAAAAAAACCAATTGTATTTTTATTTTTGAACTGAAAATATTTGTTAGAATATTATTTCCGTGTTCAATTTTTATTTCGCGGAATTCAAAATAAATGCCGGAGTGTTATTAAACTTCGGGATTCAGGGTCAATTCGCAATTTCGCGTTGTTTAATGCATGCCATGTTTATAATGTTGCGTTTAAAGCTTATTTGACTCGCGCAGCCAAAAAGTTTTCTGGTTCAAAAGAACGAGCCGAAACGCAGCAGTTTCCACGACGTGAGTGGTTGGTCCTGCCCAGCTTGCAAGAAAGATTTTTCGAAAATAAATTTGTATTGGACGTTAGTCAAAATGGCGGAGCCAACCAATCACGTTTTGAGAACCTGCTGCGTGCTTTTGAACAAGAAAAACTTTTTCGCTACGCGCGTCAAATTATTTTTGAACGCGGCATTATAATAGTATTGTCGTGTTCAAATTGATTTTGCGGAGTTCAAAATATTTATCCGAGTTTGTTTTAAAGAAAACTAAGCTTTGGGGAGTCAAGGTTGATTCTGAACTTCGCGGTATTTGATTTATGCCGTGTTCAAAATGATTATGCGAAATTCAAAAAAGCCGTCAGTTAGGGAAAAAATGACTGAATTGTCAGTGGCGGTCAGAGATAATTTTGCGTGTCGCGGAAATTGCTTCGAAAACTTCATATTTTGGGACGCGCCTTTTTAAATTTCTGCCGTGATCAATATGATTCCGCGAAATACAAAATAGCCATCAGTAAAAGAAAAATCAATAAATTTTGGCGAGTCAGAAATAATTTTGCATTGCGCGGACATTAATTTGAACACGAAATTCGAGTGAATAAATGTTTTTTTCAATGTTTGAAATTTTTAGTAGTTCAAACATGGAGGATGCTGAGAAGATTGCTGAAATCCGCGAAAAGAAACTTCGCAACGCGATGAGGGAATTGAAGATTCAGAAGTTGTGCCTGAACATTTGCGTCGGAGAGTCTGGAGATAGGCTCACCCTGAGCTGCTAAGGTTTGCTGTAATCCATGTGAACTATTTTTTTATACCTTACATACATCTACTGTTCAGGTTCTCGAGCAGTTGACTGGGCAAACACCGGTTTTCTCAAAAGCGCGATACACTGTTAGAACTTTTGGAATCCGAAGAAATGAGAAGATCGCTGTTCACTGCACTGTGCGGGGCCCCAAGGCCGAAGAAATTCTGGAAAAAGGCCTCAAAGTCAAGGAATACGAACTCTACCGTGAAAACTTCTCAGATACCGGCAATTTTGGCTTTGGAATTCAGGTTTTTCATCACAAAAAATGTTTTGATTCATTTTTTTTTTGTAGGAGCACATTGACTTGGGTATCAAGTATGATCCTTCCATCGGAATCTACGGAATGGACTTCTATGTCGTTCTCGGACGCTGCGGTGGTCGTGTTGCGAAGAAGAGACGCGCTCCTGGCCGCATCGGAATCTCTCACCGTGTGAAGCGTGATGAAGCCGTCAAATGGTTCCAACAAAAGGTACAGTTTTTCTAATAACTTTTTTCCATTGATGCGCTTCCAGTACGATGGAATCATCCTTCCACCCAGGCCGAAGGTCAAGCGAACTGCCTTCCGACGCCGTTAAATTATATTTTTATATTGTTATTGAATAAATGTTGATTATCAGGTTAGTACGTGTTTCAAAAATGCATTTAAAGTAGATTTTCTTTCCTTTTCAACCAATCTCTTGGAATCGTGTGATCAAAAAAAAATTTTCGAAAAAGAAACGTTTATTAAAAAACGGCTCGACTACGCCGAAAGGAGAACAAGCGTAATGGAGAAAATTAACCAAGTTGGTTAACGCAATTCGTTGGTCTTATAAAAAGTCATCAGTAAGATGGAAAAAGAATACCTGAACTTATTAAAAATACTCCGCTTGGGTTCTTGAAAATACTTCGTCTTAATATTACAATTGATAAAATGAGGTAAAAAAGAATAGGGTTGAGCTTATCAGGGACACCCGAAAAAAGAAATAAAGAAGGGCGGTACCATTATAGGCTTGAAAATGAAGAACAAACGATGAGGAAAACATAAAGAATCTGTGAATTTGAACTTTACAATCGCCACGAAATATTCCTATTTCCGATTTGAAAGAAACTGTTTGCACATTCTTTTGTAATTAAATTCAAGCAATCATATGCTACATGAAAAGATGATACCAATTAGAGATGATGATAAAATTGGCGTGAGGAAAAGTCGAGTTGAGAAGATAAAAAGAGTACGCAATTGGCGCCTCAAATCATTCAGCAGTAGGGATACTGCATCATTGGCTGCTGAAGCATCTGCTCCGGCATGTAGTTTTGAGCTTGAACGTGGACTGGATGATGCTGAGGCACTGGGACCTGAGCTGGTCGCTGTTGATGCTGCGGAATCTGGTTCGATCCAATCTTAGCCATCTGCTCGAAAAGTTGCGCGCAGGTGCGGACAGCAATGTCGCCGAAACCGTGAGTGATCTGAAAAATTGATGATTGAAGTGAAATTTGAGATAGGGAACTAACCCTGCTGAACAGCTCGATGCCGACGTTCAACGCCGGATCATCGGACAGCCTCTCGGTGATTCCACTGACCTCCGGTTGAATTTTGCTCGTCATTTCAGAGATAGCCTCCAAGTACATTCTGTAAATGAGAAATTTAGGAAAAAGCAGAAATCGTTCTAAAAAAAACAAATTTCGGAAAACTATGAATTCCACAGAAAGAATCTACTTTTCAAGTTCCTTCTTGAAAGTACTGTCTACCCAAAACCCCTTCTTCCGAAGTTGCAAGCCCAAAAATCGCTTCAAGACTCATATTTCAGAAAAAAACAGCTTTTAAAAAAGGCTGTTACTTTTTAGTGGCTCTTCAGAAGTTAAAGTGGTACTACTGGACCATTGAAAACTATAGTGGTCACGAAGACTGTGAAGATTGATAGTGACCTCTTTAGTGTTTTGAAATTTAAGTGGCTACTATAGTGTTCACTAAGACGCGAAATAGGGGCCTCTATATAGGTTTTTTTTTAGTGGCCACTTTAGTGTTCTCTCCAAGTAGTCCTTGAGGAGCCTCTTAAGTGGTCACTAGGGATTTTCCGAGTACCTTTGAAAATCTTGGGGTCTTCAAAAAGTTTTCGAAAAAGTTCTTCATTTAGTAGTCTTATCATTTTTCATCCTACTTTTCAAGTTTATTCAAGCCTTTGGAAAAAAAAATCCCATTACGAACCTCGCGTACTGCTTGCCGATGTTCGGATCACCGCCAATATCCCTGCATTTCTTGATGAAAAGCTCGTCGAGATGATTCTGAGCCGGCTGCATCGGATAGTAGGCCTGTGTGAGCGTTTCAAAGTCGCCGCCCATGCTCGTAGCTTCGCCTGAAATTATTTTTTGAGTTGGTTAAAATCTACTTGAAATTTACCTTCAGTAAGGCTAGTGAAGCAAGTCGTGGCGTATCCTTTCCTTTTTCCCATGGCCACCTCGATTCCGCGTTCTTTCAGCTGCTGTCTCATCAAACTTCCGCCATCTCGAGTCTTTGCCCTGTAGAAATTCCATTTTGAGTCATTTCAAGCCAAATAGTGAGACTAAATTGAATTTTCCTCTTATCTGTCTAACCAGGAATCTTCGAGCCCCTCTACCGTAATCTTTTGGGTAACTGTAGCTACCAAAAAAATGAAAAAAATCGTAATAATCGATGAAAAACATGAGGTTTACGAAAATCAGAAGTAGAATCAGGTTTTTTGACCAAGTCTAATCAGCAAACTTCAAGCCATTCTACCGTAATCCTTTGAGCATACTGTATCTTCTAAAAGAAATAATAAAAATCATAAAAATTTCTAAAAATGGATGAGGTTTACAAAAATCAGATTTCAAATTTTTTCGATCAGGATTAATATTACTTCTATTCGAGCCGTTCCACCGTAATCTTTTGGGCTACTGTATCTTCCAAAAAAATGACAAAAATCATAAAATTCGATGACAAAGTGTGAGCTTATAAAAATCAAAATAAAAATCAGATTCCAAATATTTCGATCAGGATTAGTAAAACTTTTATTCGAGCCTTTCTACCGTAATCCTCTGAGCATACTGTATCTACTAAAAAATGATAAGAATCCTAATAATCGATGATAATGTATGAGGTTCACAAAAATCAGAAGTCAAATCAAACTTCATATTTTTCGACCAAGTCCAACCAGGAATCTTCGACCCTTCCTACCGTAATCCTTTGAGTATACTGTATCTACTAAAAAATGATAAAAATGATAACATTCAATGAAAAATCATGAGGTTTACAAAAACCAAATTTCAAATTTTCGATCGGGATTCATGTAAATTCTATTCGAGCCTTCCTACCGTAATCATTTGAGTTACTGTATCTTCTAAAAGAAATGATAAAAATCATAATAATTGATGAGAAAGTGTGAGCTTCTAAAAATCAGAAGTCAGGTATCGTAGAACTTTTTACCGTAATCCTTTTATTATACTGTAATCGACCCTTTCTACCGTAATCCTTTGAGTATACTGTATCTCCTAACAGGAAAAAAAAATGGCTTCGTAAGCAGTCGGAAACCAGAACTAAGAGGTCCCTAAAGGGATTTAAAATTCGCTCTAGTGGTCCCTTAATCGACCCTGAAGAAAGTTCAGCAATAAAAAATCTCGATTCCACTAACTTTCTCAGAAGTCCTCCAATCTTGCTGCTGTTCAAATATTCTGGAGCTCCCAATCTGCGCTTCATCTCCGAATACGTCACCTGAATCATCAACAAATCAATAATCGATAAATTATCCTTGGAGCGCACCTTATAACGAGTGAGATTTCCGACGAGAGTCAGCCGTCCTGGAACCACTGAATAGACTTCCGATTCTGGGATCTCGTCCCGAGTCGGTTCAGTCGACTTTTGCTGTGGAGATTCTTCTGAAACGAAGGTTAAGTGATCACTTGAGTGTTTTGGGTAATCCAACCAGAAAAGTATGCAGAATCATTAGGAGTCTGTTCTGGAGTCATTTCCGCTCCGAGGCAAGTCGGAGAGTCGAATTTGTGGGTCGAGGTCTGGATGGGGGCCGAGGACGACTGTGGCATCATCGGCGCAATGTGGTACTGGAAAAGTTTTATCAAGGATTCTTGGGAAAATGGGAAGTCTTCTTGGAAAAGAGCAAGTCTTCAAGATTCATAGCAGATTCACGGCTGAGCCATCGAAAAATGGGTCCTGACACGATAAAAGAAGAGATAGTGCATGGTTAATGGAGAGCGCAGACAGACCACGCCTCCTTAACTTCCCGTGAACCGACTATACAAATCTTTTATCATAGACTTTTAAAAACTTCAAGGTTTGAAAGGAAATCGAAGATTCTGAAGATCTACAGATCCAAATCCGGATCAGCCTAGACTCCGTAAAACCTTGAAGTCCCCAAAAAAATTTTTTTTTGAATTTTTTCGTCATAAAACTTTTTCTAACCTTACTACAAAAAGATGAACGATTCAAAATAAAAATTTGAGAATTATTATTTTTAAAGTTTTAAAGCTTCAAGTGGACGAACCCATCTAGTTTGAAAAAAATTCCAGGCCTAAAAAAATCAGAAATAAGTGAACCTACAGTAAGACTACAGTATAGAGATTTTTACGAAAAGTAATTGTCCTGAAGTTATTAATCTTTAGACAAGAGTGAGCTACAGTAGGACTACAGTGAGACTACCACAAGGCCCTACTAAAGCCTTTGATAGTTAGCCCGAAGTTATTGATCTTCGGAAAAGATTAGGCTACAGTAATATTACAGTAAGGTTACCAAACGGTCCTCCTCAAGTCTAGGGATCATTCTGAAGAACCGTACGGTACAGAAAAGCGTTAGAATACAGTAAGAATACAGTATAGAGATTTTTACGAAAAACAGTTATCCTTAAAATAAATTTTCCTACAAGAGTAGGACTACAGTATGACTAACAAAAGGTGTTCCTGAAATCTAAAAATCATTCTGAAGAGCCGTATGCTTCCGAAATCAGTTAGACTACAGTAAGAATACAGTATTCAGACTTTTGATATCTTAAATACAAAAAGTGAAGTTATTGACCCCTTCGAACAAGATTAGGCTACAGTAATACTACAGTAAGACTACCGGAAGGTCCTCCTCAAGTCTAAGGATCATTCTGAAGAACCGTACGTTTTAGAAATGAGTTAGGCTACCGTAAGAATACAGTAAATATCCAATTAGTGCAAAAAGTAGTTATCCTGAAGTTACGAAAGCAGGCTACAGTAAGACTACCAAAAAGCTCTCTTCAATTCTAAGGATCTTTCTGAAGAACCGTACGCTTCAGAAAAGTGTTAGACTACCGTAAGACTACAAAAAAGTTCTGAAATTAAAAGGAGTGATTTTCCGAAGACAGAAGTGTACAGTAAGCTGAATACAAACTAGAAGCACACAGAGTCAAAAAAGCTCACCATCATCGGATCGTAGCCGCCGGACATGACCTGGACCCAACGCTTGGGCGTCGTCATGTCCTGGTGGACCTCGTCGGCGGACCGCTTCCGGTTGTTCATATCGCCGTAGCAGTGCATCTGAAACCTGGGACATTGATTCAGAAGACGTACGAGATACAAAAAACAAAAGAAAAAAAGGCAGAGCTCGGACCGGAGCCACCGACTCGAATGAGTCCCAAGTAGAGGAATGAAAAGTGGGCTCAAGGTCCGAGTAGGCGGAGTCTTGCCTTTGGGCCTGCCCCCAAATATGTGCGAATCGTCACGTCCCAAGCGCCTCGTTACCACTTTTCGAAGCCTTTCGGCCTATACCGTTGACGATTTGATGGGCTTGGGAGGGGGCGGAGCCTAGAACGGCTAAAATTAGGCCTTGTGACGAAAAATTGAAGATCAAAAATCGGATTAATTTGAATGGAATCTGAAGGAATTTGAAAAAGAAATTAAACTCGGAAAAAAATCATTTTTATGAACATTATGTATGTCTTGAAGCGATTTTTTTGAATTACTGTACAAGGGAGGTCATTTCAATTTTTCGACTTGGAATTTTCTACAAATTTTTATCAAAAAAATCTCTGAAGGTTTATATGAAGATCCATCAACCTTAAAACCCGCGCCAGCTTCTAGTTTTTGAGATAATTAATTTAGAAGGTCGAAAAAATAGGCCTAAAACCCATTTTTTGCAGCTTTGAGACACCGTACCTCAAAAACAAGTACTGGGAAAAATTTCAGTGGACACTATAGGGTTTTGACGTTTTAGTGGCCACTATAGTAGTTAAATTGGTGGAAACTTAAGCGGTTAAAAATTAGTGGCCACTATAGAGGTCTGAGTGCTATAATATTTTTTCCGTTGGTGCCGAAGATCCTTTTTTCTTATTTTTCAGACTAATAATTTTTGTGAAAACCTCAAACTGGGTGAATAACAATCAGAGAGGCATTCTCATCAGTTTTCAACAAAAAACCGATTCAAAAACGGTTGAATATGAATGGAAAACGAGTCAAAACAGTGGCAGCCGAAAATTCGGAAAACGCCAGATTTTTCGGTTTTTCTCGCGCGTCACTAAAAGCTTCATAACTCGGCTCAAATCAAAATTTTTTTTGAAAAGCTAAACTTATTTGATCTTTGGACAGTATGTTCTATCAGATGGTATTGGATTCGACTATGCATTACTTTCTTCGAGAAATGGCTAGGTATTTGTGCTATTACTAGACCTCTAAAAAATTTAGTGGCCACTTTAGGGGTCAATGGATCAACATAACTGGTCCAATCGGTTTGTTTTAAAACTATCAGAGTTACTGGGAGGAATACTGGATCAAAAACTACTGAAGTGGCCACTAAAACGGGAAATCTTGGTATTTTGTACAATTAATTACAATTTTTATCAAATGAAGAATTTTTAAAAATGGTCCGAAAATTCTTGAACTCCTTGGCAATTTTATTCAAAAGGTTACGGTCTTAAAAATTGTTGCAAAATGAGAAAAAAAGATCAAAACTACCACGAAACAGTAAATAATATACATAATATGTTAAAACAAAAGAGAAAAAAAGAAAAAAAAAACCAAAAAAGATGACAAAAGGTCGGCGGCGCGCTAATGAGTCGTTTTGATCTCCTTTTTTTGACCAGTAATTTTTTTTCTATTCCTGTGTTTTTGAAAGGAATCAACAGTTTTTTCTCAATTCATAGACTTTATACGGTATAATATCAAAAAGTATACCGTAACCCAAAAATGCAAAAAGTTCAAAAACTCAAGGTACAGTAGCCCAAGGAGCTTTAAGACCTGTACTTTTTAAAAATTTTTATTGATTTGAGATCTCAAATGTTTTCAAATTCAAAAATTTTTTTAATAATAACTATCCTCCAAAATTCCCGGACCCTAACTTACAGTAAAAACTCAAGTTACAGTAACCCCAAGAGCTTCAAGACCAGTATTTTCAATGATTTCTTGATTCAACCAAAAGTTGACTTCAAAAATTTTTTTTTGCTTACTTTTGAATCCACAACAAAGTCGGAATGGTAGATAATGGTCGCTTGAAAGGAAAAGGCTCAAAAAAGGTTGCAGAAAGGCTCAAGAAATGGTGGGAAAAGGGAGAGCCTGCAAAAATGGTGCACAAAGGTCGATGAAATGGCGCAAAAAGGCAGCAAAAATAATATTTTATGGAGCCTTTTCCACCCTTTCCAACTCTGCCTATAAACTTTCCAGAATTACAGTAACCCCATGTTCCAGTCAAGACCAAAATTGAATCGATACAGTAAGTCAAAGTGCTTCGAAATCCCTATTCATCAATATTGTTTATTTCTAAAATAATACCTAAAGTCATTTTTCGGATACAGTAACCTCACTTTCACTTGAGGAGAAAAAATCAAGATACAGTAACCGAAATCGCTTCAAGACCATTATTTTCAATAACTCCTCAATTTTCGCCAAAAATGGTCTCAGATGTCCTCATTTCTGTTTTGATGCTGGAAATAAATAATTTTCAGGAGAAAAACAACATTTTTGTAATAGAAAGATTACAGTAATCCGAACTACTTCAAGCCCAAAATTTGAAAACTTCCCACGTTTTTTTTCAAAATTTTCGTTTCCGATCTTTGTTTTTTTCCTAATCCTCTCCAAATCTAAAGCTTCCCAGAGGCACAGTAATCACATTTTCCAGCCGGGACCCCGGCCGGGGTCAATCCCACCTTGTTTACGCCAATTATTTCGTCAGGGCGCGCTTGTTGTGTTGAATGCCTTGAGCAAATGGCCGCTATTCGCACTTTTTTAACCCCGCGGTTCTTCTTTTTGATGTTTAAATGAAGATACCAGCTGGAATCATGAAATCAGAAAAAATTATGGCTGAAAATTGTCAATAGAGCGAACTTTTATGAGAAAAAAGTTTAGGGAAGCTTTTTGATTTTTTTTTTCAGCTTTCTAGTGGCCACTATAGAGGCTCGCCAAGGACTACTTGGAGAGGACACTAAAGTGGCCACTAAACCCACCTCTATAGTGGCCACTTCAGTAGTTTTTCATCCAGTATTCCTTCCAGTAACTCTGATTATTTTAAAACAGATTGGACCAGTTATGTTGATCCATTGACCCCTAAAGTGGCCACTAAAAATTTTAGTGGTCGAGTAGTAGCACTTAGACCTCTATAGTGACCACTAATTTTTAACCCCTTGAGTGGCCACAATTGGACTACTATATTGGTCACTAAAACGTCAAAACCCTATAGTGGCCGCTGAAAATTTTCCCACTCATTCTGATCAATTTTGAAATTTTTGGCCTCTACAATCTCTTAATAATATTTTTCCTGATTTCAATGGATTTTTTAATTTTTCTGATTTTAATGGTACCCATCTTTACTTAAAACCAAAAATTAAAGATGCCTTAAATTTTTAAGGTTCAAAAATCTCCTTCTAATCTCCAATGCACACAATTAAATCTCCAAAACAACACATTTTTCCTCAAAAAAATCGGCAAGATCCAGATGGGCGGAGCCTTGCCGTTTGGACTAACTAAAATGTGCCAATGAACCGCTCGTCACGTCCTAAGCGCCTCGTTACCACTTTTCGAAGCCTTTCGGCATCTGCTGTACAGTTGTTGTGTTGATTTTTGACGATTTGATGAGGTTGGGAGTGGGGCGGAGCCTATTAGGCCGTAAATTGGGCCTTCTAGAAGATTCAAGGCATAATAGAGCCCAAAGAAAATCGAAAATCAGATTTTTCTGCACAAGAACCAACAAGAAAACGAAGCAGATCCGTTAAAATTAAAAAAAATCAATTTTAATCCGTTATCTACTCGACTATAAGTTAAAAAACCTCATCAAATTTTCATACTATCTGAAAAATGACATTCAAGATCCTACTTATTTCTTTCCTCTTAACTATAACAGCCTTTTTCACGGCCTAACTTATGGTCCCCCGCGTCATTCAACGGCGGCCGCCTCTATAGCTCAGTGGCAGAGCGTCTGTCTCGTAAACAGAAGGTCGACGGTTCAATCCCGTCTGGAGGCAACTTTTTTTTGCAATTTCACGGGATGTTGAAAAATTTCATTTTTTTTAAACTAAATGACTTAGTTTTGTTGATGAAAATTGTGGATTCAATTAAGGCTTGATGTGAATTTGGAAAATCAGAATTTAACCGTTTTGGGGAATAAAGGATACCAAGAAAGATCGAGGAAGAAATAAAAGATAGAAACAGTAAAGGAGAATTTTTAATCAAAAAGCTGAACTTTGGTCTTTTTGAACCAGATTTCGCTCAAAAACAAATCGAGCAATTCGCGTACGGGAAACTGCTAAAAAGATAAGAAAAATGAAATTTTATCAGTGAAATTCCTCGTTTCTCCAGCTTTCGGTGGTATAATTTTTCATGGGAATCGAGGTTGGTTCACTTTTCCGATTGACTTATTTTTTGTTCTCTTCATATTTTTTTATAATTTCAATATATTTTTCCGAAGTTTTTTTAAGTTAGTTCAGGGTCTTTATTTAAAACTCAACTACGTAAAAATTCAATTTTTGACTTTTTAATAACTCGTAGTAGAAACTTCCTAAAGAAAATGAGCATTTTTCCAAATTTTAACTCAACTTTATACTGAAATCACTTCAAAACTTCCCAAAAAACAGGTCCCTTAAGGATATTCCCTGAAGTGGTCCCTTAATGGTATTATTTTCCGTTCATCTCGATTTTCTACTGGATGAATATGGAAAAAACCTCATTTTCGGAAAAAAAATGAATTTTCAGAGATATCAAAATAAACTTCAAACTTCTCCTTTTTCAACTGATTCGTAAACTGCAAACAATTAACTCCATTTTGAGTAGTGAAAATTCATTTTGAAACGAGAAAAGGCCGACCCGAATGCATATAGGTACCCCTCTGCGTAAGTCGCTGCGAGTCGGCCGCACCAAAATAGCACCCTTTTTGCATTTCCTTCTGTCATCAGCTTTGCGCTGGGGCGATAACGTGACCAATGAGGCTCTGCCGAGGTGCGTTTATTGCTGGTTGAAAACTTTTCCCAATTGCCCGCGATGGCCTCTGAAATACGAGTGCCATACGCAATTTTTGAACGGCCTAAGAGGCCAGAATGACGAATTTAACAGCGTAGGACGCTCTGAGAATACGGACGTTTCTCTTAACTGGGAAAAAGTTTTCGAAATTCCCGATTTCGATAAGACATTATTAGTCAAAAATTGAAAGAAAACTAAAAAAAATGTTAAATTGAAGAAAATCTGCTCCGATGAGAAAACTTGTTTAATTTCCAGTATTTTTCCACCTCTGAGGTCTATTTTTGAACAGAGAGAACTAGAAAAACCGAAAATCACTAAAATGGCAACTTCAATCCTTTTCCGATGACTTAAGGAACCTTAGGTCATCTCAAATGACCACTTGCTTATCAATGGAGCAACCTTTGCAGTGGTACCGGGAACAGTTCGATCAGCTGACGTCATCATCCGGCGTTGTTCCTTCGGCGCCGTGTCTCGAGGAGGATGATGACGTCATCAAGACCCCTCCAGTGCCTCCTCGGAAGGTCCATGAAAGTCCGAAAAGCCGCGCACCCCCCTCTCCACTGCCACGAGCTGAATCTCGAGCCCAAGTCCCAATATCCCCTCCAAAACCGACTGAAAGGACATTGAAGCCTCCGTTATTACCTCCAAAACCAACCAAAACTACCTTGATACCTCCAATTTTACCTCCAAAACCGAGATCTTTGTGTATTGAACGATTGTAAATATTTTCAATTAATAAAAGTTTTGATTTCGAACCGATGACTTGAGTACCGAGTGGCACCCAAAAATTTATAAAAACTATTTTTCAGGTTTTTTTCTGACTTGACAAAATATGGAGTCAAAAAGCTGAAAAAAGAGAAAATTATTTAAAACTTGAATAACTTTAGTTTGCCACCCGTATCATCTTCGGCTTAAAAGAATAACTTTTAGAAATATATTTAGGAGATTAGGAACTCCAGAGTGGCCCCTATAGGGGCAACCTTAGGGCCCGCGGAGAGACCCCTCTAGGGACCCCTTTAATAACCCTTATAGGGTTCACTAAAACTTGAAAAAGTGGTCCCTAGAGAAGACAAATTGAACGACCCCTATAGGGACCACTTAAGCTTTAGGGGCTAATGGGTCAGACCCTAAACCCCTATAACCCCTATATACCACCTTGATTTCACCCTATAGGGACCACTTCTTCGAGCCCTATAGGGGCTGTTCTCCCCCCTAACCTCTATAGAGACCACTCAAAGGTTCCTAAGATTGTCATTTCTACCGGGAAAACTGGAATTTCAAACATTAAATGGGGCCACTGAAGCTTGAAAAAGTGATCCCTATATGGGACATATTGTTCAACCCCTGGAGGGACCACTTGAGCTTTGGGGGCAAAGAGGTCATACCCTAAACTTCTATAGGGACTACCTTGATTCTACCCCTATAGGAACCCCTTTTTCGTTTCCTACAGGGGTTTTTTCCCCCTAACCCCTATAGGGACCACTCTAAGGTTCCTAAGATCGTCATTTCTACCGGGAAATCTGGATTTTCAACTTTTTTCTCTCGTTTTTTGAAATTTCAAATCACGAGTTCCGCAACTTGAAAAAGTCATCTTGATAATCGATTATTTCTCAACTCTCTGATATCAATTTCATCTTATCATCTCAACTTTTCATTCGTCTCCGTTTTGACTCATTTGCCGCGATTTTGCGCACGTCTTGCGTTCTAATTTGATTAATAACACATTTTTAGGAAAAATGGGCGTACCCGGAACCGCTCCCACGGCTTACGATTTGCCGCCTCCTTACGGTTAGTTTAAAATTGAGTTTTTTTCTTGGTTTTCGCAATATTTTCTATCGGTTCTTTCTGAAATTGAACGTTCTGATTTGACGCGTGCGGTCGCGTAGCGGTTTCCTTCGTAAACTCAAGTTTACACGGTTACTTGGTCTCAAGCTTATTCATCGAGTATTTCATGATTTTTGAACCCTTATTTCTCGTAATCAAAGCAGTATCGAGAGATTTGTTGACCATTCTCTTCAAAAAATACAGAAATTTCCTTGAGCTTGCATAGAGAGATCAAATTTAAACCAAAATAATGTTTTTTCAAGGCTTATAGTCATTTCTGTGTCAAAATTGGCTTCCAAATTTTTTAGAGATTTCAAATCTTTTTGGTGAAACAGTACAATGTCGAAAGTAGTTCACATTATAGTCTGTGTGCCACGACTTGAAATTTCACGGAACGACATTCCGCTGTTCCGCTGCGTGCGTTCGCAGAGCGTCTTTCGAATCTCGGTCGCGCTTTTAATTGAATTTTATTGCTGTGGGAGCACATGAAAGTAGAGTACCTTAATAAAAAAAAGCGCCACCAAGGTTTGCAAAGGCGCGCAGCGGCACAGCGGAATGTCGTTTGGTGAAATTCCAAGTCGTGGTTCACAGACTATACGGGATATTTTTCTGTTTTGACGCGTGCGGTCGCGTAGCGGTTTCCTTCGTAAATTCAGGTTTTCATGGTTGCTTGTCCTCAAGCTTATTTATAGAGTATATCGCGGTCTTTTAACCCTTATTTCTCATAATCAAAGCAGTACGAGTTTTGTTGAACTTTTCAAAAATTACAAAATTAACCTTATGTTTGCACAGAGAGATCGAATTTGAACTAAAAATGAAGTTTTTGCAACACTTATAGTCATTTCTGTGTGAGAATAGGCTTCTAAACTTTCGAAAATTTCCGAAAATCCTCCCCATTAACATCAAAATTTGACTAGGGAACTATTTTTATCACGCTGATTCCAAATCTGGTCTCAAAAACTGCCCTCGAGGCCTGTGGGAAAAGTTAGGGGCCCTCAAAAGTTGTGTCTCCGATTGAGCTAGTTTTTGGATGGTATAGCCTGTTCAGATGTCAAGTTCTCGCTCAAGCTCCGCCCCTAATGGTACGATAAACCGATCAGAGAGCGAGCCGTTCACAGAGTGTTTTCGAATGACGTCATTGCACCTAAAAATCTGAACAGACTATATATAGTCCTTGTTCCCTTTGTCACAAATGAGTTCATATAAGTTTAAAAAAACGTTTTCGGTTGATTTTTCCATTTGAAGTGTTCTTTCTACGCAAAAACCTTGAATTTTCCAACTTTAAGGCCTAAAACTTTTCACAGCCGCACGTGGAACAGCTACGAAAATCCTTACTTTCCGAGATGTTTGATCCAATTTCAATTTGAATATAGCTTATTCACGGCTGGCTTGAGCCATTGAAAAAAGGGTAGGAGACAGTGACTGGTTAGTGGAGAGCGCAGACAGGCCACGCCCCATTAAGCGTCTCAAGCTAGCCGTGAATCGACTATAGTATAAATTTTCTATTTCACGAGAGGTTTTTTACAGAAGAGGTCCAATCACAACCCAGTTTTAACCCTCAGCCTCCGCCTCAGCCTCGGCCTCAGCCTCAGCCCCAGCCTCAGCCTCAGCCTCAGCCTCCGCCTCAGCCTCAAGCTCAACCTCAACCTCAACCTCAGCGTCCAGCTCAAGCTCAAGCTCAACCCCCACCCCCGGGCTTCGTCCAGCCGCCCGGTCAAAACCAAAACAACTACCGCGTTTATGTCATACCCCAACAAACTCAACCTACCGAAGTTCGCAGAACTATCTACGTTCAATCGAGTGCAAGTGAGTTTTGAGAACATTTTTTCAAGTATTTTTACACTAAAAATTCTCCAAAAAATCAGAATTTGGCCTTTTAAAGTACCAAAATTTTCAAATAACACTTTTTTTTACACCAAAAATTCTACAAAAATCCGAAAATTGGCTTTTTTAAAGTACTAAAAGTTTGATATAACACTTTTTTTACACCCAAAACTCTCAAAAAGTCGAAATTTGGCCTTTTTGAAAGACCAAAAGTTTCAAATAACACTTTTTTTACACCAAAAAAATTCTACAAAAAAATCCAAAAAAATTGGCTTTTTTTAAAGTACTAAAAAGTTTGATGTAACACTTTTTTACACCCAAAACTCTCAAAAAGTCGAAAATTTGGCCTTTTGAAAGACCAAAAGTTTCAAATAACACTTTTTTTTTACACCAAAAATTCTACAAAAATCCGAAAATTGGCTTTTTTAAAGTACTAAAAGTTTGATATAACACTTTTTTTACACCCAAAACTCTTGAAAAGTTAATTTTTGGCCTTTTTAAGGTTCCGAAACCTTGAAGATATACTGTTTTACACCCAAAGCTCTCAAAAAAACCCAGAAATTGGCCCAAGTTCCAAAAATCCGTTAACGTCATAAAATCAACCATTTTTACACCGTTCTTTTATCACAGAAAAATGAAATCTGCATTAATCATCCGCTTAAAGGCATAGGGGCTGTAAAAACGGTGTTTCAGTTCAAAACAGTATTTTGTAGAGATTTTGATTGTGAATCCAAAGGTTAACTTGAAAACGTACAGAACTTCTTAGTTTTGGAGAAAAACTAATTCAAAGTCGGAAATAGGAAAGTTCCCGCCAATAAGGCGTTTTGCAGTAAAGTTGCTCTATGGACAACACTTTTTTCTCCAAAAGTAGTCAAATTTGTATTTTTTTGAGTACACCGTTCGATTCGCAATAAAAAAAACTCTACAAAGTACTGCTTTGAATTGCAAACCGTTTTTTACTGCCCCTATGCCTTTCAATTTTCGAAAAATCCATTATTTTCAGATCAACGAGCCCAACTTGCCCAAACACGACGGAGAAGGCAGATTATGCTCGGATGTTTTCTATTGCTTCTAATTGTGAATCTGATTATATTTGTTGCAATTTACAGTTCTTGAAAATGGAAAAATATTGCCTTCAAGTGTAAATTAACTAATAAAAATTTTTTTCAAAAAAATTATAAAAATCATTAAGTACAATTTTTCTGGTCAGTGTCAAAGTCGGATGTGAGGAAAACGGTTGCAAAAAGGGAGCAAAATGACCTCTAAAAGGGTTCCGTTTCGCGGCCATTATTGAGCCTCTCTTTCTTGATGGGCTAAAAAGGGTGCTGAAAGTCTGGGCCATTTATGATTTCCGATTTTATTACTGTAGCACATTTTGGTTCATACACAGTCACTGGTAATTTTGAAAAATTATGTTTCTCAAAAGGGTCCAAAAAAGGTGGATAAAGGCCGATGAAAGGACGGAAAAAGACAGTAAAACAGAAACCGTTGCCACCCGTTTAGGAACAATTAATGGAAACCTTTTGCACCCATAACGGGCCCGTAAATGGTTCCTTCAAAACTTCAAATCATAAGTTTCACGCCTCGGAAAGTCAGCCTTTTCTATTATCAGTTTCATCTTATCACCTCCATTTTTTCCTTCTATTTTGTTCTGATTCACTTCTCCTGTTTTCTTGAATCTTATTGGATCTATAAACCTTTATAAAAGTTATAAAATGGGCGAAGCCGGAACCGCTCCCCCGTCTTACAATATACCGCCTCCTTCGTATGGTGAGTTTTTAAAAAAATATTTTTTTGAAAGTTTTTTTCACCTTTAAAAAAATCTGGAATTAATTTTTTTCTAAAGAGACGTAGCGGTTATAAGCGCAAGTTTCAGATTCGTTCCTTTTTTAAAAAAAACGAAAAAAATATAATTCGAAAAGAGATAAAAAAACGTACAAACCGCTGGTATAAAAAATCATCGTTCGATTCAAATCGCTGGCGTTCGTAAGCTCCCCTCGCCGGAAGTTTTTCAATTTAACACTTAAAATTTCGAAGTATATCAAAAGAGCATTGATAAAGATTAAAAAGCGTAAAAGTGTCAGTTACTGAGCAAAACACATGAATTTCCATTAAAAAAAAACTTGTCCAATAAGTAAGAATAAATCTAAAGTTTCTGAAGGATCGCCATGGTGAATTGAAGCACTACTGATCCCTGAGACCTTATTTGAAAACGTTAAAAGCAGAACGGCGCAAAAAATCTTATAAAAATATAGAAATATTGAAAAAAAAGGAAAAAAGGAATGCGCGGAGATTAAAATGCAAGTGGTTGTCTGTAATAGACACTGGCACAGACTGCCGTCCAACCGTAACCTCATTTTTTTCGTTTTTTTCTTTCCGTTTTGTATTTTTATTCGTTTTATAACTTTGTTATTCTACAAGACGCCTTTAATTTCAGTGGTTATTTGATAAGTTGCACCGGAAAGCGCTTTGCGTCACAGCGGAAAACTATGTTTAAAGCCTATTTTTTTGAATATTCACAGCTAGCTCATGAAGTTGCTAACAGTTTGAAAATATCAAATTACAGACGATGTCACATCAGGAACCTATCCTCAGCCTCCACCCCCACCACCTGCTCAGCCTTCCGTTCAAAGTAACACATTAAATCAAAGCAGGTAAGATTTTTCTTTTTTTAATTATTTTTGTTTCATAATTATTCATAAGCTTTCAGTTAGTTTGACATAAAGTTTATCAAATTTGCTTGAAAATTTTTTTCGATTGAAAATTCGTTCTTATTATAAATAAATTCCATGTGAGCTTTTTGAGGAATCTAATTTTTTAACAAGGTTTCTGGTCAAAATAGAAAAAAAGATTGAATTAACTTATATTGGAGATTTTTGAGGGATATCGTGCGCTTATTGCACTTAAGCCACGCCCACTGGATTCATCAGTCATTTTAGAACAACTGTGAACAACTACCGTATTTATGTGATACCTGAACGAACCGTCCGAGTTCGGCCAACCGTCCGCGTCGATCCAGGTGGGGTTTGAATTATTTTCCTCTTTTCAAATTCTTTGAAAATTCGAGCTTTTTCCTTTTTGCTCAATTCTGTTCACTTTCCAATCATACCCACAAGTTTTAAATCGTGAATTTCTAATTTTTCTTTATAACGTCCGCTTTTTTCAGCTCTGCGAGCCAGACGAGCTCGTGAAATCCAAAGGAGACGGATAAGGCGGATTATTTTGGCTTGTTTCATTATATTACTCATATTTGTGGTTCTGCCTTTATCTATTCTTAGTAATTCGTCATGAAAGAAAGAATAAAAGAAATTTTTTTCTCGAGAAAATGAACGGGCAAAGTCGGAATGGTGGATAATGGCCGCTAAAAGGGAGAGGTTCGAAAAAAGCCGCAGAGAGGCAGCAAAAAGAGTCTTACATTTTTTTTCTGTGATTTTAAAGGCTAATGGGTAGAAAAAGGAATAAAAAAACTATACCGTAACCCAAAAATTTCAATTTGAGATCTCAAATGTTTTCAAATTCAAAATTTGTCAATGAGAACTACCTTTCGAATTCCCGGGACCCTAACTTACAGTAAAAACTCAAGTTACAGTAACCCGAATAGCTTCAAGACCAGTATTTTCCATGATTTCTTGATTCAACCTAAAAATCGACTCCAAAATTTTCTTCTTTTGCTTACTTTTGAATCAAAGTTGGAAGGGTGGATAATGGCCGCTAAAAGGGCAAGGCTCAAAAAAGGCCGCAAAATGGCTCAAGAAATGGTGGGAAAGGGAAAAGCAGCAAAAATGGTGCATAAATGGGGCAAAAAGGTAGCAAAAAAGGAACAATTCTATGAAGCCTTTTCCACCCTTTTCGTCACGTAAAACTTGACAACATCTACAGGGAAAATTTTCAAAGACAATCTTTGGCCAATGATTGTGTAATACCTTCCAAGGAACAATTTCAATCATTCCTTATCAGTCTTCATTCTTCTTCCTCATTATTTGTTTCCACACTTTTCCAAAATGAGCGAAAACGCCCCTCCAACGACTCCGGATTCATCGCCGCCTAACACTCCAAACACTGGTCTGCGATTATTTTCCAATATTTTCCGGGTCTTTTCAAAAATATCAATTTTCATGGAGTATACATGAAAAATAGAATTCACCGTTAGAAACCAATTTGAGGGGTCAAGGGTCACGGCGTTTTTTTGGCGACGGACCGCCCATATTTTTTCCGTAATGTGTGGTGTGTCGTGTGCATACACTGCGGCGCTCTGGCACACGCCGCGTTCAACGTAATTTTCGCGAACTGAAATTCAGGAAATTCAGGATTCGTCTCGGGACCCATTACTGCGTCTTTAAAATTTCCTGTTGTTTACGCGTTTTTTCCCATGACGTCACATGGGAACGGCGGAGGTTTTGACCACGCCCCCTTAATTTTTGCTTTCGCACTTTCTTCGACTACACGGCGTTCCCAAACGGGTTGGGGAGATTTTCAAAAAAAAAAGTTTTGGCGCGAAATTTAAAACCTCAAGTACGCACCCAAAGACGATCGAGCAAACAAGTTATTAACGTTTGATACTCAGTGAAATTATAACGTCATTTTATCCGAAGCGCGCACTTGCTTCTTTTTGTAAATTCCCTCACCCCATTAGGAATGCCGTGCACTAACAAAAACACCGTGGCCATAAAAATTATCGTAAAAAAGTTCTCCAGAAGCAGAAGTCAATCTTCCTGATCCACCTCAGCTGTGATCACGGAAACGTGCTCTCCAGGTAAAACATAGCTTCTTCTTTGGAAAGTAACTTTTTGTACAATTCTGTCACCAGAACTTGGAAAAGCCTGACTTTTCCGCGCTTCTTCTTTTCCTGTGACCTTTTCCAAGATTCGAGCCCCCAAGATTGGTGTATGCACAATTCACGTTCACGAATATTCGCGGACTCAAAATTCTTTCCCACCATCCGATTTTTTTTCAATCAAAGAAGGTCAAAATTTCATTTTTCGCTTTCAGAAGTTCAAGAGCAACTATTTTTCAGAAAAAGGTCGGATTATGGCCGCTTTTTCTTTTTTTTTTTGCTTATTTTTGGTGCAGCTGTGACTTTAACTCTAAAATACTCTACCTAATATTTCAATGAAACGAATACATTTTTTTTTCCGAGAAAAATGAAGGCTGAAAGAAAAATGAATCTCGTTTTCATCAATGATATTCTCGTTTTCATCAATGATATTGAAAATTTTATTGATCCTCAATCCTCGATCTCTATCTTTGCTGATGACCTCAAGGTTTATAGCTCTTGCCCTGATTCGCTTCAAAGAAGCATAAATGATATTTTCCAATGGTCAGAACTTTGGTCTCTTCCACTTGCTGTTGAAAAGACTTTTTCTCTTCACTTTGGCTCTAACAATCCTCAAACGGTCTATTTTCTTGATCAATTTCAAATCCCACAAAGATCAATTGTTCGTGATCTAGGCCTTCAAATTGATGAGAAGCTCTCCTTCAAAGACCATATTTCCCGTATCTCTGCCTTTGCTACATTACGGTCTAATCAAATACTAAATACCTTTAAGTTTTCTTCCCCCCTGCACTACCTCAGAATGTTTCAAACCTACGTGACGCCTATTCTCGAATATTGTAGTGAAATCTTTTCTCCCTCTATCTCGTCCGAGGAATGCTTCAAACTCGAGTCTTCTCTACGCCAATTCAGTAGAAAAAGTTTTTTTATAAGATGCAATGTTCGCTTCAGTTCTTATTCTGATCGTCTCAGCCAATTTGGCTTTAAACCTCTCTTTGTACGTCGTTGTATTAACGACATTATTTCTCTTCATAAAAATAATTTGCGGCTCTGACCATTTTCTCAATCGCAATGACTTCTTCACTATTTCTCCTTTACAGAGGAATCCACTTCGACTTCGCACTTCCGGTCAGTTCTCTAAAGATTTTTTCCAAAAACTATTCCATTATGGAATAAACTTACCTCTAGAATAAATTTTAACGTCTCTACGGATGCGCTACGGGTTAAACTTAATGATCTCCCTAACTCTGCCTTTTTTTCGAATCTATTCCTTCCCGTTTGCTCTGACTTCCTTTCTATCCCCGGGTCATAGTCTACTCGTTAGGGTGGACTAATTCCCGTTTTGGTTATTCTGCTGCTTTCGTATTCTGAACTATTTTATTTATTATTTTCTAACAGTATGCAGTGAATAAACCTATTATTATTATTATTAAGGCATTTATCAAGTGAAACATAACAACAAAATGTACATATTTACAGAAAAATATTCCTGATTGGTCTAGGTTGAGCTATTTATAAGGTCAAACATCCACCAGGCCAAAAAAAGCAAGATCATAAGCATAACGATGAATAATGAGACGTAGAAACTGCGAACTCTGTTGGGTGCGTCGCGTGTGCGTGCGCGGTCTTCTCCTGAAAATTTTGAGCTTTGAAAATCAGAAAATTCTGGAATGGATTCTCCGAAACTTCTACAGATCCTTTTTAACTTGTGGGAAGTTCAAAACTTGTAAGATTCTGGCCGCATTTGGAATGGCTGATGCTTCGAAGAGCATACCAAAAAAGGAGCTCTTTTCAAAAAAAAAACGCGAGGCTCAGGCTTAGAATCAACAAACAATAAAGAATATTCAGAAAATTTAACTTTTTCTATCAAATTCTTCGAAAATACGGTTTCTAGAATCAATCAAGGTGACACTTGAGGCTCTATAAAGCCCAAAATACCTCTTCTAACATAAATTACAGTACGCCTAGGGGTACTGTAGGCCGGCGGGGGAATGTCGATGACGTAGACTGGCGGAGGTTCATCGGCACTAGTATTTTGGGCGGTTGAGGCATTTTTCGTGTAAGCTGGTGGGGCAAGACCTAACACTCCGGATAGTGTCATTTCTGAAAATTCAAAAAGTTGAACTTGGGGAAAAAAAAATCAATAGTCCAAAATTTCGTTCAAAGAGAAACGGAAATTTATAAAACTTCCAATTTCGGATCGGAAAGAATATTTTCAAAAAAAAAAAAGGAATTTTTCGAACTTCAACATCAGATTCAGGTACTTGGGAGAGTCTTGTCGAAAAAAATTTCAAAAAAATAAATAAATAAAAAAATCATCAATAGCCCAAGAATGAGGAAATTTGAAGATAAAAAAATTTTTGGTCTGATTATTTTTTTGACACATTTTGAAATAAGCAGACCAAAATGTCGTAAAATGAAAAAGCGGAAAAAAACTTCCAATTTTGGATCGGAAAGAATATTTTTCAGGAATTTTTCGAACTTCAACATCAGATTCAGGTACTTGGGAGAGGCTTATCGAAAAAAATTTTTAAGAAATAAATAAATGATAAAAAAATCATCAATAGCCCAAGAATGACAAACGTTGTCAGGAAACAGTTAGAAAAAAAAATTTTGGTCTGCTTATTTTTTGAAAAATTTGAAAATAAGCAGACCAAATTGTCGTTCAAAGAGAAACGGACAATTATGAAAATTCTAATTTTGGATCGGAAAGAATATTTTCAAAAAAAAAGAAATTTTCAATCTTTAACCTTAGATTCAGGTACTTGGGAAGAGATCAAAAAAAATTAGAAAAAAAATAATGAAAAAAATTAGTCATCAGCCAAAGAACGAGGAAATTCGAAGATGAAAAAAATTTTGGTCTGCTTACTTTTTTGAAAAAAATTTGAAAATAAGCAGACCAAAAGGTTGATTAAAGAAAAAGCAGACAAAAACTTCCAATTTTTGGTTCGGAAAGAATATTTTCAGGAATTTTTCGAACTTCAACATCAGATTCAGGTACTTGGGAGAGGCTTATCGAAAAATTTTAAGAAATAAATAAATGATAAAAATCATCAATAGCCCAAGAATGACAAAAAGTTGTCAGGAGATAGTTGGATCAAAAAAATTTTGGTCTGCTTAATTTTTTTGACAAATTTGAAAATAGGCAGACCAAAATGTCGTAAATAGAAAAGCGGACAAAAATTCCAATTTTGGATCGGAAAGAATAAAAAAAAAGGAATTTTCGATCTTCAACACCGGCTTCAGATACTTGGGAAAAGGCTTGTCGAAAAATTAGAAAAAAAAAATAAATAATGAAAATCATCGATAGCCCAAGAATGACAAACGTTGTCAGGAAACAGTTGGAAAAAATTTTGGTCTGCTTATTTTTCGGAAAATTTGAAAATAAGCAGACCAAATTATCGTTCAAAGAGAAACGGACAATTATGAAAATTCTAATTTCGGATCGGAAAGAATATTTTCAAAAAAAAGGAATATTTTCAAGCTTCCACATCAGATTCAGGTACTTGAGAAAAGGCTTTTCGAAATTTTTCAGGCAAAACGAGGGCCAAAAAAAGTACAACGCGTTGCAAACGCGGGAAGTGAAGCCAAATATTACAGGTGAATCACCATTTTTGCACAGTAAACATGTATTTGGAAGCTAACTATGCGTTTTAAAATTAGAATGAGTCAAATTTGGGCCAAAAATCGGGATTTTATACGCGAAGAAATTAGAGTTAGGGTATAATTTTAGGGTATGAGAAATTAGAACCTGTCTGAGGTAATAATTTTCAATTTAAGTTTTATAAAAAAAACTTTTTTTTGAGGGGGAATTCAAGAGTCTCAATGGTGAAAATCAAAAGAATCAGAAAAAAGAGAGAAATTTCAATTTCTATCTAGAGAAGTTTCTGAAAAATGAGCATTGTAAGGTGAAAAATGACTCTAAAAATAAAACAGAGGAAAAAAACGATGAGAAAAGTGGGAAATTGTGATTGGAATGGAGAATAATGGAAATTTAAATGAGCTGGGAAATCGAATAACTTTTTTCCATCCGACGTCACGCTTTGAAAAAGGCCTTCGTTAGTGGCCACTAGAGGGACTTTTAAAACCACCTCTATAGTGGCCACTATGACGGAGAATTGTTCTCTTTTTAGTGGCCACTATAGAGGTTCCGTTTGAGAGGGCACTTAAGGGGCTACTAAAACCACTTTCTATAGTGGCCACTATGAAGGAGAATTTTTCTCTTTCTAGTGGCCACTATAATAATTTTAAATCCAGTAACTCTTTTTAGGAGCAAAAAAAGTAAAAAAAAACGTTCCCAGTCAAAAATAGAGTGAAAATTGAGCTCGATCTCAACTTTTAAAGGGACTCTTTTCAGGGCTGGCAAATGTTACAGAGAGCTGTTGAACAAACTTTTTTTCGGCTTGGAATGGGAGGAGACCTTAAGCAAATAGAATCGAATTTGCAGCGGGGGTCATATCAGTTTTATGATCGAACGGTTCATGCGTGGTGGCAATGGGTGGGAACGTCGTTTCTTTTTTCTTTTTTGGAAAAAGGAAGTTCAAATCGAAGAGAAAAATGATAAAGAACCAAGGTTGCAACTATATTTCATAAAATGAAACCTTGGACCCATTTACTAAAAACCAGTAAACTCCAAAGGGGAACATTTTTTTTTTTGAATCACGTCAATCTTTTTAAGAAAATCTATGAAAAAAACTCAAAAATACGAAATTGAAAAAAAGGATTCAAAAATAGTTTCCAGTTCAAAAAAAACGAACGCAAATGAATAAATTTCAATTAACAAGAAGGTAATTTTTTTCTTGGGATTTTCATGAAAATTGGTCAGGATACTTCTTGATGTACCTGAAGAAGATCCTGAAAGTTTCAACTTGCACAAATTTTTTATTTTTGAGAAATAAAAAGCTTGAATAGCCTATTTTTTATAGGTTTTTAGAGTTTTCTTTGATTTTCAGGCGTCTTTTCTCAAAAATAAAGAAGTTGGACAGAATGAGACTTTCAGAACCTTCATCTGGTATATCAAGAAGAATCCTGACGAATTTTCAGGAAATTCCCAATCGCAAACAAAAATTACCTCCTTGTCAGGAAACCCCAAAGATTCTATCGACATATTAAAAATAATAGAAAAATGAAAGCTTCAAAATCAAGCTTTTATGAATGGAAAAAGTAGTTATTTTGAAAAACGTCTATTAGTCAACTGAAAACGGAGGGAAGGTAGGGCGAGACAATGAAAAATTCACGCTTTGGTCGGACCAAAAAGGGCAGACATCGAGTAATTTTCTGGAATTTTCAAAGTCTGGAGCTTGAAAAATCAAATTGTATCTTTTTATGTGGACACAGATTACAGAAGATAAATTTTTAAAAAAAGTATTTAAAAAAAATCTCAAGGTCAAGTTGGAGAGGTTCAGAACAGTCTACTACTCGGGCAAAGTCGAAATGGTGAATAAAAGGGAGAGGCAGCAAAAAATGGTGCATAAAGGCCCCAAAAAGGCAGCAAAAAGGCTCAAGAATTGGTGGAAAAGGGCCGAGAAATTGGCGAAAAAAGGCCGAGAAAATGGCGGAAAAAGGCAGCAAAAAGGCTCGAGAAATGGTGGAAAAAGGGAGACGGCAAAAATGGTGCATAAAGGCCCCAAAAAGGCAGCAAAAAGGCTCAAGAATTGGTGGAAAAGGGCCGAGAAATTGGCGCAAAAAGGCCGAGAAAATGGCAGAAAAAGGCAGCAAAAAGGCTCAAGAAATGGTGGAAAAAGGGAGACAGCAAAAGTGGTGCATAAGGGCCGAGAAAATGGCGCAAAAAGGCAGAAAAAAGGCTCGAGAAATGGTTGAAAAGGGAGACAGCAAAAATGGTGCATAAAGTCCGAGAAATGGCCCAAAGAGGCAGCAAAAAGGCTCACGAAATGGTGGAAAAAGGCAGCAAAAAGGCTCACAAAATGGTGGAAAAAGGCAGCAAAAAGGCTCACAAAATGGTGGAAAAAGGGAGACAGCAAAAGTGGTGCATAAGGGCCGAGAAAATGGCGCAAAAAGGCAGAAAAAAGGCTCGAGAAATGGTTGAAAAGGGAGACAGCAAAAATGGTGCATAAAGTCCGAGAAATGGCCCAAAGAGGCAGCAAAAAGGCTCACGAAATGGTGGAAAAAAAGGCAGCAAAAAGGCTCACAAAATGGTGGAAAAAGGCAGCAAAAAGGCTCACAAAATGGTGGAAAAAAAGGGAGACAGCAAAAGTGGTGCATAAGGGCCGAGAAAAATGGCGCAAAAAAAGGCAGAAAAAAGGCTCGAGAAATGGTTGAAAAGGGAGACAGCAAAAATGGTGCATAAAGTCCGAGAAATGGCCCAAAAAGGCAGCAAAAAGGCTCACGAAATGGTGGAAAAAGGCAGCAAAAAGGCTCACAAAATGGTGAAAAAGGCAGCAAAAAGGCTCACAAAATGGTGGAAAAAGGGAGACAGCGAAAATGGTGCATAAAGTCCGAGAAATGGCCCAAAAAGGTAGCAAAAAGGAGCCTTCTCGCCCTAAAAGGATAATTTCTATGTAGCCTTTTTTTTCCGATTTTGCCTATCCAACTTTTAGAATGAAACGAGTTTCTCAAAAACCTCGCACTTCGAAATCGGAAAGAGTAGGTGGAGGGAAATGAAAAATGCACGTTTTGGTCGGACCAAAGAAAGGGCAAAAAGTGGGTGGCGCGAAAAAGGACATCGGCACTATTCAGACGATTAAAACTCCAAAAATTGGACTGAAACTATTTCGAATCAAGAAGGAACTGAATGAAAAGGCAATTTTTGTTGATTCGCAAGGGTGGTCACCTGCAAACAACAGTTTTTGTTGTGTTCTATAAGGTCGCAAACACCTCAAAACTACAACAAAATGGCCTTTTAAGGCACTAGATAACGAGCGATTCCGGTTGTGATTTTATGATCAGGACCAGAAAGTTTTATGTTATTTTCCGCTTCTTCTAATGATCGGCTCGTCAAACGTGACGTCATAAAAATGATAATCCATTTAGACCAAGAATGACGTCATTTACCAAGCTTTGATTCAAACCAGGAACTTTTATTTTTTTTTTCTTGTTTTGGAACTTGAATTGTGACTTCCTTCTTCGAAAAAAAAAGCAGTGGAATAATTTTTAAGTCAAGCGGAAACCTAAATAGGCTAATTTTTATAAAATATTAGACAAAAGAATCCCTTGAAAAATAATTAAGCAGACCAAAAATGACGTCATAACTTCTCAAGCTGACCAAAGATTTTTGATTCAATCAGGAATTTTTAGGCCTTTTTTTCCATTTTGGGCACTAAACCCCTATATGGGCCCCTAAGAATTTCACCCATATAGGGGTCCTATTTTGCCCCCTACAGGGATCCCTACAACAACAAACCCTTCTTGGGACCCCTCAAAAATTCTTCAGTGGGTCAGAAAATGCCTTGTAACGTTATTAAGTAGACCAAAAAAGCGACGTCATGACTTCTAAGAGGGACTAAAAGTGACGTCATGACTTCTAACAGGGACTAAAAGGGACGTCATGACTTTTTCAAGCAGACCAAAAGAATTCCAAAAGTTCCTCAGTAGGTCAGAAAATGCCTTGTAAAATTATTAAGCAGACCAAAAAAGTGACGTCATGACTTTTTCAAGCAGACCAAAAACGTGACGTCATGACTTTTAACGGAGACTAAAAGTGACATCATCACTTTTCAAGCAGACCAAAAGAAGACGTGCCTTTTTCATGAAGACGTCATGATTTTTGAGAAGACCAAGTGACGTCCCGTTTCTACAGAAAGACCACAAAATGATTCTATCGAAAAATTTCTGGGTACAGAATAAATCAAAGCGAAGGCTAATTCGATCAAGAAACACGGTTTTTCATAACCCCGTTGATTGTTTGAACTCCGGAAATTGCATCAAGTTGATCTGTTTGCAAAAGTTTTTTGTTTTGCGTTAGGGTTGTTCCAATATCAATAAAAAGGTTCTTATTTGCTTTTGAAAAGCCAAAGTTCTTTAGGAGTCTTCCGATGCTTCTTCTTCTGAAAGGCTTGCGATGTACTCTTTGCAAGGCGTCCAGTTACAGGCCCTCTTGAATTTGACTTTTCTGGAAAGTTTTGGGTCTGAATCAAATTAAAATCGAGCCAAATATCTTGGGATTACTTGTTGTAATGACAAATCAACATTGAAAATTTAAAAAAGTACAAAATTTTTTCTCAAGTACACTGAAAAGGGATGTGAATACCTTTATGAAACAGTTTTTGGGCCTGCAAATACTTTCCTAGTAAGCAGAGCGAAAAGTTCTGGTCGGATGGTTTTTTGGAATTTTGGGTCCGCAAAAGTTCGTGAGCCTGAAATGTGCATGCACCAGTCTTGGGGAATCTTGGAAAAACGATTCTTAGAAAAAATGTTCACCTCTTTCTTGATTTTTTTATAAGATTCTTTATTTTTTTGCAATCAGAATAATGATATAGACGTTCTGCAGAGAATCTTTGATTATGCGTTTTTTGGCAATAATGAGTTGAAAAAAAAATCGTACGGTTCTCATTTGTGGTCGACATCTTCACAATAAAACGAAAAAAAAGTATATAAAAAATCAAGAAAGTGGAATATTTTCAATAGAAGACCCAATTTTCCAAGATTGGTGCATGCACATCTCACGCTCACGACTATTTGCGGACCCAAAATTTCTTGTTACCATTTCGGGTCGTTTTGAGCCATGGAGTTTTTCAAAGCAAAGTTGAGACGTTTTTTTTTATATTATTATATTTTTTTTAGATTAAAAGTAAGGTAACTCACGAGCAATCACACATTTCTCCGATGCATTCGAATTTACTATATTGAAACCCGCCGCCACACCTTACATTGCACGGTGTGAATTCTCCCATCACGCAAAATCCATTCTTCAACCAAACTTTTTTTCTGGTTTAAAAATAACCCACTTCAATCAACATTTTACGTTCATTAGCGGACCGAGGATCGTTACCCTAAAAACTTTTTTTGAAATTTAAAATTCGAGAAAAACTACCATCCCATTCGCCCTGTCGCCAAGAAATACAAAAAGTAGCGCTATACTCAGAAACGACCGCCTTTGAAACATTATCGGACTAGAAATGATTAAAATCTCACGTTCCCCTTTAAAAAAAATGGGAAAAAAAGAAAAGCCTTTGGCACGATGTCGTCGATTTCTCAATGGTAATTCCCTGCATAAGCCCTTTCCAACGACTATTTTCTGCCTTTTTGAGAAAAATAAAGGTTTATTGAGCAAGAAAAAAAAACGGGAAAAGTACAGAAAGGCAGTGAAATTAAAATTATGAAGATTCTAAAAATGATGAGAAGTGTTAAAAAATATTTGGTTTGAATGAAATTATAAATTACTCAAGTCTTAAAATGTTTCAAGATGACGTCATGAACTTCAAGGTGACGTCATAAACTCCAAGATGACGCCATAAACTTTTCAAAAAACTAAGCAGACCAAAAAAAAAAATGATGTCACAAAAATCTGAATAAAAATCATGTCTTGTTCAAAATGATTTCCGCGAAATGGGTGGCGGCTATTTTGAATTTCGCGGAATCACTTTTAACATGACGTCACAGACTTTTCAATCAATACCTAATATCTAAGCCTAACAATAAATATCTACAATCGTTTAACAACTAACAAAGAATCCTCGCTGATGGTTCGATCAATGGTCGGGATCGAAGAATAAGACCTCGTCGTTTTTTGGAATGACTGGAAAATGGAGGGGCAGGAAGAACTGGAGACCAGTGTTTTCGAAGAAAGGGACGGGATAGAGGCTACTAGAGTAGCCTCTTCGGAAGCTTCGTGCGAAGCAGGTAAGGAGAAATGCAGGTAAGTGGATGGTCCCGAAACCAAGGATGGCATGGAAGCCGGACACTGTAGGGAAGTTGGGGAGCTCGGGCGACTTGGCTGAAAAAATCAGTTGATGACGTCATAAGATTGATTAGTGACGTCATATGGCTTCAGCTCAAAAATATCAAGGCTTGAAAAAATTTACGGTGTGAAAAATAACTTTTTTGAGCTTTCGATCAAAAAATTCGATTTTCATGAAAGTTTGTTGACAAATCGATTTTTTTTCATTAAAGTGACGTCACTTTTTGGTCTGCTTAAGAATTTGGTCGTTTGGTACAAATTGGCAGTCCCAAACTTTTTGAACAGCTCTCGTCGAAATTTGGCAGTCCCAAACATTTTGGACAGCTCGAGTCGAAATTCGGCAGTCCCAAACATTTTGAACAGCTCGAGTCGAAATTTGGCAGTCCCAAACTTTTTGGACAACTTGAGTCGAAATTTGGCAGTCCCAAACATTTTGGACAGCTTGAGTCGAAATTTGGCAGTCCCAAACTTTTTGGACAGCTCGAGTCGAAATTTGGCAGTCTCAAACTTCTTCTACTAAGGTAAGGTCACCAAAATAAAACTACAAGAAAAGTTTGATGTGCAGGAAGACCCGCTTTTCCGATTCAAATTCAACGCATTCCAATCCAACCAACCTCGTCCAGCTCAAGCAATGGGGTGCTTGGGTACCATCTTGGCTGCCGACTGACCCGAGTGCCCGAGCGCCGGCGGCTCCCGCTCAAACCGGTGCTCAAGCTCGTATTCCCCCCGTTGTCTCGATGATTGAAAAAACCGCACGCACATGAACATCATTCCTCCCTGCAGAAAAAAAATGCTCAGTTTAATTATTCAGGCTTGATGAAGAAGAAAAATGAGGAATTAGCAGTTCTCGGCTTGCGTGCTCGGCTGTAATTGGGGTCGTTTTTTTCTGAATTGATGGAATCTGATGGGAAATTCTGATGAGAAACAGAGAAATTTGACCTTTTTCCCCGAATGAAATACTTTCATCTTACTACGTATACACAAATCTCCCCAATTTTCGATCTCTTGACCAACACGTTTGGTCCATTTGGAGTAATGAAAAAAGGAGGCGTGGCCTAATCGCCTGAACTTGGCGCCGCTTTCCAGATTAATTAGCTTTTTGGCTTTCTCGACTGACCGCTGCTTTTGATATTAGTTTACGGAATGAAAGTACGACATATACTAAAAGTAAAGGTGACGTATTTTTTCTTTTAAATTTATATGTAGGGAATAGTTAAGCAGACCAAAATCTAGGGAAAAGTTAAGCAGACCAAAATCTGGGGAAAAGTTAAGCAGACCAAAATCTAGGGAAAAGTTAAGCAGACCAAAAAGTTTAGGGAAAAGTTAAGCAGACCAAAAAGTTTAGGGAAAAGTTAAGCAGACCAAAAAAAGTTTAGGGAAAAGTTAAGCAGACCAAAAAGTTTAGGGAAAAGTTAAGCAGACCAAAATCTAGGTAAAAGTTAAGCAGACCAAAAAGTTTAGGGAAATGTTAAGCAGACCAAAAAGTTTAGGGAAAAGTTAAGCAGACCAAAACAGATTTAGGGAAATGTTAAGCAGACCAAAAAGTTTAGGGAAAAGTTAAGCAGACCAAAACAGATTTAGAAAAAAGTTAAGCAGACCAAAAAGTTTGGGGAAAAGTTAAGCAGACCAAAATCTAGGGAAAAGTTAAGCAGACCAAAATCTAGGTAAAAGTTAAGCAGACCAAAATCTAGGGAAAAGTTAAGCAGACCAAAATCTAGGGAAAAGTTAAGCAGACCAAAAAGTTTAGGGAAAAGTTAAGCAGACCAAAACCTAGGTAAAAGTTAAGCAGACCAAAAAGTTTAGGGAAAAGTTAAGCAGACCAAAACAAGTTTAGGGAAAAGTTAAGCAGACCAAAAAGTTTGGGGAAAAGTTAAGCAGACCAAAATCTAGGGAAAAGTTAAGCAGACCAAAAAGTTTAGGGAAAAGTTAAGCAGACCAAAATCTAGGGAAAAGTTAAGCAGACCGAAATATAGGGAAAAGTTAAGCAGACCAAAAAGTTTAGGGAAAAGTTAAGCAGAACAAAAAGTTTAGGGAAAAGAAGCAGACCAAAACAGATTTAGAAAAAAGTTAAGCAGACCAAAAAGTTTGGGGAAAAGTTAAGCAGACCAAAATCTAGGGAAAAGTTAAGCAGACCAAAATCTAGGTAAAAGTTAAGCAGACCAAAATCTAGGGAAAAGTTAAGCAGACCAAAATCTAGGGAAAAGTTAAGCAGACCAAAAAGTTTAGGGAAAAGTTAAGCAGACCAAAAACCTAGGTAAAAGTTAAGCAGACCAAAAAGTTTAGGGAAAAAGTTAAGCAGACCAAAACAAGTTTAGGGAAAAGTTAAGCAGACCAAAAAGTTTGGGGAAAAGTTAAGCAGACCAAAATCTAGGGAAAAGTTAAGCAGACCAAAAAGTTTAGGGAAAAGTTAAGCAGACCAAAATCTAGGGAAAAGTTAAGCAGACCGAAATATAGGGAAAAGTTAAGCAGACCAAAAAGTTTAGGGAAAAGTTAAGCAGAACAAAAAGTTTAGGGAAAAGAAGCAGACCAAAATCTAGGGTAAGTTAAGCAGACCAAAGGGGATTTATTTAGGGCAAAGTTAAGCAGACCAAAAAGTTTAGGGAAAAGTTAAGCAGACCAAAATCTAGGTAAAAGTTAAGCAGACCAAAAAACTGGGCCAACCAGACTTTCAGCTTTTTTTATATTTCAAGACTTTCAAGTTTGAACAAAAAGTTTATTTTTCCAAAAAGGTGATATTCCAGGAAAAAAAGGTACACTATAATCAATTTTCTCAAAACACACCCCAATCAAACTTGTAAATAATTGGTGGCCTTTGCGGGAGAAAAAAAAAACCCGCAATTATTTCAGTGCGGTTCTTAGAAAACGGGGAGAAAAAGCAAAAGTTTTATGATTTATTACCGCACTGGAGCAGAAGCTGAAAAATACTTGAGAAATAAGCCAGGATTAGAGTAAAATATTTGTAGAGGAGAAGCCGTTTTTGACGTTTCCTGGTTAGAAAAGGCACGCTTTTGGGAAAAATTGAGTTTTTCGAATAAAAATGACGTCATTTTTGGAAAAATGTGGTCGCATGTAGAATGGCTCAACGAGTTGCGGCTAAATTACGCGTTTGAAGATTACTTTCAGAATTCCCGGACTTTTTTTTTTGAAGCCGTTTCAGGCCGGGTGCAACCTCTCAGCCATTCCAAATAGCCGCATTTTTGGCCTTCTAACTTCCAGTTTTTCTGCGAAAAATTTATTATAATAGTTTAAAGCTTTAATTTTAGATTTTTCCGCCAAAATAGATCTCTCATCAAAATTTCTCCAATTTATATCAATCTACCGCCCAAGAAGCCCCCCTGCCCCCCTAGTACCTTGTCCCCAATGACAAGAAGTGATGGAGCTGTAGGAGAGGGAGCCCAAATGGCGGATGATTTATCGACGTGTCACTTTTCGACGTCTCGAGATGATGACTTGGCCGTTTGAGTCGCCGCCTAATCATCACTTTTTTCTCTCCTCTTTCTTTCAGGGCGTGAGAATCATCGTGTTGTGTGAAAATTTGCGGTTTGAAAATATACACACCTGCTGGGGTTTTTGGCTCGGGTTCAAAAAAAGATGGAGAAGTGGAAAAAAAAAAGTGAGGCTGACTTTCTTAGCAATTCCAGAGTATTCCCTACAGGAGCAACCTTAGGGGCCCTTGGAGGGACCACTTTACCAGCCCCTATAGGGGCCACCAAAGCTTGCCAAAGTGGCCCGTATAAAGGACATTCCAGTCGATGATTTGTGACGCATTTTCATGTGAAAAACTGAATGTTTTTGAATGGAATTGAAAAACCCCTATAGGGCCCACTACAGCTTTAGGAGCTAAGGGGTCAGACTCCGAACCCCTCTAGGGACCACCTTAATTTTATCCCTATAGGGATCACTTTTTAGGCCCCTTAAGGGACCCCTCCGGAATTCCTAATTTTACTTTTGTTCTCAAAAATTCCCTGTAACGGCAAAAAGGTCAAAGCGGGACTGCTGTAGAAATATCTAAATCTCCGTATTTTCCACACTATCTCGTTAACTTTCAGAATGACTTTATCTATATGATAACAAATATCGTGGATCAAACTAGATTCAAAAAAAAATTTACTATAAGAATGATGACGTCATCTTTCACTCAATACTCAGAAAATGAATCAAATCAACTATAACCGAATTTCAGTGTTTTTTTCTATTTCAGGCCATTTTTAAAAGAAAAAAAGAATTGTTTTCTTTTGAATTCCAATACGGAGAATGGAGAGCCCACCATTAGGAGTGCAAAATCGGCTCTCGGACCATTAAGCTGGGCATTTTTGGCGTGCGGCCGAGCAGCAAAGAAACGCGTTCGGCTTGGCTGATTTTCTAATTCAATCCCTGCCCCCCTTTTTCATTGTGGCCAACGCTTTACTACGTTTGTCCTCTGGTTCAGGTCAGGTATAATATGAGCAAAAAAAACCTTTTTTTTTGATTTTTTGGTAAGGGAGAGTAGGTGCAAGATTGCTGTGAAAAAATAGCCGCGATAAAGTTGATTTTTGCGCTCCATTAATAATTCATTTTTTTTTCGTTATAGTACAGATACTTGAAGAGGGAAACCGCCATGAAAGGTGTTAGAAAAAAAAGAATACTGAAAAAAGAGTTTTGAGAGCTTTTGCGCTCCATCGATAATTCCTGACTTTCTCCTATTAACGACTATTTGGCCATGGATTTTTGACTGAAAAGGTGCTCAGAAAGTTGAAAAAAGTCACCAGTTCTCTTTTTTGCCGTAGAACTCTCTGATTCTACATGAAGAGGCTATTTTTCACGAAATTCAATTTTCCTTCAGTTTCTGCCTTTTATGAACCAATTTCGATGCCTATAAACTAAATTTGAATCATTAAAATCGAACCAAAAGTGCGACGAGCATCTGGACGACCATGATTATCATGTACTTCTCCAGGCGACCCATTGAATCCTGAAAAAAATATTAATAATAGAAAAAAAAAATTAAGCTGAAGAAGTCTAGATTCCAAAAAACGCCAAGAAGCTTAAAAATATCAGAGGCAAAATCGGTAGGACCCTTTACGGGCCCTTTGAGGGTCCGTAAATGCTCGAAAAAAAAAAAAATTTTCCTAAACGGGTGGCAACAGTTTCCTTTTTACTGCCTTTTTCCGTCCTTCCATCGGCCTTTATTCACCCTTTTTGGGCCCTTTTGTTGAGAATAATCTTCACCAGTGACTGTATAGACCAAAATGTGCTACAGTAATACAATCGGAAATCATGGCCGAGACTTTTTTGAGGCTTTTGAGCCCACCAAGAAAAAAGGCTCGATAAAGGCCGCAAAACAGAACCCTTTTAGCGGCCATTTTGCAGCCGTTTTTGACAGTGATGCCAAATTGAAAGTTTTCGATCGGAATACTGAACTCTAAAGAAATTTTCCTACCTTCATCGAGACGATATCGTCGAAAAGCTGAACGATCCTCGCATATTCTTCCATGAACGCCTTCAAGCGCATTTCGCGCTCCATCGTGAAGCCCTTAATGGTGAAAATCCTGGAAAGATGTTACAAAAATAAAAAATAATGATTTAAAATGATCTTCATTTAAATCGAAATCCGCTATTTTTTTCTGCACCCTGGTATTAAGATAGAAAAAAATCGTTCTTGAAAAAAATTCATTTTTTTGAAACTGTCAACTGGAGCATCGTAAAAAAAGTCTCTTCTCATTAAATATAAGCCGGAAAAAAATGAACGTTTGAAAAGGGACAAAGAAAAAAAAATGTGAAGTACCGATTTTACAAGATTTTTTCAGGTGCCTCATTAAAAAATCAAACTTTTAAGACAAATCCAAAAACAAAAGCAATATCTCAAAAGTGCAGCTGGAATGAGCAAAACGGAAGGCTCAAAACAAAGTGGGCGTGGCTTCCGAGGCCACGCCTTCTCCTTTGCACTCCGTAATTCCGACTCGTGTGTCTGTTGCAAATGATGAATGAATAGACGGGGTTAAATAAATTATGGGTCGGAGAGAAACCGCTACGCGGCACGCAACGCGGTTAAAAATACTTGGGAAAAAAAAAATGAAGCCAGGAGCTGATGACTTGAGGTCATGGGTTCGGATCCTGCTCACGCCAAGAAGATTTTTGCCTTTTTTGCCCCACTCAACGCGGTTAAAAATACTTGAGAAACTTATAGGTGTGAAAAAAGGGAAGCCAAGAGCTGTTGACTAGAGATCTTGAGGTCATGGGTTCGGATCCTGCTCAAGTCAGGAAGATTTTTGCCTTTTTTTCAAAGATTCTCAACATTGTTGCTGACTTTGAATGAGATTTCGGAACAAATTCATCACTTTATAAGCCAAAAATGGGCTGAAAAAGACGTTGAAAGAACTTTGAATGAGGTTTTCCGAGAAAATCGGTGTTTGCGAACATAATAACACACACTCGGGTGAGCTTCCGGCTGGCCATATTTGGGCAAAAAATGAGCTTTATCCGAAAAAAAAGGACTATGGGAAAGGTTGCAATTGTGAAATTCGGCCTTTTTAGGACAACTTTTGGAGTTTGATAGAACTCAAAGGTTACTTTTACTTCCTGGGAAAATGTTTAGTGGCCACTATAGGGTTTTGAGGCTCTAGTGGCCACTATAGTAGTCAAAACAGTGGCCACTAAAGGGGTTAAAATTTAGTGGCCACTATAGAGGTCTAAGACCACTAAAAATTTTAGTGGCCACTTTAGGGGTCAATGGATCAGCATAACTGATCCAATCTGTTTGTTTGAATTTATCAGAGTTAATGGAAAGAATACTGGATGAAAAACTACTGAAGTGGCCACTATAGAGGTCGGTTTAGTGGCCACTTTAGTGTCCTCTCCAAGTAGTCCTTGGCGAGCCTCTATAGTGGCCACTAAAAATTTTCCCAGTCTACACATGGTTCTACAAAAAAAAGAGGTGCAGCTTAAAGGTTATTCAAAACTTATGCGCGAATAAAAATTATATCGGTTGCTCTAAAAGTAAAAAAAAAAATTATATCGGTTGCTCTAAAAGGAGGGGCGGCATAGCTCAGCTGGCATAACTCATTTCTAACGTCCGCAAGGTCGTAGGTTCGAGTCCCCCCCGAGGTCGACCAAGCCTTTCATCCCTCCGGGGTAGATAATATTGGAAGCTGCATGCAGCGAAAAGGCTCAATCTCTGCCATCGGCCTTTGGAAAGCCGGCACCGTACTTCTTCCTACGACCCCTCTTGTACCTGATGTTCTACGAGCGACATTCACAACTTCTCTGCCTAAGCCACAGCTCCTGCCGCCGTTTAAACACAGTTGAAATCAATGAAAGTCGATTGCACATGTATTCTTACATTGAAGATGCAATAAACAGTTAAACAGTTAAACAGCTCTAAAAGTGTTGAAATCACCATGATCTTCAAATAGATAGCAATTATGAGATGAAAATCGTTTCTAATTATTCCAAAATTCCGAAAATTGAAGGTCATTAGTACACGGGTCTCGTTTGGAGCAAATTTTCATCTCTGGACACTCTAAAAAAAATTCAAAGCTACGATTAAAACCACCAGAAGGCCTTGAAAGAGGAAAGTTATCTACGAAAAATGTCAAGACCAATATAATTTTTCCTAAAAGAATAGGCCCGAAAATCCAGATTTCCACGCCTATTTGGCAAGTGGTTCAACGAAAAAGGCGACTGGGGGGAGGTCAAAAACAAAAAATAAAGTGTCCATATTTTTTTTTTCGTAATCGTTTATTGGCGCCATTCAGCCGAGCCAAATAATGGAATGGAATGGGCCGCGCATTATTTTTTTTTCTTCTTCTTTTTATTCCAGGTCCTGAGAGAGGGGAGACTATTCAAGTCTCAAGTTTGCCTAGGTCTTCAAAATTTGAGATTTGGAAAGTTTTCAAGTGATCTCTTCGCCTTGAAACTTTAAATACCCTGGATTTTTTCAGCCTCCCTAAAAAAGTCAACTGAAGCTTCTTTCAGACAAATTAGGAGCCTCGAAAGTTTACAAACCTTTTTTTCAGACTTTAAAAACTAACCATAGATAAATTAAGGCAAGTGGTTCCAAAAAAATCTAATCTTTTGGTGGTATGAAAAAAACACCGGCGAAAATTTAAACGGCGACTTTTCCGATTTTTTCATATCGCTAGGGAACTTTCCGACGAAACTTTTTCCGACTTTTTTTTCTCGATAAACTCTTCGTTTTACATCTTCCTATATAAAGTAGGTAGTTTGTTCATACTTAAAACACAAAGAAATAGAAAAAAAATGTTCATAGATGTTTTATAACCGAAAAGCATAAGAGAAAAAAGTCGGAAAAAGTTTCGTCGGAAAGGTGGCCGTCGGAAAGTTCCCTAGCGAAATGAAAAAATCGGAAAAGTCGCCGTTTGAATTTTCGCTGGTGTTTTTTTCATACCACCAATCTTTTCCAAGAGAAAGAAGAAAAATTTTGGCCCGTCCTAAATCCAACTCTCTTCTCAGCCTGCGAAGCTTATGATGGAGGTTCGAATCCTTTTCGCCTTTATTTTTCAGAAGAATTCTGATGAGAAAATTGAAATTTTATGTCTTGAAAAAAATGGCAAAAAAAATGCCGGCAAAAGGATTCGAACCTTCATAATAGGCGCCGCAGGCTAACACGATAGCCACTGCACCACGCTCCTAGCTGCCATGCAATGGTTGGTGGCGCGGCCAGATTCCTTCCAAACGGCGTCACATGGTTAAGGATAAAAACTTTGAAGAGTCATATCAAAAAAAACTAGAAGTTTGCGCGGATAGCGTCTATGTGGGATAGATTCCCAGTCCATCAAAGATTGTTTGAGCAAATTAATAGGAAATTCAGAACCCTACGTTAAAATTACTTCTCATGTCGTTCCCAAACGAGGTGGGGAGACAACAAAAAAAAATGGCGCGAAATTTGAAACCTCAAGTACGCAGCCAAAGGCGATCGAACAAGTTTAATACTCCGTGGGCATGTTCTAAAACACGAGCGGTTGTGGGGCACGAGCGGCACGACCGTTACTAAATCACAAGCGGTTTCATTTTCGCTCCTTCGCGAACGCTTCTAAATCACGAGCGTTTTTGGCTTATCGTTCTGTTCGAGCGTTTCTAAATCGCGAGCGTTTCATTTTAATCATTTTCTTTATTACCATCCAAGTGTGTGTTTTCATATTTCTACCTTCTTTTTTTCTCCTTGAATAAAAAAATTTTTGACGATCTTATATGCACATTTTTTTCGCTCAATTTGTTGATTGATTCACATTTGAGGTTCATATAATGGATTTTTTCTAAGTTTTTTTGCGGTCTCTATAATTTCACAGATTCTGCGTATGGCAAATTTTTTTCTAATAATTTCATCTGATTTTTCATATTCAATATTTCACAGATTTTTGCGTATGATAAACTAATATTTCACAGACGTCTCGCATGAAAGTCAATATTTCTCAAATTTTGCGTATAGCAAATTTTTCTAATACTTTCTCTCAAAAATTTTTTTCTGGTAATAGAATCTCATATTCGAATTGATGCCATTCATATTTTATTCTCCTCTTACCCGCTAGAATAGTTTTGGAGATACTACCAAAAAAATTTATTCGTTTCAAGCTTTGAAAATATTTATCATGAAACGAGAAAAATACGAAATTTACGGAGTATCAAAAAAATAAATTAATAACCGTAGCGAATGAATGAAATAAATGCCATAAGCGTCTGGTGGTTCATCGGTGAATGACAGCCGTATAACGAAACAGATTGGAAAAATGAAAATATAGAAAAAAAGGAAATCAATGTATAAATCAGAGTTTATATGCAATAACAGGGGGCTTCCTGTAAGCAGGTGAAATTGAAAAAAATAATTCTCCTCACTGGATCCCGCGCAGAACGTTCAGGGGAACTTTTTCTAACATCCGAAAAAAATTCGCCCTCATCATATGGCTGATCCGAAAAAGAATTAATCTCATCGAGGTGAACACCGATGATGTTTTGGTTCTCTGAAAGATAATAATAATTTTTCCGCATCCGTTAAATTTTTCTATAATTTTCGATTACCATCAGTCGATTTTTTTCTTTTAATTCAGTTGTAGATCGTGTGGAATTCATACTCGTGTCGCGGATTTCCCCTTAAAGTGATTTTTTTGATACATGTTAAAAAAACTTGTAATTAGTAACCCACCTTCTTCAAGACTCAGGTATGAAAGTTCGACAATGGAATCTGAAACATCCAAATTATATGAGAAAAAAACCTCAATATACCATCCATTAGCTCCAAAAAATCATCCGGAAAATCTTCGGGCGGTGTGTAATTGCTTTAAAAAACTATCAGTGAGAAGGCAGGGAAGAAACTTACGACATAGTGGGCTTCGGACGATAACCAGAAAAATGCAGCAAGCTCCCGTTGTTCCAGAAAAATGCAGCAAGCGGCCTGTTACTAAATTTTATAATTTCGTATTATAATTCCGCCCAAACAGCGCTTATAAAATGACTATACTAGCTAGATGCAAGAAAACACAGATGAGAATCAGAGAAAAAAAGTTCATATTTTTTTAATTTGTCATAAGCAAAATCTGAGAAATATTGACTTTCATGCGAGACATCTGTGAAATATTAGTTTATCATACGCAAAAATCTGTGAAATATTGAATATGAAAATCAGATGAAATTATTAGAAAAAAATTTGCCATACGCAGAATCTGTGAAATTATAGAGACCGCAAAAAAAACTTAGAAAAAAAATCCATTATATGAACCTCAAATGTGAATCAATCAACAAATTGAGCGAAAAAAATGTGCATATAAGATCGTCAAAATTTTGTATTGAAGGAGAAAAAAAGAAGGTGGAAATATGAAAAACACACACTTGGATGGTAATAAAGAAAATGATTAAAATGAAACGCTCGCGATTTAGAAACGCTCGAACAGAACGATAAGCCAAAAACGCTCGTGATTTAGAAGCGTTCGCGAAGGAGCGAAAATGAAACCGCTCGTGATTTAGTAACGGTCGTGCCGCTCGTGCCCCACAACCGCTCGTGTTTTAGAACATGCCTACTCCGTGTAATTATGACGTTATTTTATCCGGAGCGCGCACTTACTTTTTTTTTTAAATTCAGGAGCTTTGACGCCTTTCCTCACAACATTAGGAATGTGTCAGGTGATTTTGAAAAAAAATAAATCAAAAATTCTAAAATCGAAGCAAGTTTATGCGAGAGGGTGAAAGAAGAAAAAGGGCGAAAATCACTCGAGTTGTTTTTTGAGGCGGTCGAGCTTGCGCTGTACCTCCGAATTATCATGGCTTCTTCGCTTGGGCGACGGCGACAGCGATCCGGACCCCGCGGCGGGACGGCCACGTTTGCGGACGGCGCGACGCGATTCGGTGTTGCGCGCAGCGATGCCGCGGTGCTGACGCGAGGTTGAACGGCTCTTCTGACGTCGCGGAGCATCACTCTGCGAGATGGGCTTGCGTTCTTTGGAGCGGCTTCTGCGAGTTTGGGCCGTGGAGCGACGACGCGACATCGAACGGGCGGTGGAGATGGAGCGGCTTCGGCGACCCGATGTCGTGCTCCTGCGAGAGGTGGAGCGGCTTCTAGAGCTTCTGACACTTCCTGAGGCCAGTCTTCTACGAGAAGCAGAACGGCTTCTAGAGCTTCTGACACTTGCTGAGGCCAGTCTTCTACGAGAAGCAGAACGGCTTCTGGCACGCGTCGTCGACCCTGTTCGGGAGCCAGAACGGCTTCTGGAACTTCCGCGACGCGACGTCGATCTTTTACGAGACCCAGAGCGGCTTCTAGAGGTCCTACGGGAAGCGGAACGGCTTCTTCCACGCAATCCAGACCGGCTTCTGGAGCCACGACGACGAGAGATCGACCTGGCGGTGGTGGTCGAGACACGACGCGTTTTCAGGGTTTTGCGCCGAGGCGTTTCGTCCTCCGCGTTCTTCAGGTAGAGCCGGGGACCTTTCTTGGCCGTAGACGTGGCCGGCGAGGGAAACGCCACTGAAAATGGAAACTGAAAGCTGGAATCACAGGAGTGGTCCCTATATGAGCCCTTGGAGTGGTCACTCTAGGGACTACTTTACCAGCCCCTATAGAGGCCACTAAAACTTGCAAAAGTGGTCCCTATAGGAGCCCTTGGAGGGGTAATTCTAAGGACTACTTTACCAACCCCTATAAGGGCCACTAAAGCTTGCAAAAGTGGTCCCTATAGAGGCCTTTGGAGAGTTTCCTCCAGGGACTTCTTTACCAACTCCTATAGGGCCCACTAAAACTTGCAGAAGTGGTCCCTATAGGGGTCTTTGGAGTTTCCTCCAGGACTACTTTACCAACCCCTATGGGGGCCACTAAAGTTTGCAGAAGTGGTCCCTATAGGGGTCTTTGGAGTTTCCTCCAGGACTACTTTACCAACCCCTATGGGGGCCACTAAAGTTTGCAAAAGTGGTCTCTATAGGGGTCTTTGGAGTTTCCTCCAGGACTACTTTACCAACCCCTATGGGGGCCACTAAAGTTTGCAAAAGTGGTCTCTATAGGGGCATGCTAGTCGATGATTTTCTTGTGCTCTATGCGAAATTTTGAATGAAATCGAAAAACCCCTATAGAGACCCCTTGAGCTTCAGGGGCTGAGGGGTCAAACCATAAACCCCTATAGGAACCACCTTGATTTCACCCCTAGAGGGTCCACTTAAGAGCTGTTTTTCCTTCTAACCCCCCGGGACCGCTCAAAAATTCCCAAGAATAGCTAAAATTCATTTCAAATTTCCCGCCAATTCAAAAGTTACTGGCATTTCAAAACCGACCAGCACCATGCTTCCTGACGCGCATCGGCGTCGGCGGCATCGTCGTCAGTAGCCTCTGAAGGTCGTCGTCGGCGTGGAACAACGAGACGGCGACGTAGTTGGTGTCATCCACCTTGATGGTGAACGCCTCAAAGTTGCCGTCTTTCGAGTAGTCGTTCAGAAAAGAGGAGACTAAAGCCCAATGATTAGAGTCTTGGATAGATGACGAGAAAACCTTGTTGGACGGTTTTGTGGTCGAGGACTGGCTTCAGACGAGGTCTGGCGCCGCGTCTCGGCGATGTTGGGGAAGAGAAACCGCTTCTCTCAGAGGCCGTCGAGCCCGTGGCGGAGGTCGCCGGGCTCTGCAATGACGTCATTCATAGTTATTTTGGGAGGTCGTCCAAGTCTTCAGATGTGAATCCTGTACTCCTACCAAGCTAATCTCCCACCGTTTCCCCGTTAGAACTCACCTTTTGAGTTTGTTCAAACTAAACTAAGCTTCTATCCGCAATTTCTCGTGCTCTTCCAGGACATACTGACCTTTCCACAGGTCCCGGAAAACCTTCCTTCAAACTTAATGAAGCTAAGGTACTCCCTTAACTCTATTCGACTTCAAAACCCGGGAAGTGCAAGAGATCAACGATGAAACTAGGTATATAGGTACTTTCGGACACCCTGAACCCAAAGAAGTTGAAAAAAGTGCGCTTTTTTTGATTCTGCGCCTAAAAAAATGCACGCAATAACGGAAGGAGGGAATCTATTACGGCGGCTGACCTTAGCTGCGAGCAGGCAGCGTGGCGCAGTGGCTAGCACCCTTGTTCTGCCAAACCTATGATGCAGGTTCGATTCCTCATTGGTGAAATTCATTTTTGCCAATTTTTTTCTTGGGTTAAATGATGAAAGCATATCATTTTGATGGACCTCGAAGCAGCCTTAAGGATTAAAGTTCGGAAACTGACATAAGCGAGTGGAGACGCGGACGAACGGCGGTTTGCGATCCGACGACTTGACATTATGACGAGTTGAGCAGGAAATAAGGCGATCCCGACAACTTCTAACTATGACCACGTCACGTAGGGAATTATCCTATTTTCCTTTTTATTTTTTTAATTTTTTGTTCGTCCTCATTTAATCATAGTTCCCTGCAAAACGGATAATACTCTCATTTTCTTTTTTCGAAAATGTTCAACTTTATTTTAACGTGATATGGAATGTCTAAAGATCCTTGGGGTGAAATTGCGCCCGACCAGAAACCGACTTGCGCGTCGATCCATTCTAAATGCGACCAAAAAATCAGAATCTCAAAATTGCACCAAAAACACAAGATATTGACGATAGAATAAAAAAAAATATCTAATCAAAGCTAGAAAAAAATCAAAAAATTTATTAAAACGATAAAATTTGACATGAAAAAGATGCATAAGGAGAACAAAATAACCGTTTTTAAATGATGATAAAGACCCGAAATGAGAAAGGAGGCAGAAAAATATCTATCAAACTTATATTTACATGAAGGCAGCATTGGGAATGGCTGAAAAGTGCGTCCGACCATGAAGCGACTTTCACGCAGCATTTCGAAGCTTAACGGGATGGGAAAGTGGACACTATAGGTTTGCGACGTTTTAGTGGCCACTATAGTAGTCAAATTAGTGGGCACTTAAGGGGTCAAAAAATAGTGGTCCCTATAGGGGGGGAGGTCCAAGGGCTAGTACTAGACCAGTGGTCCAATCTGTTTGTTTCAAAATTATCAGAGTTACTGGAAGGAATACTGGATGAAAACTACTGAAGTGACCACTATAGAGGTCGGTTTAGTGGCCACTTTAGTGTCCTCTCCGAGTAGACCTTGGCGAGCCTCTATAGTGTCCACTAAAAATTTTCACAGGGATTTGAAAGGGCGGCTTCTTTTCTCTCATCAAAGCTCTCCTGTTGGCGTGCTATTTCTATATTTCTCTGACCTCAGCCGGGAGGGAACAGAGAGACGCAGACACTAGAAAACTTTCAGAGGACGGTCTAAAATTTGAGCAGCGCCTGAGTCATTCCAAATGCGACTAGAAGAAATGAGGCAGAAATATTTTTGTCAAGAAGGCAGTTTCTCATCGTCTGGGATCACTATTTTGACGTGTCGAGAATTTTTCTTCTTATTTCCAGCGGATGGTCTGAAAAAATCTTTTTTCATATCCTGGGGCGATTTCTTTGATTTATTCCAAGCGGAACTTCTAGTATATCCCAAGTTTCAAACCTCCAAACTCACATCAAGTCGTCCATCGAGCTGGAACCTCTAACCAAAGGCTGAACGGCCAGAAGAACGCCATCCTCGTGGGCGGATTTCGGTCTCGATTTGACTAGAATCGTCTTCGGCGGCTCTTTTTCCAGGCTCTGCAAGGGCTGAAGACGTCAATTCTACAACTAAAGACGTACAGAAGACGGAGAGGGGAACGTTAACTCCGTGGAGGCTTCTGAAGTGACGGAGATGTCCAGGCTGAGATTTGGAGCTTCCTCAATATTATCCGAGCTTTGGAAGTGTTCCGGGGTGAGCTGGAAGTGGGATTTGTCGGTTTTTGAATTTTTGAACTTCAAGTCGTCGCTTAAGATCCGCCCCTAATGGCGCGATAAACCAATCAGAGAGCGAGAATGACGTCATGCATTTGAGATTCAAAATTGGAACAGACCTTGCTCAAAAACTTGTGAATTTATTGGGTAGAATCCAATATTTTTCAAGGAATCTTGACTTCTCTGGCATATTTTTAATCCTTGTTTCTTCAAAACTGGCCCAAACATGAAAATATCATTGGAAAAAGCCCTAAAAATGGTCCAAATCTCAGATTTTCCTTTGAAAATCTATCATTCGAACCCGATTTCTTGGAAAAACCTGCAAATAACCATCGTTCGAACTTTCGAGATTTTCTTCCCCAGCTTCTTCCCTCTCCATTTCCATCCTAACAATACTGGGATCGTCGAAAAAGTTCTCTCCATTCAGGGGAACCCTCCCCGATTGGATCATTTCGATGGCAAGACGGAGCTGGAAAATTATCAATAGGGCGAAGATTCTTTTCGAAAATAACCTCTTTCAGAGCGACGACCCCAACAAGCCTTCCATTTTGGGTGACGTAGGCTCTATTGAGGCCCAGAAGCGAGAACAAGGAGTGGGTCTGGAGTAATTTTTAGTTTAAGATTTAGAAGAGCAGGAACCTTGAATAAACTAGTGTGATCAACCAAATGGAAAGGGGTCGAATCGATGGTCAACATTGAGAAATCGATGGGCTCATTGAGCACACTTTGCTCCCACTGAGCTCTCTGAAATGATGCCATTTGAAGAGAGTTTTGGAAAAAGCGAGATTTCAGAGAAAAAGAGCGTCTGCATCTCTCTACTCTTCACACTACCCAGCGTATGACTAGAGACCTAGATAGCTTTAAGAAAGTGGAGAGCACAAAGAAAAAAAAATTTTTCCTGCTTATTGAGCAAACTTTGCTCGCAGTACTCGAAAAATGACGTCATAATATAGAGAGACTAGAAAGTGTTTTTAAAGTGGAGAGTTCAGAGACGATTTAGTGTCTGCCTCTCTTTCTACTCTCCATACTTTCTATGAAAAAGCTAGTCATCTTTAGAAAAGTGGAGAGAACAGAGAAAAATAACACTGCTCATCATTCCGAGCTCTCTCTAGCCCATTGAGCTCTTTTAAAAAAGGTGCCATTGTTGAAGGAATTGTAGAGAGCGTTGTGAAATGAGAGGGTTCAAAGAGAAAAAGATATCTGCGTCTCTCTATTTTCCATAAGTTCTAAGATCATTATTTTCACTGTCTATGAGATTTTTAGAGGGCTTATTGACAAAACTTCTCTAACAGTTTTCATAAAATCACGTCATGTTATTAGGAGACTAGAGAGTGTTGTGAAAATGGAGAGTTTAGACAATTTGTTGTCTGCGTCTCTCTACAGCACTTCTATTATCATTTTTTCAAATGTCTATGCGATTTTTGGAGGGCTTCATTGAGTCAAAATTGCTCACGGTATTCAAAAGTGACGTCATTATGGAGAGACTAGAGAGTGGAGAGTTCAGAGAAAAACTCTGCGTCTCTCATCTCTCGTTCTAATATCATTTTTCAACCGACTACGAGATTTTTAGAGGAGTTTATTGAGCCAACTTTGCTCACAATTTTCAAAAAGTGACGTCATGTTATAAGAAGACTAGAGAGTGTTTCAAGAGAGGAGAGTTTAGAGACATTTTAGTGTCTGCGTCTCTCTACAGCACTTCTATTATTATTTTTTCAAATGTCTATGCGATTTTCGGAGGATTTATTAAGATTGCTCACAGTAGTCAAAAAATGACGTCATTATAAAGAGACTAGAGAGTGTAGAGTCTAGAGAAAATAATGTCTGCGTCTCTTTTACATTCCTACTCTCTAACTTCCTATTTATCCTTTATACCTCCTCGCCATAGAGCTCGAAATCGTTTCTCGCATATTTTCGATTCCTTCCAAACGTGGCCAATGACCGAACTATGCCTGAAAAATCATCTTCAACTTGTTCGAAATTCCAAAATCCCACTCCCAATAGTGTTATAGACATCATGATGGGACGATTCATGGAAAGCGTGCCTAGAAATCTGTAATCCATCTGAAGGACGGTCGAAATTCGACTCGCTTTTCGTTTGGGCGAGAACTGGGAGCTGAAGAATCTCGCCTTTTTTGGAAAGTTATAACTATTTTTACTCTCAATCCAGGTACCAATAACCGATTTGAATTACAAGATTCATTGGCCCCATTTTCCGGTACCTCGACTTCACAGCCAGAATCGTCAACTACGGTCACAGGAACCACTAGAAACCTAAAAAAATGAAAGATTTACTTTTTTATAAATTTTCTGAAAAAATCATCGATTTTGATATTTTTTTTTAGGAGCTCCAAAGTGGTCCCTATAGAGGCAACCTTTGGGCTTTTAAGGGTCCCCACTAGGGACCATTTTACCAGCCCCTATAGGGGCCCCTAAGGCTTGCAAAAGTGGTCCCTATAGGGGACATTCTGGTCAATAATTGTTATGAACTCCATGCGAAGAAGCATTTTCATGGAAAAAAATGAATAAATAAGCGTTTTTTGAATGAAATTGAAAGTTTTTTCAACCTTCAAAGGGACCACTTTTTGGGGCCCTATAGATATTGTTCTCCCCTAACCAATATAGGGACCACTTAAATTTCCCCCTATAGAGGCGACTTGAGCTTCAGGGGCTACGGGGTCATATCTTAAAGTCCTATAGGGATCACTTTTTCGGCCTCCTATAGAAGCTGATTCCCCCCAACCCCTATAGGGTCCACTTGAGCTTTAGGGTCTAAAGGGTTAAACCCTAAATCCTCATTGGGACCACCTTAATTTTATCCCTATAGGGACCGCTTTTTGGGCCCTATAGGGGTTGTTTTCCCCCTAACCCCTATACGGACCACTCTGGAATTCCGCAGAGCACATTATCCAAAAAATTCCAAACAAACCGATTCGATTTTCTCGGTTCATCTTGCGTCGAATCTTCGATTTCAATGGAAGGTTTCATATTTTTCAAAATATTGCTGGCAAATGAGATGGTCGCCGAACTATTGGTCATTGATAGGCTGAAAAATTGGCTTTTCTTCGATTTTTAATCGAGGAAAGTCTCAAAATTTTTTTTTTGAGCCGTTCAAAACGGTTTTTCTCATTTTTACACTCGAAAAATTTTACTCAAGAAAGAAAAATCACAATTTTCCTATCAAAAACCTCAAATCCTTGGATTTCCCTGCTTCGAGTCGTTGTTCAGCTTCATCTCCCCCGATTTTCGGTCCCAAGTTCTCGTCAACCGTTCTTTTTACTCTTCTAGCGGCTTCAGCAAGTCTTGCTTTCGTTCCAATCTTCATGAAACAAATATTTTTTAAGATAAAGTTATATTTTTCCATTTCTAAACCTTAGTCTCGATCAATTTCTGAAGTTGAACACGGCTGATAGAGCCTATGAGAGCCATGGAATCTAGAAAACGATCATTTTCTGGTGGATAAATGACTCAAAACCTCGATTTTCGACCAAAGGCAAGGCACGGATCTTTGTACTTGTCTCTAGAGCGATTTGCACTTCTTCCAGGGTGGAATTCCGGGAAACGAAAATCACAGGTCGTATCATGAACTGGTTGACCACGATTTTGTGGTACCTAATAGATTTATTTATTTTTTGGAGCTTTGTAGAATTTCGTTCGTTTGAAAACATTAAGATCTTTGATTTTAGTGAAGGTTTTCTGATCTTCTGGAGCTCAAAGAGGCAAAATCATGAAGTTCAGATTTTGAAGGTCAAGCCGCCGTTCAAGCTCCGCCCCTAATAGGGCAAACCAATCAGAAAGCGAGCCATCTACAGAAAGTTGTTCAAGCTCCGCCCCTAATAGCGCGAACCAATCAGGGAGCGAGCCATCTACGGAGCGTTCTTCAAGCTCCGCCCCTAATAGCGCAAACCAATCAGAAAGCGAGCCATCTACAGAGCGTTGTTCAAGCTCCGTCCCTAATAGCGCAAACCAATCAGAGAGCGAGCCATCCACAGAGCGTTGTTCAAGCTCCGCCCCTAATAGCGCGAACCAATCAGGGAGCGAGCCATCTACAGAGCGTTCTTCAAGCTCCGCCCCTAATAGCGCAAACCAATCAGAAAGCGAGCCATCTACAGAGCGTTGTTCAAGCTCCGTCCCTAATAGCGCAAACCAATCAGAGAGCGAGCCATCCACAGAGCGTTGTTCAAGCTCCGCCCCTAATAGCGCAAACCAATCAGAGAGCGAGCCATCCACAGAGCGTTGTTCAAGCTCCGCCCCTAATAGCGCAAACCAATCAGAAAGCGAGCCATCTACAAAGCGTTGTTCAAGCTCCGTCCCTAATAGCGCAAACCAATCAGAGAGCGATCCATCCATAGAGCGTTTTTCGAGAATGACGTCATTGTACACCCGCGACTGTCTGCGTCTCTTTGCTCCCTCACCGGCGAGGTTAGAGAAACGAAAACAGCACGTGAACATAAGAGGGTTGCCGTGGGACGAGGAGGGCGCAGAGAAAGAGAGCATTTTAAAGCCGCGATAAACAGATTACAGTCTGTTCAGATTTCGAATGTCAAGTAGAATGACGTCATTCGAAAACGCTCTGTGGATGACTCGCTCTCTGATTGGTTTGTCGTGCCATTAGGGGCGGAGCTTCAGCGAGGACTTGACATTTGAAATCTGAACAGATTACACACTTGTAAGAAAAAAAAACAAAACCTGACCAGACTACATTTTGAATGTATTTTCAAAAAAATGAAAATCCCTTCAAGACCCGTCTAAAAACTCCAAAAATCGCATTGGAGTTTAAAAAAAAATCTGCATTTCAGGTTCATAGGCTCCATTACGGGGATCGCAGAAGAAGTTTTAGGCTGTTCAAAATATTTTAAATCCCCCGCCCCCAAACTCACAACGAAGAAGTATGCGGGATATCTGGTAAATAGGGCAGATTTTTGATCCGAATAATACTGTCATAAATGGACGGTTGCAGACAGGAAGCGATCGCGTTTGAAATAAGAACAGCGATCTGTAAAATTCGTCTTTTCTTTTTTTTTTGAAGTGAAAATTCCTTCATTTGGTTTCTACAGTACCGCTCAAAAGTCTATTAAGTTTTGGTTTTTTGGGGATATCTCAGCGAGTACTTATCCGATTTATATATAACTTTCAGGGATAATGTAAAATATACTTTGAAACATATACGGTATACAAAGACATGTCCGCAATGACTGTGACGCGTTTTAGGCATTTTTTTATTGAATTCCATTTTTTGTTTTTTTATGCTTTTTATTTTTTTATTTATTTTTTTATTAAATTTTTTTAAAATTAATAATGTTGCCATATAATTTTTTTCATGTTTTTCAGACATGGGAAGAACCTTTGGAAATAAGAATTTGACTGATAACGACAAAAGAGCCATCGTTGTGGGTCGTCAAAATGGACTGACCATGATGACGTTGGCAGGAATGTTCGGCGTGACAGAGGCGGGCATTTCTCAGTTCCTAAAGCGTCAGAAAGCTCAAGATGGCTCTACTAACAGCCAACGCACTGGAAGACCACGTGTCACTGATCGTAATGACGATAGGAACATTTTTGAAGACGTCTAGAACCAATCCAAAACTCACCGCCCCTGCGATCAGACGGGAATTTTTCTTGAATTCGCCATCTCCGCCATCCGTCTCGACCGTGAAACGACGTCTGAATGCTGCTGGAATCATGGGAAGACGTCCAGTGAAGAAACCGCTGATTCCTGAAAAGAATCGAGCCGCCAGGGTGAAGTAAGCGAAGGAGCATCTCAACTGGACCCGTCAAGACTGGAACAAGATTCTGTGGTCCGACGAAAGCAAGTTCCTCCTCTTCGGGAGTGACGGAATTCAGTGGGTTCGTAGACCAATTGGGTCCAGATATCATCCGAAATACCAATTACCCACCGTGAAACATGGTGGAGGTTCTTGCATGGTGTGGGGCGCCTTCTCTGGAAGTGGCATCGGACCGCTTCATCGCGTGAACGGCATCATGGACAAGCACGTCTACAAAGACATTCTCCAGAACCAGATGTTGCCGCACTTGAGAGCCATGGGCCGTGGGAGTGTTTATCAACAGGATAACGATCCCAAGCACACTTCACTGTTCGTCAAGGTGAGAAAAATTGACAAGTAATTCGTATGGTTTTTGAAACTCAGGACTGGTTCAAGAGCCGTCGGGTCAATGTCATGGGGTGGCCAAGTCAATCTCCGGACCTGAACCCGATCGAACATCTCTGGGAAGAGTTGGAGCGACGTTGTGCCAACAAAAGAGCCAAGAATTGCAACGAGAAGTTTGCTCAACTGCTGTCTGAATGGAATCAGATCCCCATGTCTACCATCGACACTTTGCTCAATTCTATGCAGAGAAGATGCCAGGCAGTGATTGACGCCAGGGGCTTCGCAACCAAGTACTAGGTCCCGAATATTGTTTTTAACAATGTTTTGTGTTGATAAAAAAATTTTTTTGTTGAGCTATGATTTTTTTAATTGAAAATAGCAAAAAAATTCGATTTTTTTCGAAAAATTCGTTTTTTTCTCGAAAAAAATTATTATTCTTTGAGCTAGCAACTTGAAATTTTGCCAGAACATGTATGTCTCTCTCAGAAAACTATGAAAAAAAAATTTGAATCGATATCGCATTTCAAAAAAATTTATCCCCAAAAAACCAAAACTTAATAGACTTTTGAGCGGTACTGTAGCTTAGTAACGGTTTTAGAGCGAAAAGACAGAAAAAGGAAAAATTTAACTGGCCACTATAGGGTTTTGACGTTTTAGTGGCCACCATAGTAGTAAAATCAGTGGCCACTATAGAGGTCTACTAAGAGACCACTAAAAACTTTAGTAGCCACTTTAGGGGTCAATGGATCAACATAACTGGTCCAATCGGTTTTTTTCAAAATTATCAGAGTTACTGGAAGGAATACTTGATGAAAAATTACTGAAGTGGCCCCTATAGTGGTCGGTTTAGTGGCCACTTTAGTGTTCTCTCCAAGTAGTCCTTGGCGAGCCTTTATAGTGGCCACTAAAAATTTTCCCAGTTACATGATTTTTTGAAGATTTGAACAGATCATAATCATCATGAAAGTTACCATAACCGGTAAAAGTAAGCACAATTGTCCGGTCAGTTCGAAAACGATCACAGCGATGGATACCGTATGAGTTACAGCGCCACAAAACGCAGCGGCACCTTGAAAATATAAAGCTATAGATGTTCGACCTATAAATGGTCGCACTTGGAATGGCTCATCTTCTAGTAGGGGTTATCAGAAAATTCTCCCGACCAGAAGCGACTCTCGCGCTTGAATATAAGCTAGTACAATCTACGACGCTATCTGATCCATTCCAATTGCGACCAGTAAAATGGGGATTTTCTTGATCTTATAATTATGAGCAAATCCCAAACCTACGACGGCATAAGCTCCAGGGCGAATGAAAGACGTCGATTCTTGAGAAAATCCATCGGGAAAAAGGTTGAAAACCGTCTAGAACTTCGGAAATACTCCATAAATCCCAGGGTTCCATTGAACCTCGCCAAGAAGTCGCCCAAACGCGGCTCCCAGGACAAAAACGGGCATGAAAATCCCCGAAGGTACCGGTAACGTTGAGGCCAGAATTGAGAGGAAGAACTGGAATAAATCCGAAATTTCGGCTCATCAAAAGCTAGAAATTCCCTTGAAAAGCAAGACAAGAAAATTTGGAAGGCTATATTTTCCGGGTTCATTGCGATAGAGCGAAGTTTCATTGGAAATAGAGCCAATAATACTTGGGATCTTAATTTTAAGGAAACTAATTTAAAATCGCTATAGTTTGCCCTTCACTTCTGAACTCCGAAGCTCATTTTCACTAGAAGTTTTACTTAGGAAAGCTAGAGTGGTCCCTACGGGGTTCAAGGAGAAATAAACCCCTATAGGGGACAAAAAGTTCTTCCTATGTGGGTTAAATCTAGGTGTTCTCTATAGGAGTTTTGGGTCTAACCCTCACGCTCCTAAATCTCAAGTGGTCCCTATAGGGATTTCCCGATTTTTCGTTATGATTTGAAAGTTAAAAAGACACGCTTGAAAAATTTATCCACTGTTACCATTTTTTGTCTTTCAAAAACCTCCCCATAGGCGTCACTTTTGCGCGCTTCAGTGGCCCCTATGGAGAGGTAAAGTGGTCTCTAAAAAGGAAGGATCTACAGGGTGACAAATAAATATTGAAACCGTTTTTTGTTTGATCGCTGCTTTTTGCACAACGGACTGGCCTTTGAATTTTTTTGTTTATTTCGTTCATTCATGCTCACTTATCATGTGTTTGAAGTTACAGCTCATACTTTTCAGTTTTCAGGTAATGGTGGCTCCATCTCTGTACCCTACCGCAATCATTGATTGTGTCAAAAGCTGAATGACGAATTCAGAGATCGGTAAAAAGCTGAAAGTGTCTCGTGTTCTCGTTTTTCGAACTGCACAACGCTATCGGCATCTCGGTACTTCAGATGACATCCAAAGAAGGGGATTTCCAGTCACCGTCACGACTCCAGAAGCAGTCAAAGCCGTTCGAGAGAAAATCAGACGCACTCCGGAAAGAAGCGTGAGAAAGATGTCAAAAGAATACGAAATGAGTCGAGAATCGATGAGAACTATTGTCAAGGACAAGCTGAAGATGATTCCCTACCGTATGCAGAAAGGAGCCTTCCTCAATCAAAAAAACAAGACATTGCGCATGAAAAAGGCTCGAAAGCTGCTCGCTGGCACGCAAGATGGCTCGCATCTGACGACGCTATTTACCGACGAGAAAATCTTCACTGTGGAGACGAACAAGAACGGCCAAAACCATCCGATCATCGCTACTGACTATCAGAGTGCCTGTGAAAAAGAAAAAATTCTGAATAAAACTTCGCATCCGGCTTCCGTGATGGTTTTTTCCGGAATTACCGCTGACGACAAAACTCCGCTGATTTTTGTGGATTCTGGAGTCAAAGTGAACCAAGTATACTACAGGGAGTAGATTTTAAAGTTGAGGGTGTTGCCCTGAGCCAATTCTCACTACGGAAACCGACCATGGACCTTCCAGCAAAACGGCGCCCCGCTCATCGTGCCAAAGGGACTCAAGAGTGGTATCGCGCCAATTTTCCGAGTTCATCTCGGCTGCTGATTGGCCTGCTTCCTCGCCCGACCTCAACCCGATGGACTATGCCGTGTAGATATATCTGACCGAGAAGGTCTCTTCTAAGAACTACCCAAGTATCAAAGCTATGAAGACCGCGCTCATCAAGAAATGGGACGAAATCGACGACGACTACCCTCGTGCCGTGATCGATGCGTATCCGAAGAGACTGAAGGCCGTTATCAAAGCTAAAGGAGGACGTTTTGAAAACTATTCTTGAATTTTGTTTCTATATTGTATGAATAAAATTTGTTCCAAGTTTGGTGGTGTTTGGTTGACTTTTGAGAAAGTTATAACGTTTCAAACGCGTTTCAATATTTATTTGTCACCCTGTAGAGTCCCTAAGGAGATGTACCATATTTATTTGAATCACTCAAATTTCGAATTCCTGTTCCAGAATCATCCCAATCTCCCATCAAAAAACTGACATAGACGATTTGGAAAGCTGCCAAAGTGAGCATCGGGTCGTAGAGAAGGTCGGGCCCTTGCCAATGATGCAGGTCCGGCGCTCCGACTTTTACTGTTTCATTGAAAGACGGCGGGACCAAACAGGCCGAAACGTGGGTCCAATCGGCCGTCCATGTGCAATTCGAGAAAAATTCTTGCATAGAATGGCTGAAGCGGCCCTAAAAAACGCCCGGAAATCGCCTTGAAAAGTTTCTTTTTGGATAATTTGAAACTCTACACTTCAAGCAAGCCGTAGAAAACCAAATAGTTGAATTTTTCTAATTATTAAATATTAATTCCTTCTGTTAAACCAATTCTTCAAAGTCAGACACGCTTCTTAAAAACCGCGACGCGACCGCAACGCTTCAAGCCATTCCAAATGCGGCCATAGGGTCAGAGAAAATGAAAATCACTACTTTTTCAAGAAATTCGCAAATCTTTCTTGAGCCTGAGATTTTTTTCTAAATTTCTTACACGCTTTCGAATAACCGCGACGCGACAGCATCGCTTCAAGCCATTCCAAATGCGGCCACGGGTCAAAAAAAAAAAATGAAAAAAACTACTTTTTCGTGCTAAATTCGGAAACCTTTTCTGATCCTGACATTGTTTTTGAAGTTCCGACACGTTTTTAGGCAACCGCGACGCGACCGCAACGCTTCAAGCCATTCCAAATGCGGCCATGGGGTCAGAGAAAAAGAAAAATACCTTTTCAAGCAAAATTCACAGATCTTTTTTAAACATGAGATTTTTTCTAAACTTCTTACACGCTTTTGAATAACCGCGACGCGACCGCACCGCTTCAAGCCATTCCAAATGCGGTCATAAGTCCAAGAAAAAGAAAAATACCTTTTCAAGCAAAATTCACAGATCTTTTTTAAACCTGAGATTTTTTCTAAACTTCTTACACGCTTTTGAATAACCGCGACGCGACCGCACCGCTTCAAGCCATTCCAAATGCGGTCATAAGTCCAAGAAAAAGAAAAATACCTTTTCAAGCAAAATTCACAGATCTTTTTTAAACCTGAGATTTTTTCTAAACTTCTTACACGCTTTTGAATAACCGCGACGCGACCGCACCGCTTCAAGCCATTCCAAATGCGGCCATGGGGTCAGAGAAATGAAACTGACTACTTTTTAAAGCAAAATTCACAAATCTCTGTTGAACCTGAGATGTTTTCCAAAAGTCTGATATGCTTTTGAACAACCGCGACGCGACCGCACCACAGCAAGTCATTCCAAATGCGGCCACTAAGTCAGAAAAAAAAAAAGAGAAATACTACTTTTTCAAGCAAAATTCACAAATCTCTTTTGAACCTGAGATGTTTTTCAAAAGTCTGACATGCTTTTGAATAACCGCGACGCGACCGCACCGCGGCAAGCCATTCCAAATGCGGTCATAAGTCCAAGAAAAAGAAAAATACCTTTTCAAGCAAAATTCACAGATCTTTTTTAAACCTGAGATTTTTTCTAAACTTCTTACACGCTTTTGAATAACCGCGACGCGACCGCAACCCTTCAAACCATTCCAAATGCGGCCATGGGATCAGAAAAATGAAACTCCCTACTTTTTTTAAAGCAAAATTCACGAATCTACATATTTTTACCTATTTGTTCTTTTCACAGCACCTACTTCCTTCAAAAATCATTTCCTCATTAAATTTCCTAAAGTTTGAATAAACACTATTATTATTTTTATTCTTTGAAAGAGACCAGAAATCAAGCTAAAACCCCAAAATTCCAACCTCACCACCAATAAACTTCCCAAGACCCATTGGAAAAGTGACGGACGAGATGAAAAACGAGACGAAAAGCGGATAAATTGGCCAACTGGAATTTCAAAAGTAGAAAAATCCTAAATAAATGCCCACAATTTTTGGAACAAAGCCTTGGCCGTCAGATTTCTTCTCAGAAAAAGGACGGTCGATCGGTGGACAAAGACGAAAAATGCGCCGAAAAAACCGCCAACAACACTTAAATCCAGATTTTACCTTGAAAAGCATGATCGCATGTGGAATGGCTCAGTTGCAAAAAAAGTTTTTCCAGAAAAAGTGACTTAAGCCATTCCAAATGCGACCAAATTACTTGGAATCTTGAGAGAAACCCAATATTCGTTGAACGTAATTCAGATTTTTTTTAACTTTGAATAGCATGGTCGCATGTAGAATGGCTCAAATGCAAAAAAAAAATTTTTCAGAAAAAGTGACCAAAGCCATTCCAAATGCGACCAAGTTACTTGGAATCTTGAGAAAGATCCAATTTTCGTTGAACGAAATCCAGATTTTCAACCTTGAATAGCACGGTCGCATGTAGAATGGCTCGGTTGAAGAAAAAATTTTCAGAAAAAGTGACCAAAGCCATTCCAAATGCGACCAAGTTACTTGGAATCTTGAAAACCTCAAAAAACCAACCCAATGAAGGCGAAAAATGGGAACTCCTGAACCATATAGGCGTTGGCCCATGGGAAATCGGTTTGGAAATGAGCCGCCATGGTTACTGTAACTTTTGTATACAGTAATGAAATGAAATTTTACTAAATTTGGGAGCCGAGCCGCCCAAAAAAGATTTTCGAAAAAAGAAATTTTTTTTCATTCATATTTTCACTAAAAAAGCTTCAAAAAACCTTTTTCTATGTTTTAAAAAAAGTTACCTACCGTAACCAGGTGAGGGGGCGGGGCCTCACAGTAACTAGCCTAACTAGCCTAAAAGCTTCTCAAGTGACTTTTACAGTAATTTCGAGTCTTGAAACGAAACTTGAAATTTTTATATCAACACGCAGTTCGACTCTCTGAGAGAAGGTCTGTTGAAATTTGTTTTTACTAGGAGGAAAAAAATCAAATTTTTTTATTATAAAACCCATAAAGAAAGCTTTTTGGCTCGACTTCCAGACTAAATTTGAAAAAAATAAGCTTTTCTTTTTGAAATCGAAACGAAATTTCTTAAAACTGCAATGATTTTTCTCAACATTTTGGGCAGTAATCTCAAATTTCAAGCCTTTCCTCTAGTAAAAAACTGAAAAAGGACGATTTTTCAGGTTTTTCTATGATTGAAAGGTAAAAAAATGCCGAAAACCGACCATCCCTGGTCGTATTCGAATCAGCCAACATTCTCAGGACTCTAAAAAGGGTCGCGGCACAAATTGCGGCAAAAAATCCCCGCCAATAATTCCTCACGGCAAAGTACACTGAAGTGACTTCGATGGAGAAAAGAACGCCTGAAATTTTCTTCCGTAAGCTCAATTTTCTTTTGGGATTTTTCCTTTCTAGACATATAAAAAACTTTAAAAAGTCATAAAATTAGTTGTAAATTGCGCTCAACCAAAAATTCAGCTTTTCGGACATTCCTAGGGATTCCAGAGTGGTCCCTATAGGAGTTAGAAGAGAAAACGACCCCTATAGTGACCGAAAAAGTGGTCCCTATAGGGGTCTAGTGTCGGATCTCTTTGCCCGTAAAGCTCAAGTGGTCCTTATAGGGGTGAAATTAAGGTGGTCCCTATAGGAGTTTAGGATCTGAAACCTTAGGCCCCAAAACCTCAAGTGGACCCTATAGGGATCTTCAATTCGATTCAAAAAACGCTTATTTATCCAGTTTTCCCATGGAAGCGCTTCTCCGCTTAGAGTTCATAGAACTAGCATGTCCCCTATAGGGGCCACTAACCTAAAACCCCTATAGGGACCATTTTTGCAAGCTTGAGTGACCTCTAGAGGGCCAAGGACCCCTAAGGTCGCCCCTACAGGGACCACTCTGGAGTTTCTAAGTCGGTAAGGGAAACTGCACGTTTCTGAGCAGATCTAGGGATCACTTAGGAGTTCTGATGTTACTAAAGAGGTCACTAGGAATGCTCAGGAACGTCTCGTTCGCGTTACGAAGGATTCAGAGATCAAAACTTATCTTCAAAAATTTCCTTTGAACTTTTTGGTGAGTCTTAATAATTGTTTTCTACTTTCAGAAATCAGCTTCTATCAATTTTTTCTCTTGACCCGTTTTTCAAATTTTTTTAACTTATTCTTACAGAGGCTAAACTTTCAAAGTAATATTCCTTGAATCTAGATGCTCCTATCGACTTTTTCAGAGTTATAGTCCCTTCACCGCGACTTGAAAGTTTCCTAGTGTCTGCGTCTCTGTTCCCTCACTAGCAAGGTAAGAGAAACATGAAAATAGCACGTCAACATGAGAGGGTCGCCGAGAGACTAAGAGGGCGCAGAGAAGTCCCGCCCTTTCAAATCACTGGGAAACTTTTTAGTGGCCACTACAGAGGCTCTCCAAGGACTACTTGGAGAGGACACTATAGTGGCCACTTCAGTAGTTTTTCATACAGTATTCCTTCCAGTAACTCTGATAATTTTAAAACAAACAGATTGGACCAGTTATGATGATCTGTTGACCCATAAAGTGGCCACTAAAAACTTTAGTGGTCTGGTAGCAGCACTAAGACCTCTATAGTGACCACCAATTTTTAACCGCTTAAGTGGTCACAAACTTGACTACTATAGTGGCCACTAAAACGTCGAAACCCTATAGATTAAACAAGTTCATTTTCTCATTCACGTTTTTTTAAAACTAACTTTATTTTTCATTGTCCTTTCGCTATTCTGTTAGATCTATGTAAATACTCATAAATGGTTAATTTTTTTTTTCATCCCTCACCTCCAATAGGAGCACTAAAAGTGCAAGCAACGCCGACAGCACAGCCGGCTGACAACATTTCTTCGCTTCGAGACTCGTTCTCAAAAACCGCCCTTGAGCCGTGAACCAGTCGACTCAGTTGGGAAGCTACGGCAGAGGCAATGTGAACAAAGGGTCCCTAAAAGTAAAATCAGAGGATAGTTTCGAAATTAGTTGAGGAACACATGTATGTGACTTTTGAACTGTTTCAAAATCAGTATCTAGAAAGTTTTAGTTCTCCTTTTTTGTTCCAAATAGTGAGAGAACAACTAATTTTCCATTCTCTCCAAAAAATTACCTCCTTGCCCATCGGGAGCCCACTTCCAAGGGATAAAGTCAGGCCAACCATTTTCGATATCAAAGTTCTCAGGGATAAATACTCTTTGAGGATGACTCCACGTAGTATCGTCTTCATTTCGGGGATTCCAGAACCTACAACTTTTAAGATTTCGAAAGTTCCCACAGTGTTCCCAAACAGGCGGCAGATGTGGTCATTGGGAGTGGCCGTATGCAATGGGGGCGCGGCTTATTGCAATAGTGGCGCGACAGTGAGAGCCGATTTTTTGTGCATTTACTGGGTGGAAACATAGCGTTAAATAATGTTTTTCAAGGCCTCCTTGAACTTTTAGAATAGCTTGAATATATTCCAACGTACAATGAACTTATTGAAAAGGAAATATGAACGGAATCGCTTTTACCAAAAGATTTATCACACGAAATGCCATTTTTCAGGAAAATTCGTCGTGATGTTTTGAAGGAAAAAACCCATGACGGTTCTCTTGAAAAAATAAAGCTCTAGACGTTTATCTTAAGGAACTCATTCTGAGCATTTTAAAACAAAAAATGAACCAAGTAGCCTCTGCAGAAAAAGTTACTCTTCAAAATGTCATTTTAGTCGAAATTTCGGGACCATCTCGATCAAAAATTAACTTAAGTACCTCTCAAACGCATCCAATACGGTTATATTACACAAAAGAAAGTGGAACGATACGAAAATCTGAAAAAATACGCGAGAAAAAGAGAAAAAATTGAATGAAATTCTGAGAGGTTGACACGCGCCGCACCGCGTTGCGTTAGAAGGAACTCGCGGTTTCGCCAATTTTTGACGACCATTTTTTTCGCCTGCGCTCGCCCGTTTCGAAACACTGTGGTTCCCCTACAAGGGGAATGAAATGTAATGAATTCGCCAAGAAAAACCAACCAATGGCCTGAGGCGCCATATAATGAGCAAAAAGAGCCGATCCCATCGTCAAAATCACGACGTACCCGATCCAAACCAAAGCCGATAAGGGCAAATTTGGAGTCACCAGGTAGTATAACCTCATTTGACCTGGATATCAATACAGTGTCCCAAATTTTCCACACAAGACCCACCATTCTGTAGGGAAACTATCGCGTAATCCATGACAAATGACAAAATTGACATGATAACGCCGAGGAGGGCGAGGAATAGCCAATCTTGGACCACTGCGTGGAATCTCACTTTGAGGTTTTCTGGAAAAAGTGACATTTTCAAGAAGGTGCAGGGAAAAATTAGGGGTCTGACAGTTTCTAAGGAATTTTTGAGTGATCCCTATAGGGGTTCGGGGAGAAACAGCCCATGTACGAGCCGAAAAAGTGGTCCCTATAGGGGTAAAATCAAGGTGCTCCCTATAGGAGTCTAGTGTCGGATCTCCTTGCCCGTAAAGCTCAAGTGAGCCCTATAGGGGTCTTTCAGCTTTTCTTAGGAATTTTTGAGTGGTCCCTGGGTTGGGAAGAAAAACAGCCCCTAGAGGGGCCAAAAAAGTGGTCCCTATAGGAGTAAAACCAAGGTCGTCTGACCCCCAGCCCGAAAGCTCAAGTGAACCCTATAGGGGCCTTTCAATTTCCTTTAAAAACGGTTTTTTTTCAGTTTCTCCATGGAAATGCTTCTTCGCTTAGAGTTCATAGAAATTATCAATTAGCATGTTCCCTATAGTGACGACTTTTGCAAGCTTTAATGGCCCCTTTAGGGATTGATAAAGTGGTCCCTAGAGGGTACCCCCCAAAGACCCCTAAGCCTGCCCCTATAGGGACCACTCTGAAGTTCCTAAGCTCTACATTAAACATTTCCTGCTGGAAAAATCGATTTTTTAAGAAAATGAAACAAATTTTTGATATCATTATGAGTCCCTGACCCCTTCTGTAGCGTTTTTGAAGGTAAAAAATCCGATATTTCGAAAAATCCTAAATTAACTTTAAAAGTGATAAGCCTTTGATAGAGAAAATTAAGTTTTCTAATAGTTTTTCAATTATTTTGCGATAAAAAAGACTGAAACTTTACTAAATGAACAGCAAAACCATCTTGAACTCCTCTCCCTTGCAGGTAAGGTCAATGGGACATCCAAACCATCGGAATTCGTCTAAAAAACCCGTTTTTAAAAGTTTTTCGATGGATTTTTCTACCTTTTCCAAGCCAGCATGAGCTCCAGCCCGAGCTAAACACGCTCCAAGACGCATTCCTTCGTCTTTCACGCCAGGACCGATTGTTTTATAGCGGCCAAGCTGCTTAAAAAGAACAAAAAATGAAAAAAAAAAATGAGGAGAATAGCTTAAATTGGACAATAATTTTCTAGAATTTATTAAAAATTGATCAGTCTCAACCAGTATAGTCTTGGATGCATTAGAATCGGATCAGGGCGTGAAAAAGCTGTCTTAAGCTACACCCGACCGAAAACGACTTGCGATGAAAGCTATGAATAGCCACGAGAGACGTTTCAAGTGCGACCACCCCTTTAAAAATTGGAAAAATTGAAGAAAAAATGTCTAAACTAAAAAGCTTCGATGGCCAAAAAATCTTAATAAAAATTCAAAAGCAAAGTCATATCAATAACAAGTTTCAAAAGTATGAATCAATATTTTGAAACCATTGAACAAAAAATCTAACGAATCAAGACTCCAACAGCGAAATAAAAAACCAGAGAAAAAGGGAATTAAATTGAAAAACAGAAAAACAAGCAAGAACTTATCAATTGAGTACAAAGGTCTGTGACAAGTTTGATCAGTTGAAAATCAAAAAAAAAAAAAATATGACGACCCACGGGAAAAAGACACAGAAAAACGGTGTAATGGGGTCATAAATGTTGGAAAAAACGCTGTTTTTCAAAGTTTCCTTAACGATTTTTTTTGGAGTTTTTTGAGAGCAAATGGTAAATTTAGACTCTATATAGTTCACAAAGAACGACCGTGACAACGTCACAGTGTGCAGAAAAATTTGAGAAGATTAAACAGGAAAAAAACAAAACAGGATTATTTTTTTCCAGAGAAAAAAATGCGGAAGAAAAAAACAAGCGCATTTTTCGATTTGCATCGGAACTTTGAACCTTTTATTCAAAAATTTTTTTACCTAAAAAAATTTATTTACATTTTTTTACATTGTTCAATAGTCTTCCCAATGACGTACTTCCATTGAAAAACAAAAATGATTCATGAAAAGTTCTTCTTCTTCTCGAATTTTTGGTTTTATACCTACCAAACTTCGTTGATAATCGTACTCCTTGGCATACTTTTGCTGATCGGGCGGCTCGGGACTTTCTAGCAAGGTCTCCCAACCTTTTCTGTCCGATGGAGTTCGCATGTCAACTGAAAACTTTTTTGATGAAACTAAAAGCTTGAACGATGAAATGAAAATGAGAAGTAAGCGGAAAACCGTTGATAAAAGAAAGGTAAGAACAAATTAAAAAAATAATACAATAGAAAAAAAAGGAATGAGTCAGTTATGAGAGAAGGAAAACCAGCGTAAAAAGTTGTGAATGCGGCAAAAATTGTCAAGGATTTACCGTTTGTCGGCAAACACATCCGTTTGGTCCACTTGACAAGAACCTCTGCAATAGAAATTCTCAAACTAAAGGTCAATTAACGAGGAAAACTCGAATAAACATAAAAAGTCGATTAATTCGGAGAAATTCCGTCAGTTATGATGTTTTGGTGAAGACACCGTAAATGAAGAGACTTGACTACAGTAATCATTTTGAAAATTTCCTGTTTTTAGGATTTTTTATTTTTATTTTTCATTTTTCTGACGTCATATTTCTACTGCGGGAACTTTCAAGGTTGGTTTGAAAGATTATTACTCTTACTGAGAGCAGTATATTTCTCATCGAAAATCAAAAGGATTCAAAAATCTTTGTTTCTGTTTAAAATTTTTATTATGTTTTTATCTTGTCAATTTTATCAAATTGAGTTTTTCCCTTCCGAATACATTTATTTTATGACATTCGTTTCATATTCAGACAAGTTTTGCGCAATTCAGAAGTTTCTCAACGAAATTAATTTTATAGCTTTCTCCGTTTCATTTTTAAACTTTTTTTTTCCATTTTTCCCCAAGTTTAAATGTCTTGAAACTTTAAACCCAAAATTCCGATGAAATTTCGAGCAAGTCTACTGTAACTCTGCTCTACGCAATACGTATAGTGCATGCCATCCCACGACACGGCTCTAAGAAAATCAACTTCCGGTTTTTTATAAAACTTCTTCAGATACTTAAAAATGCTTTTTTTTTTCTTTAAACCATCATTTTAAAGTTTATTGATTTTTTCGAGGCTTCTAAAGACGTGCTTTCGTATGTTTTTGATCCTCTTGTGCACTGATATCGCATACCCTTTTTTTAGGCGATCCAATTTAATTTTTTTATAAATTTCTTGAAGAAATTTTTTTGTTTCGTGGCTGTATAGTTATGTTTATAGTGTTGTTCCAGGTTTAAAAATAGTACTTAGTTGTTTTTTGTAAAATGGATTGTAATTATAGAGATTCTTTCAATAAGTGTAACTTTGAAGGGTTAATTATAAGCTTTTTAGATGTTTGATAGGCAGCAAAAATTTTTATGAAGAATCTTGGATTTTTATTTAGAGTAGCCTACACTTTATTTTACTTTTTGGCCATTTTCTGGAGCTTTGAGCTCTTTTACGTGTTTAAATTTTGAATTTTCAGGTAATTTACTATGCTGCGGTACCAGGCGTCCGTATATGGAGAGCCTGTCGAAGCCGAAGGCAGCGGCTACCATCAAGACTATCCACAGGTGAGTTTTACCTGATAATGATGATAAAAATATAGATAATTTCCAGTCTTCATCGCCCGCGGCTTCGATGGTTCCCATGACGAGTTCCACCACGTCGAACGGATTCCGGCAGCAGCAAAGTAGAATAATAAAGCGGCATGTTCCGATGCCTTATAAGGTTTTATGGAATTTTTTAAGAACTCTTCGAGAAAAAATGGCGTTTGAATGAGTTCAAATCGATTTTTCAGGGCTTATTTGAGCGAAATCACCTCATTTACACATTACTTTAGTGATTTTTCCAATATTTTTCCCGAAGTATAAATACAATTTTTTTAAAAATTCTTTCATTTCAAACAATACGTACAACTCATAATATTATCAAAAAGTGATCATTGAGCGATTTTTTTGCAGTTTGCTACAAAAATTGCTAATATTTCTCATAGTTTGATGACAATAGATCCTAAGTATGTTCTGAACGCCTTCAAGATTGATTTTTTAAGCGTATTTTCATACAGATAAAAAAGTTTAGCTTTGAAATCAACTTTAGTTTTTATTCGGCAGTTTTTAGTACAAGTTTTGGGCTTTCTGATCATGATTCCCAATCGTTTTTAGCGGTTTCCTAGAAATAATCAGTTCAATTAGTTTTTGGGCTTAAATTAGGACTTTAATAGGGTTCTTCTACTTCATAAATGGTTCAGAAGTGTTGAAATTCGATTAAAAGATTTTTTTCAACAAAAATATGAGCGACTAAAAGTTCGATTTTATTAACAAAAAATTAAATTTTTTTTTTGTTTTTTTTTTGAGAAAAACTTGTGAAGAAGTTTTTCACGGGAACTTGAGCGTTACAGCAGAGGTGGAGGATGGCTGCCCCCTGGCCGCCCTGCCTGCCAAGCCATAAACGCCCAAAAGGCAGAAATGACTTTTTCAAAAGTCAGCGTGGCGCGACGGTCCTTTGTATGGCGATATCGCCCTAGCATCTAGAAGCGCTTGTTTTGAGCGATGTATGAAACTTTTTTACTAAAACACAAAAACACGAAAAAATGGTGGTGTGAAAAAAAGATCAGCGAAAACTCGAACGGCGATTTTTCTGATTTTTTCAAATCGCTAGAGAGCTGTCCGACGGAGAACTTTCCGACTAATCCTTTTCAACTTTCTTGCTAAGTAAACTCTTCGTTTTGAATCCTCCCATATAAAGTAGGTAGTTGATTCATGATTAAAACACAAAAAGATCCTGTAACGGTTACAGGATCTTCAAGCATTTCTTTTTTAATTCTCTCTTTATTTCGGATTAGGATGGCTAATGAGAAAAAAGCGTCGTTTGGTTGCTTTTTGCTTTTTCCAACCGGGAACTGTGAACCTTCATCAACTGATAAACGTTAACTCGACCTTTTTTCATTTTTTTTTTCACGATTTAAAGAGCTGGTTTTTAAGCAAACTTCAGTTTCTCATAGCCATCTCAATACATGAAAGTTCCCCCTTTTCCCCCAAATCCCTTCACATTTCATTTTTTCAGAGCTTAGCGTCGAGTAGATTTATTCCGCGCCGACGGTTCTACGTCGAAGGTCAACAACAACAGCAACGTTGCATGACGACGTCCTCCACGTCTTCAGCCACTTCCAACGGCGTCATGTTCCCCACTCCCGACTATTTGAGACGAATGAAGGAAAACTATGAGACTGGAAAAGTGGTCCGTTTTTGGCGAAAAATTTGGTGTCGTTCGAAAAAAAAAAGAGGAAAAAGTTGGAAAATAATGAATGATTGCGTATCCAGTGCGAATACGAATAAGTGCGCGACGTCTGGTTTTTTTTTAGTACTTTCTGAAGCTTGAAATAAGAAAAGAGCTGATAATAGGACTGGTTTTGGAGAATTTTTGCCGTGTTCTGAGTGATTCTGAGAAATTGAAAATAGATATTAAGAATTTTAGAGTGGTCCCTATAAGGGTTAGGAGAAAATACAGTCCCTGAAGGGGAAAATGAAAGTGGCCCTTATAGGGGTCTAGGGTCTGAACTCTAAGCCCCTATAGCTCAAGTGAACCCTGTAGGCGTCTTTCAATTTAATTCAAAAAACGCTTATTTGTTCAGTTTTTCCCATGGAAGCGCTTCTTCGCATAGAGTTCATAAAAAATATCGACTAGCATGTCCCTTATAGGGGCTACTGACTAAAACCTCTGTAGGGACCACTTTTGCAAGCTTCAGGGGCTTATATTGGGAAACAAAGTTCTTAAGGATGTCCCTGTATGGAACACTTAGGAGTTTTTACGTCAGAAATCGAGAAAGATAATTGAATTTTGGAGAGTCAGATAATTTTGAACTTTATGGGAATTACCTTGAACTTGGGCAACGTGTAAAATAGAGGATCGGGTTTTTGGATTCGGGAAATATGGAGGAAATATATGTACGTCATTAATATACTTTCTTATAGTCTGATCATTATTATGAGAAGCTTTTATTTCGTGTTTAAATGAGGAAAAATTATTTTGTGAAATTGATGGCTGTGTTTTTTGACGTATAAATATTGGCGAATTTCCAGCTTATGCGTTAGAATTGTTTATTTTGGTCCTGAAAACAGTTTCCAACGTTTTTTCTGTATACTTCCGGGTTCAACCACCACATGAATGAGAACTAATTTTTTTTCCTATAAAGTTATGCTTTTTTTGAACCTTTTTTTCAACAATTTTCGAAGTTTCTGTTCAGATATACATCAGAAGGAACATCCCGGGCGTGAAATCGACAACTCCGCAACCTTCGTCAGTTCTGCCCAACTCAATACGTTCAAGCTCGTATAGTACAGCGAATAATTCCCGCTATGTCCTTCGTTTGTCGCCCAAAAACGACTTTATGCACGAAGAGTTGGTTTTTCTCAAGGGAAATTTCATGATTTTGTGTTTTTTGTGAGAATTTCTAGAGGGAATTCAGAGGAAGGGCTGTCAAAAAAAGATTTTCCAGGATTATTTTTGAAAATTTAATCTGGCAGTCATATTTTGTAACGTATTCTGCCTGATTTGAGGCAAATGTTCCGTAAATAAAAGTGAAAAATGACGTCATCTCATGAGTTTCCTTTCCCTGGCCCTTGATATATTTGAAATGGATCTTTCCTCTTTTTCTGAAATTAATCATTCCAGAAACAAGCAACGACAAGAAATGTTCGTTCCGACGATCGACGCGAGTTGTTCGCCTTTCCCAACCGTCCCCGCCTCGATGTCGATGGGAGAATATGAAGAGGAAGAAGAGGTGGAGAGTCTGGCGCCGTCCAACGAGACCGGTGACGACGTCAAGCTCGAGCCGGACAGTCCCGGAGCCGAGGATACCCTTTTCAACGCTCTTGGAGGTGTGGAGGGTTGAAGGAAAAAAAAAACAAGATAAATTTGAAAGAAAAGCGTAAAAAAAGGGCGTGTAAGAAAAAAAAGTGGTAAATTTTGAAAATTTCCTCTTTCCTCCTTGATATTCTCAGCACTTACCAGGGAACTACGCGAACTCGTAATCGCGGATCGAGTTCAAACTTTAGTGGTTTATAGACCCAAGTCAGGACACTTGAAAACAAGAGAGAATATCTGCACTGAGAAAAAATTAGTAAAAATGTGGGAATTAGGCCTGAAAGTTTTCAGAATACTGTTTTTTATCTTATTTTATATTTTGATACAATCGCCTTGAATAATCCGGCTATGATAAACTCTAAAAAACTTTTTTTTTTCCAGCCAAAAGAAAAGCAGAAATTTGATAACTTTCAAGCCTAAACTGTTCATTTTCAAAAAGTTTTTCCTCAGAAGCCTATGGAGTTTATCAGATAATCTCTCTTGTTTTCAAGTACTCTTACCCGGGTCTATGAGCTATCAAGGTTTCAACTCGAATGTCCGAGTAGTTCCCTAGTTAGATGCTTCTGAATCCAAGTGAACTGTAAAAAAAATATATCAGAAAAAATGAAGATCAGAAAAGGCGCAATGGATCTCATGTCCTTTGGAATAGTGCTTTGTTTTTCTTCTGAGGATGTTCTTTAATAATTCTAGACAGGCACTGGTGGCGTTTCTGGTTTTTATTTTAGCTTTTTGACTGGAAAACTTTTTTCAAATGGTTTTTGGTATTTTTATGATACTTACTGGTGTCTATGCTCATTTTCTAAACCGGCTTCTAGAACTTTTGTGCAAGTTTCTGAAGAGCCATATTCAAATGGAAAAACGGGTATGGTTGAGTTTTTTTTTAAACTGAGCATCATGATCAGAGGAAACACATAAAAGGGGAAAAGGCGGAAATTATGAGCTTATATGGACAAAAAATGTAACAAAAGAACGTTCCCGCTTGAAGCACAGAGCCTGAGGAGGCGTGGGAGAATTTCAAAACCACAAAAGTGAAAAAAATGTTAAGAAAAGTTTCAAGAGAGACTTCTTTTGATTTGTAATTTTCAAACATTTTACTATTTTTCCCACGAGACGTTCTTGAATGTGAGAATGGAGTGAGTAGAAGGGAAAAAAAAGCTTTCAAAAAACTTTAATCGATAGAGAATGAAAAAAAAAATGACGAATAAAAACGTGGGAAGCATTGGATAGAATTTAGGACATTTGTCACGTGTTTCTTTTTCTTTTTATCGATACAAGGGGGCACCGTTTTTTTTTTTTTGCAAACTTCGTTTTGCCGTCTTCTCGCAATCTGTACTTTGTTCAATACAATCAACTGTAAAAGCGGAATTTTCAGCTTTTCTTCAGTTTGAAGTATTTTTTTCTATCAGAATACATCTCTTTTCTTTTCATTTTTTTTTTTCTTGAAATCAACATTTAATTCATTGCGAGCGCCTCAGAATTCGTAAAAATATTTTAGGCTTATGAAGGAGTATATATTAACGGAAATCTTAGTATTCTTAGATTCATATGACCTCCTAGTCTAGGAAATTCGTGCAATCGTGAAGAAATTTCAATTTTGTCTTCTTTTTGAACTCAGTTTAATGTATATGACCATCAAAGATGAAAAAAAAAAACGTTGATTTCCAGAAACAGGGAAGAAAGTAATTTTTTTAGGTTTTCTGAGCAATCCGTCATCAGAACTGTCCTCCCCACAGTCTCCATCCTCACCCACCAGTTTGCTGGACAATCTGACCACCTTGAGTTCGGCCTTGCAGTCCTCAACTCATGGATTCAATGTCATGACCTACAGAACTAAGTCAGTCCTCAACAAGTATAGGTACAGGGAATCTTTAAGAAAAAAAAAAAACCGGCTGGAGTTTTCAGTTGTCCGCAATCGGATTGTATATGGAGGGGACAGTCGGAAGGGGCGCTGAGACGACATATTTCTGCTCACGAGCAGAAGAACGAGGTTTGTAGAATAAAGAAGAAACAGGAATGAATTTGTGAATTTAGGACGCCGGATTGGTGAAAGCGGATCCGATGAAAGTGACGCTGGTCCCGCCGAAACCTAAAGGGGTTCGAGTTGATTTTGATTTTTGATAAAATACAACGTTTTTTTACTCTCCCCCTCCTTCCCCCTTTCGTTTGAACTTTCGATGGAGCTTGTGTACTTAAGGACCTCCAGATTACAGAACAAGAAAAAAAATTCTCTCAAAAGATTATCTGGAGTATTGCTGATTCACGGCTGGCTTGAGCCATCTAAAAAAGGGTCCTGACACGGTAAGAAAAGAGACAGTGTCTGGTTCGTGGAGAGCGCAGACAGGCCACGCCCCCTTAGCGTTCCAAGCCGTGAATCGGCTATAAGGCGCTTGAAAAACCCGAAATCGCGCTTTTTTTAAAATTTCATATTGCGTCTTTTGCTAACTTTGAAGCTTTATAAATCGAAGAGGAGATCAAAATTCCAACCGTGTGCCTAAAAACGTTCCCTTGTCAGTTTTTTCCATGTCGAATTATTGATTTTGAGGTGAAATGCAGCGAGTGCGACTCCTTTGCGTACTCGAGGCCGTTGCTCCTGAGACACATGAGCGATGTTCACGGGATCGAAGCGCCGCTCATCCGCAAAACTTTTGTCAACCGCGAAATGTTGCAGGTTGCTTTTTTTTCCCTGAATACTCATCGAGAAAGATGTTCCATAGTGCTCAGCTCCCCTTTGGTATATAATAATCATCTCATGATAAACAAGTATAAATACTTGAAAACTATACAAAAAGTCTAGAACAGTTATCAATTAACAGCCAAATATTGGGGTAAAAACAATTTAGGAAATTTTGAGCGGTCCCTATAGGGTTTTAGAGTCTGACCCCTTAGCCCCTAAAGCTTAAGTGGTCCCTATAGGGATCTTTCAAATTTATTCAAAAAAGGTTATTTGTTTTGTTTTTTTGCATGAAAATGCTTTTTCGCATAAAGTTCCTAAAATATATCGACTAGCAAGTCCCCTATAAGGACCACTTTACCAACCCCTATGGGGACCATTTTTGCAAGCTTTAGGGGCCTCTTCAAAGGTTGGTAAAATGGTCCCTAGGGGAGACCGTTCAAGGGCCCACTATGAAGTCCCTAAGACAACCGGGTTCTGGGCAGAAAACTATGTACGGTAGCGCGCACAATAATTGTTTGTAGGTTTACGGGTATTCCAAAAAAAAGCAAAATTCTTCCAGAAATGGCTCGATACTCTGCGTGAAACCCATGCCGTGGAGTTTGTCGTCTCTTCTGGGTCGAAAAAGTGGGGACGCGGATTGCAGGTACTGTGGAAAATGTGAAGATTAGAAGAGAAAACTGTTGAAAAAATCGAATTTTAAAAAGAAGGCTGACTTTGAAATGAAAAATGGGCTTTTTTTGAACTCTAGTCAAGTTAACTTTTTTTTTCGTACATCATTTCAAAGTTGCACGTTTTTTTAGGCTGTTTTTTTCAAGGATTTTTTTAGAGTTTTTTTGAAAGATTAAGTTGTGAAAAATCCTATATTTCTTATTCCAGGTACACTACCTGACGTGTTCGAGAAGTGGCGACCAGAAAGAAAGGCCCAACAAGAAATACGTCAGGCCGCCGAGACCGTCCATAAAATGCGGGCGGAACTGCATGGCCTACTTGAAGGTTCTGTAAACAGGGAAATGATTGATAAAAAGGATTTTTGTGAGGAAAAGAACATATTTTATCATAATTTTGAAGCTCTGTGATGTATATGTATTATTATTTCTCTCAAGTTTTTTCTTAAAATCAGTTTTTTTTTAAGAAGTTTCGTTACTGCCCCGTTCAAAGCGCGAATTCAAAAATAACCTTTGAATCTCCAAGATTTTCGTTATCATTTTCAATCTCTTACGGTCATTTCTTTTGCCTAAAATCACATTGAGCTCGTTTTTTTTGAGGTCATATGAAAATCTGAATGACTCGAAGCTCTCAAAAAAATCAAAATTATGTAAAAAAAAAAGTTTTTGGTGTTCTTTTGATAGTTCAGGAACTTTTAAATTGTTCGAATTTCCAAAAAAATCTTACGCGAAGCCTGTAAGTGCTCAGGAATGCCTAGCAAGGGGAGATTTTCCAGATTTTGGAGGTGAATTTTGAATTTAACGGCAATATTGGCTTTAATGAGCATTTTTTAACGCTTCAAAGTAAGGGAATATAGCATAGGGTGCTTGCGAAAAATGACAAAATATTCTAAGACCAAAATAAAATTGAAAAAGGGGTTTTTCAGATCAAGCAGAACCCGACAGTTTCCGAGTTGCAAATCGAAGGTTGCCTCCATCACAGTGGACATGATATCGATCATACCCGGATCATTCTTGAACATAATGAGGTCTTTATTGATTTTTTGTCTTTTTCGTGTGATTTTTGCTCATTTGACGCATTTCTGATTTATTTTCCTTGGACTGAAACAGTCAGCTGCAGGATTTAATGATGTTTTGTCCTTTTCGTAGCCTTTTTCGTCTTTCAAATGTCCTTGGCTATTTGTAGCTTCAATTTGATGTATTTGTTCCGGCTTGAAACGGTCGGCTGCAGGATTTCTTAAGAGAACTGTCGTTGATCAAAAACGGCGCGTAGATTTTCACGTCCAATTTTGATAGTAGTTGACGAGTTTTGAGCATTCCAGTGATCAGCTGCTTCTCCATTTTTGCCCCTTATTTGAAAATTTTCACATTTCTAAGTTTGTTACAGCTATCTTGTTGAACAAATAATCATTCACATCGAATAATTTCGATTATTCCTCTCCATTTTTCAGCTGGAAAGCATAGGAGCTCTCCTGGACGCGGTCAATGACGGCCTCGAGATCAACGTCGAGAATATCGATGTCATCCGCAGATATTTGGGCAGTTCCGGACGGTTTCGGTTGATGAGCGACCGCGGAATCATTGAGCAGATGCCGGTTTGGATTGAACAGGTGAATTTTAGGGTTTTCCCAGAGTATTTTCTTATAGAAAAAGTCCAAGAAAAAGGAATTTTATCAAACTAAGCTATGTATGCTTTAGCCTGAAATTTTCTTGTATTTTTTCGATTTTTGATTTTTGAAAGTCAGGAAGGGAATTTTTCAGAGATTTCTTACAGAAAAAAGTCCAAGAAAAGAGAATTTTATCAAATTAGGCTATGTCCGCTTTAGCCTGAAAATTTCTTGTATTTTTTTCATTTATTGAATTTCAAAAGTCAGGAAGGGAGTTTTCATCAATTTCTCAATGTTTTGGATCCTTGATGACGCGTTTTTCGAATATTTTGACTGTTCCTGCGAACAGGAAAATACAGCAATCTTCTAGGAAGATGTAAGCGTTCCGAATATTTTGAAGGATTAGTTCTTTTTTCGAAATTTGAAACCCATTTTCCCCATTCAAAAAAGAAAAAAAACAATAAAAAATACGTTTTTCAGTACCACGCAACCGAGTCGGTGACGGAAAACGTCGTTCTGCCCATGTACCGAGGCTCCGGACCGCTGCACGTGACGACGAGGACGACGGTGTTGGCCCCAAAAGTTCGGCCTCTGGCCATGACCAGCCGAAGAGCAGTCCCCTATTCCAAGACTATCGCCACTCATAATTCGTCTGGGAATCCGATCCTCAGCACCAGTCAGCTTCTCACGCCGAGTTACAAGGTGCGGAGGTGACCAAAACTGTTCAGGGCGTCCGACCGCCCTTTACGGCTTGGTTAAGTGCGCTATAATGATAGAATAATTGAAAGTTCAAAAATTGGACCTCGGTAACGAAAACCGGACATGCTCTGGACGTTTCTGAGCACTTCTAGAGATCCTAGAGTGCTAACGCTACTAAAGTGGTTACTAGAAATTCCCCTGACACGTCCGGTCCGAGTACGGTTTGGTAAAGTGTCCTCTGATGATAGGATAACTTACAGTTTAGAAATTGGACCTTGGTAACAAAAACCGCACATGCTCCTGACGTTTCTGAGCCCTTCTAGAGATCCTAGATTGCTGAAACTACTAAAGTGGTCACTAGAAATTCCCCTGACACGTCCGGTCCGCGTTACCAAGGTCCGAGTAGGAAGGCTTGCGTAGGATTTTTTTCGCCAAAAATTTGAAAAATTGTTTTTTTTTTCCGAAGTTTGAAGCGTAAAGCTTTCAAGAGTGTCGACAGGAAAACTGTTCATTTCGAATTTCCCCACTAGCGAGTCGTTTGAGATCCCTTTTTCAGAGAGAAAAACTGACGATCAGGTACATGGACCCGTCTCGGAGTGAACCACCGAGAAAGAAGTTGATCTCACCGTTGGATATTCATCTTTCAGATACGACGCAGGCGGTTCGTCTTTGATTGGGAAAATTACATTTTTCGAGACTTCAAAAATCTTTTTGTAATGTCCTTTTTAATGAAAAAGAATAGACAGAAAAGAGTGACCCCCCTCTTTTTGCGCTTCATTTTTCAGTTTTAAAAAAACCTTCACTAAAACTGTTTCAAACGGCTTAGAACTTTCAACTCTTATAACCATCCACGCTTAGGAACTCCAGAGTGGTCCCTATAGGGAGCAACCTTAGGGGCCCTTGGAGGGTCTCCTCTAGGGATGGCTTTACCAGCCCCTATAAGGATCACTACAGCTTGAAAAAGTGGTCATTATAGGGATTTCAGTCAGGAGACATGTTATTCGAGAGTTGATATGTTCGGCCCTTATAGGGACCACCCTGGAATTTCTAGGCGCCCTGCTTTTTTGTCCGGAAGCCGTGACTTCATGCGATTGAAAACCAAACTACTGACCGTTTCCAGTCGAAATTGGACGCGGAAGACGACGAAGGCGTGTCGGCCGTCGAGGCTTTGTTCAAGGAGGAGCAGGCGTTGGCCTCGAAACAGATGCCCATGATAGGCGGAGTCTCGGTTGACGTCATGGCTTCTGAGGACGTCAGCGGCTTAGGCGACGTCGGCCTCGGCCTCAGCGACGACTACCAGCAGTACAATAACAGCGATGATTTCATTGAGGTCTCAAAAAAACCATCCCAAATGCGGCAAAACATCAAACGTCTTCATTTTCAGATCTTCAGCTACAACAGCTTCACCGACTACAATGATCGTGGATCGATAAATTGTTCCTAAATGAACTTTCATGCCTTTTTTTTTATATCATAGAGTAGTTTTCAGAGCCGCTTATCTAGTTGTTAGTTGTTATTTTTTTTTTCTCTTGTTTTTTTGTTAGTTAGGTAGTTTTTTTCTCGTATTGTATGATTTTTTTTCTGTTATTTTTTTTGCCGTTTTAGGTTTTCTGTCGTTGTTTTGCTGTGGATTTTTTTTAGATTGTTAGTTTTTTTGCTCCCAGTGACACTTTTTTTTGTCTTTTCTTTTGTAGTCAGAATCCCGGATTTTTGTTTTAGCGAGATTTTTATCTAGTTGATTAGCTTGTTTTATTGATTTTTTTTCTCCCTTCTCAAGTTTGTGTGGTCATTTGAAACTCTTCCTCCTCTTTCTTTGTTAGATATTGATTTAGACGCATTTGATTGTGTAAATATACAAATTTTTTCTATCGAAAAAAAAACCTCTTTTCTATCTCGATCGATATGTGCCTAGAAGATTTGGGGAAGCTTGAAAAATTCCCGATAGATAATAAATCGAGTTTTTTGGATTTGCAATTTTGGATTATCAATCGGAAAGAAAGCCAGGGCCGCGTGTAGAGCGGCTCACTTTTTATTTTAAAACTGATGCTTTGAGAAAAAAAAAATTGTTTCCAACTCAAGTCTCTGGAAGTTCTGGAAAACTTGGAGACGGTTTTTTTTTTAGAAATATCTGATCAATTCTGAATTTACAGAAAAAAAGTTCGGCGTCCACACTGATTCCGACGGCTCCACCGGACATCATCATCAAAAACGTTCTTCGACTTCGAATTAAACTGTCAGTTTGAATATAATTCAATTTTCAAAATTCTATTCTCAATCCTTACATTAGCCTTATCACCATCGGTCACTGCTCATGGGATTGTCGAAATTTTTAAATGTATTCTAAAGATTTTCGTTTAGGCGCTTAAATTTTTCGAGAAAAACCAGGAAACTGTCAGTTTTTCGAAACTTTCACAAAAATTTCGTTTAGGCCCTGCCATTTTTCGAGAGAGCGAATCCAAAAATTGACGCGTTATCCGTTAAAAATGGACCAGGCAGAGATGGTTTTCCGGAAACCGTTAGAAAAATTGGCTCCAACAACGGCAAATCGCGATGTGCGACTTTTACGATGACTTTGACGCGCGAATCTCTAAATTTTGAAATTCCTCAGGCTTTTCAACAAATTTTGAAATTTCTCAGGCTTTTCAACAAATTTTGAAATTCCTCAGGCTTTTCAACAATTCAAAGTTTGCTGTACCAGTTAACGCGCCAATTTCGGTAATGCCGAAAATACTTGAAAACGGCCATTATATTCCAAATACTACGAAACGATCACATAGCTTATAGCTGTTTGCCCTTATGGTCTGAACTTTAAATTCGGCGTATACGTGATCTATCAGATCGCGTGAGCCGATCTCACGAGCTTTGCGTAGTGAGACTCATTCCCAGCTGTTCAAAGCTCTTCGGTCGACGCGACTGATCATCAGATCGGTCGGGGTCCTGTCGGAGTCAGACAGGATCCTGGTGAGAACCAGGAGATCTCGTTCACCTGGTTCGAACCGAAAATCGGATCCAACATGGAACCGAGGTCTGAGGCCCTGTGCTACAGATCGGTCGGGGTCCCGTCGGAGTCAGACAGGATCCTGGTGAGAACCAGGAGAAGTCAGGAAACTGCCAAAAAATGATGATTTTGAGATTTTTCAGGCGCTGCCAATTTTTGGAAGCTTTTGTTCTGTAGAATCTGACTTAGGGAACTGCCAAATTCAAAGCAACGTTTCCTTATGCTTCGTGAAAATGAAAACTAAGATTAAAGCTCCAGCCCAACACTCAACACTTAATGTCGTGAACCCTGATATCTTCATCAAATATAAATGTGAAAGAAAAAACTAAGCAAAATTGCTTTAATGGAAGGTTCAAAGAAAAAATGAAGAGAAAATGAATTTCTACTTCATGGAAGTAGGAGTTGGCTCAGCCGACGAACTTTTTGGAGCCGAGCTTTTAGGAGGAGCACCGCTCTTCGGAGCTGCACCGTTCTTTGACATGACGCTCCGGGCAGCTTTGCTTCTCGGAGCCGGCCCTTCCTGAAAATTTCAAGGTTGTCCAGTTTTTCAACTTTTGTTGAAAAAAAGGTCAATACGTTATCGAAATGCCTACACTACCAATATGTTTTTTTTTTCAAAAGTTCACCTTATTTTTGGCCTTTTCGTCTTCAACGGCTTTCGCAGCGTCTTCTGCCTAGAAGTTTGAAAAAAAAATTTCAATTTTTCAAGACTTCATACCTTCATTTCAAAGATTCCTGGCGGATCGATAATTGCGTCTGGCAAATATTTTCCAAACTCATAGTCGTCTCTTATCTTCAATTGCTTGGTAGGAGTTGCCTTGGACACCAGCTTGATTTTCTTCTTTTTACAGTACTCTTCTACGTCAGCTTTGAGCTTTTTATAATCATCATCGTATCCTGAAAAAGATCTTCAGCTCTAAAGTATATCTAAGGAAAAACGAAATGCTATTATCATGCTTGACCTTCAATAATTTTCAACTTTCAGGTGGAAAAACTATTTATTTGTGAGAAAGTCTAAAGCTGTTTTTTTAACGAAAGAATGTGAAAATTAAAATAACATAGCAAACACTTGCCTGAGTTCATCACTATTTAAAAGTCATTTCCTCTTTTCACACTCACTTTCCAAACGGAGCATTGCATCTGCGAAAGTTTCGTCATGCAGCGGCGACGGCCTGATGTAAGCAAGGGCTGCAAAGTTTTTTTTTATGAATTTTTTTCTGATATAGAAACATTCTTCTCTCTTGTTTCTATTTGTTCTTTTTGTGAATTCTTTCAGTTTTTGAACAATAAGTTTCAAATGTTCCATACTAAGAAGTTTTCCATTAAAACGCACATTGTATGTTTCAAATGTGCTTGCGGTGATTTGTCTTATCTAATGTTGGAAAATTCGACACGTCATTTAGAAAACTTCTACATTTTACTGATATTTCGTGAATGTTGGAATTTTCGGATTATACCCTTGAAACTCACATCCTTTGTACTCGTTGTAGTCGAGGCCCATGTAGTGAAGATCCAAAAAGCGAATCCATTCGTAAAGCGTCAGGAAATCTTTCAGCTTCTGTGCCTCCGGATCCTCATCAGTGTACAGGTGTTCGAGAACATGGATAAATTCTTCAAATAGGTCTTTAGAATAAATAATAATAATAAAACTAGCCAGTTCAAAATAATCTGCCAAGTTGAAGGCAGATTTTCAGCAGAACAAAGGGTTTTAAGGTAAATTTTTGTGCCATTTTGTGGAGCTTGCTCTGTTGGTTGGAGCAGTTTGTACTCTAATATCATACCAAAATGAACGAAAGAAAGGTAAACAAGACTACGCAAAATTTCGATTGTATAAGTACATTTAAATCACCAGTCGTGCTAAATTTTTGCGAGATCGTCCAAATTAGAGATGATTTTCATCAGAAATGACTTCATTACCATGCGTGTCCTTGACTTTTCCTCTCTGGTTGTACGCTGCGTAGGCTTGTTCGTTGTTGACCATAGTCCGCTCTTTGACTTCGTTCATGACGATCCTGCACAATTGGAACGTCACTTCGTTATAATCTGAAACTCGCAACTTCTGATTTTTCACTAAGTAAGAAATCTTCGCAAATTGAAAAATATGCACGTTGTTTTTCCTACACAAAGCCTATAACGTACTCTTGGCAAATGTCTTGTCAGTTTCCTCAAATTCAGTCAGCAAGCGGTCGATAACGCCCAACGAGAGCCCTGAAAATTGCACATTAGACAAGTAATTCACTAGACAAAGTATTAGGAAGCGTGATGATACATTCGGTCCTGCTTAACTCGAACTGAATGCAAATCGAACGTATCGGAGAATCTCTCTAATAACCACTTTAGTAGTCCCTAGGATTCCTCCGACACGCCCCGTCCGCGACCAGTTAGCGTTACCATGCTCCGAACAGCTATTTATCGGGTTTCGAAAATCTCGAAAGAGCGCGTTTGTGCAGAAAAACGCCAGTTGTACAGCCATTTCAATGAATTTTTTTGCTTCCGCAAAAAAAGAAGCCTTGTTTTCAAGTTTTTGTTTTCTCATCAAATGAAAAGTGAAATAAATACAGTAAGGAGTGAAATTATATGCGGTAAGTCCATGTTGACTTAAAAAGTGGATTTCAAAGGAATATTTTGTTTTATGAAAAGTTTCCTGCTATTGACCTTCCGGCTGGAAGCTTTTTATAAAAACGTCCTCACGCAGGCTGAAAAGATGTTTTTGGCCGACAATTTATATGAAAAAGGGATTTTTTTCCGCCCAAACGCGCGCTTTTGAAATTTGATGAATTCCGATAAATTGAGGGCCTTATCAAATGAAAAAACATGAACTGACAGGCATCGGCGATTTTCTTCTCCTCTTCAGTCTGGGGCTTGGTGTTAATCCACTTGGCTATCGTGTTATCCAAATGCTTGGCAATTTCCGGAAGCTTTTTTTTCCTTTTCATGTTGTTCTCCTGCGTCTTCAGGCTCACGTCCAGGTTCATACCCGCTTTTTGGCGTTTTACTTCTTTCTCTCCGTCCACATTTCCTTTTTGTGTGTCTCTTTTGTCTTCCTTTCCACCTTTCTTCCGTGCCTTGTCTTTTTCCTTCTTCAGAACCTCTTTCGATAATCCATCTTGGTTTGGAACAAGTATTTCGACAGTATCCGTGCATTTAATTCCTTTTTTCGACTCGACGAATTTCGAGATCAAAAATAAAATATCCTTCTCGCGGTGCGCTTTATCGATGTTAGCAGAATACGATCTTTGGTAGGCAAAGTTTTCCATGAGCTTTGTTTTTTCTAGAGTTCCTCCTTGGTCCAAAATTGCATCTCTCCTATCAGCTTCAGCGAAAATCTCATCCATCAGGTCAACTGAAGTTTTTCTTTTTTTGCTATCTCATTTTTTTTTTCGCAGAGACTAGAATTTCGCACAAATAACAAAAAAGCGAAATAAAAAACAGATGCTCATTTCTAACGTATGGCCTTCCCTGAACCTTAATCAAAAACAAATTTCTGCTAAATCCCATAGGCAACCGAGGAAAAGCTGGCAGCGCGTAGGTGCCTGCGTTTGGAGTCTCCGGTTAGCAACTGGTGGCGTGGTGTAATGGGTAGTGGTCTTGTTCAAGGTCAATATTGTGACCAGGGTTCGAATCCTTTTGACTGCAGCCCTCTCACATTTATAAGTACATGAAAGAGATAAGGTTATGAGGCGGCAAAAATTATTTCTGTTGAAAGGATTCGAACCATGATATTAATGTTGACAGTGCACGAGACCACTACCCACTACACCACGCCGCCAGTTACTAGTCAAGGGCTCCGAATGCGAGGATATACGCGCTGGAAAACTTTCGACCAGCTTTTCTTTGGCTGGAGGGGTTTAGCAGAATTTTATTTTTCATTTCAAGAACTCTGACCCAGGCCTATCAAACCCACATAGTCTCACTTCTCAACTCGATGTTCAGGGGAGACCATGCCCTAGTGAGAATTGGCTGAAAATCTGGTGCTCGGAGGCTCGAAAAGGTGATCAGTATTTTCTTCAGTTGACGAATACGTGTGAGATACTAGAAAGACGCAAGCCGGAAAACCTTCATTTTTTGAGCATACGAACACCCGAGTGGCAGTCTCACTCTACTCCCTTGCTGGCCTCTTCCCAGTTCCCAATTATAACAACAAGTTTAAGAAAGTATTTTTTGAACGTTTGTATTGAATATTTACTTTTTCACTCTTGGAAATTATTTTAGCAAAAAATTTTAACGCACTGTTTTTAGTGAGCTTGTTAAATAATAAGCTTGATTATTATCATAAAATTGAATTTTTGAAAGTCCGTTAAATGGAATGGTTTAGTCTAATTTTCAAATTGCTTTCAAACGAAAAAAAAAATGGAAAAAAAAACGAAAAAACGTCCCTAAAAGTTCGCAATCGGTGATAGCAAAATCTAACTACCAAAGATTCACTTGAGGAACCGTTGTTTGAAAACCTTGGAATTAATAGATTTTCTTCCGTTTAGAAGTCTTTCCAAATTCCTTAGCGAAAGTGTGAAAACTTTCCGAATTTCACTTAAGAATGAAACTGACACTTTGACCGGATTTGTATTACTGGTTCTTCTTTGAGGAAGTAGGCAGTCCGTTGCTCATAAGCGGTGAAACAGCTGATAATATTCTCCACTTAATCGATCAAGAATAGACAAAATGTTTAAAACTCAGTTACATACCAAAAGTTCTATGCTCTTTCATCGTGTTGAAGTAGGTAATGTGGATATAAGACGCCATCAGGCCGACTGTAAGTAAGAATTCAATATTGAGAAAAAAAGGAAATCAGCTCAAACTGACCGCATTGGGCGTATTCTTCAAACTCTTTCTCGAAACCCTTCGACGGCGGCGCCTTTCTTTTCAGGAACAAGAACATCAGAGCCAGAACGAGACCAAATATCACTATCCAACACAGTGATGTGATGGCGATCACCAAGATAGGCATTCCTTCTTAATTGGAACGATCAGAAGTGCGTAAAAGTGTGAGGTTTTTTCTTGTTTTGCAATCAGAAGGTCCTAAAGCAACCTTAACCAAAGTTTCATCAAAAGTTCAACCGTGGGATTAAAATCGTTCCCTAGTAAGTAGGATGGATACCCGGTCTATGAAAGTGTGTTCGAGTAAAGCTATAGAAGGTACGCATGAAGATTCTTATGACGCCTTCATCAGGAAAATGGAACGTTTTCATTCGTTTCGGAATTTCTGAGAAAGATTTCAGGTTCATGTGAAGTTGGAGAAAAATTCCGAGTTCAGTATCTTTCGATTTTCCTTCGACTTACCAGTAGCTTTTTCGGCCGATGGAATCGATGGACATTCAGGCACCGGTGGGCAAGACGAACTTTGCGCCGAAATCGGCTTAGGAAGTGGTCCGGAGATTTGTGGCGAACTTGGTGCCGAATTTGGTGGCAAATTTGGAGCTGTTGCCGGAGGTGGGGCTTGCGTGGTTGGTTTCGGGCACGATGCCAACAGATCCTGAAAAAAGTGCTGGTTTCTTCAGAACTAACGTTTTTATTTAATTAATCTTCAAGCTTATATTTAAAAAAATGTAACCTTTTTCCAACTTTCTCAACCGATCCCAAGGCTTCTTTTTTTCATGTTGTCGATATCGAAAATCGTTCCTTTCTGGCAATAAGGTTCGAGCGGAAAGATGCTTATGTTCGTCAGAAGACTGAACGCATTATCAGCAACTTCAGAGTTTCGGATGCGGATCAATGGCTCTGGAAAAAAACCTCAAAAATAGTTTTGCATGTAAAGTTTTTGTTGAGCTTTTTTTATTGAAAAATTACAAAAAAATTCGGAAAAAAATTTTTGGTAAAAAAAGTTACCTGGGAAGAGTTTGTAATCGCTGGCGTTGAGAAATAAAGACTGCAATTTTTTTGGAAACGTGCTTGTCCCGGATTGTCTTCTAAGACTATTCGCGATGCCGATTCCAAAGTTCCCGATGCTCCAAAGGCGTTGCCCACGTCTACTGGCTGCTTCTTAACGATGAGTTCGCCTCTTGTGCACTCCAGACAGCCACGCATACCACAACTTTCTACACCGATTCCAAAAACAGGCGAGTTGCAACATTCTGAAAGAAGCATAAATTAAAAAAAACAATTTGATAATAACTGACGCGATTGAGCGAATGTCGGAATGGTGTTAATCCAGATAACCCCAAAGAGCAGGAAAATTGTCGTTACTGAAATAATTGTTTTGAAAAATTGATAACGAATATTTTTTATAACAATCCTATATAACAAGTTTTTGGTAAAACTAGCGGTCTGTTATATACCACAGTGCGAGTTTTAGAGAATTCGTAAGTTTTTAAAAATTCAATTTTTGCATTTGCGACTTTCTGATGGTTTCTCTGAAACTGTGCTAAACTAAGAAAATGGAATTTTAATCCTTTCCATTTGGATAGTTCCATCTAGTTTTGAACATTTCTGTGTGGAAATGAATCGTTTAAAAAGGTTTTCAAGTCGAAGAAGCTGTATTGTCGGTTTTTAGCTTTTTACAGTTATGTAAGAGAAAAGAGAATTTTTATTCTTTTTTCGGTTACGAATTTGCCAAAAAATCAGCCAATATTAGCAACTAAGATCTCTGAAGATCTGATTATCTCAATATGCAAAGCCTTCCTTTCTCGAAAATAAAAGTTTTGAAGCCTAAAAGGTTTTATTTCTTTAAACAACCATGTTTTAACTCGATACTAGTCCCCGAGCTCAGAAAGTTCTCTTACTAAATGTTCAATCGTAAGGCGAAGTTACGATAGAAGCGCTTCTGTTGCAATGTCTCGAAGCTTTGTTCACAACGGGGAAGGTTATAATTGAAAAAAATTCCATTAGAAATGATATTTTTCTTTTTAAATATGTCTTTCTGAGAATGAAACCCGTTTCATGGAAATTTTCCTGATATCTCTCACAGTACGTAATGAAAGTTTTGATGTACCAAAAACTGAAAATGATCAGTTCATACGCGCCACGTAATTGACCTAGTTGCCACGTGGGACATAAGAAAATTTCTATTCTATGAAAAAATGACTTGAGTTAGCTGCCTTCCAACCTTCCACCTCTGGGATCCAACTCATAAGATTCTGGATCCCTATTCCGCATCACAAACAAGGATCCCAAGAAAGAACGAACCGACAGGAGGCGAGGAAGTCTTGAGGCGAGTCCTCATCGCGTCGATGTCGTGTTATGACTGACGCTCTTCCAAATCTCACGTTTGACTTACACGTCGTGATTTTCTTCTTTTTTTTTCATTGTGAACAATTTATTTTTTATGTCATCATTTTTTATCTAGATGATATCTTCACGGCGAATATTTTCTGTCCAACATTAAGGCTAGAATATTTTTGAAAGCCTGATTGCATTCTAATAAGTTTAATAAAAAAAGTTTTTGAAGATTTTTTTAAAATTTCTAAAAAAACTTCGCTTTTTTTGAGAAAAAAAGGAAAGCTTTTTACTTTTTTTCAAGGTTGTGAAGTATTTTCCGCAGGCAGAAAACTCGATAAAAGTTAGGGTAGACTTGAAAAATAAGACGAACACTCCATAGCCCCTGAAATACTTAGAAAAATGACCTTTTTAATGCATCATCGCATTTTTTCAATACTTCGAAAACAAAATCTTGATTCAGGCAGAAAAAGAAAGCCTTTGAGCCATTCCCAGTGCGTCCACAGTGGTTCAAATTTCATTAGAATAAGGTCCTCATCAAGACTTCAATCACTGGATCGATTAGTTTGAAGAAAATTTGATCTCTCTCTCACTTCAAATTGAAAACGTGTTCAGTGGGTCAGTTTTTCCGCGAGAAATTTCTGTTTTTTTTTCTCTGGTCCATTCATTTTCTTACAACGCTTTCAAGTATATCATTTTTCAAATATTGTATTGAAAATCAAAGAAATCGACGCTTTATTCGTTCAAAACGGACTGGGCAGAGATGGTATCCGTTAGAAAAAATGGCTCCAACAACGGCAAATGGCGATGTGTGACTTTTACGATGACTTTCACGCGACAATCTCTAAATCAGACGTGGAGGATTGGGAAGGCAGCCCTTGGCTTGGCGACCAAGCCAAGCCATTTAGCCAAAAGATAGAAATGAGCCTTTAATTTACGCGGTCTTTGGCAACTAGGTCAAGCACTTGGCGATAACGCTCTGAACTAATCATTATCAATTTTTGTAAATTTTTGAATTGTTTTTCGCAACTTCGTGTTAACGTTTTTTTAATCTACTGTAACAGTTATTTCAGCAGGGAAATGTCACCGAAACGGGTCTGTAGGCTACATTTTCAATCCCACTGGAGAACTACGCAGACCAAAAAATTTTGAGATGTTATGAAATTGATACAAAGCCTTTCTTTTGATTCATTTGGTTTTAACAAAGTCAGATGACAAAAATTCTACTACGCTAGGCCACCTCATCATTCGTGGAAGGCGTACAGGTCTCTTCCTGGATTTTTTCGGCGGTATGAAAAAAAACCAGCGAATTTTCGAGCGGCGACTTTTCCGATTTTTTTAAATCGCTAGGGAACTTGCCGACGGAAAAGTTTCCGACGAATCTCTTACCGACTTTTTTTCCCTTATATTTTTTTCGGTTTATAAAAAAATCTATTAATATTTTTATTTTTTTCTGTTTTAATCATGAATCAACTTTTTATCTAGAAAAATCGGAAAAGACGGCGTTCGAGTTTTCGCTGATCTTTTTTTCAGACCATCATTCTTTCGTGTGCTTTTGTGTTTTAGCAGTCCCTTGATTACAAGAGATCTTACTTGGTCTAGACGTCACCAAAATTTTTACTCCAAACTCGTCCCCGAATCCGAGTAGTTCCCTAGCCAGATTTAGGCGAAAGATTTTTATGTTCGAATTTTGTCTAACAATTAAAAATTCTGATTACGTTGTGTACACAATTTTCATACATTGCTCGAAACAAGCGCTTCTAGATTCTAGGGTGATTTCGCCATACAAATGACCGTCGCACCACCTTGACTTTTGAAAAAGTCGTTTCTGCCTTTTGGGCGTTTATGGCTTGGCAGGCAGGGCGGCCAATGGGCAGCCATCCTCCACCTCTGGCGCATACCATTCAAGATTTTGCCTTTCTAATCCTTCACCTATGGTCTAAATTATGAAATTTCTCAGACTTTTCAACAAAAATTCAAAGTTTACTGTACCAATTAACGCGCCAATTTTGGTAATGCCGGAATCACTAAAGCCCATCGTTAGGTCTTGACTATCAGGGAACTGCCAAAAAATGATGATTTTGAGAGATTTTTTAGGCGCTACCAATTTTAGGAAGCTTTTGTTCTGTAAAATCTGACTTAGGAAACTACCAAATTCAAAACAACGTTTCCTTATGTAGGGACCGCAAAGCCACGCCCCTTTTCGCGATAGAAAAAGTGGCTTTTTTTTGGTTTTCAACTTTCAATTTGTTGTAGTTGCAAAATATATGGAACTGGATAATAAATTTTGACACACATGTACAGAAAAGCTTCCTCTTTCGTTTAAAAAATATTTCACGCTTTTTTGATGCGTTCTCGCGGAATGTCGTACAAAAACGTGAATGCAACTAAAAAATTTTGTCATTTTTTGCTTTTTCATGTGTTTTCAAGTCGAACGCACTCTTTCTTTTTTTATATAATGATTTTAATTTAAGTAACGGTAATTTTAAAACAATAAAATAAAAAATTCGTCTTTGCCAAAAATTTTAGGGAGTGCCGAAAGTCATACTTCAAAATATCGTTAATAAGCGAATATAATCGAGTTTTTGTTTTTTCAAAATTCAGACCATGGGCTTACTTAAATGTTTCTCCACAGAATATGTGCTTGAAAAAGTTGTTTAATACGCCAAAATGCTCTTGAAAATAGAGAATAAAATTAGCGGCGTTTATCACACAAAAAGCGGTCGAACGCAGGTTTTTTAAACGATTATATGCATTTATTAGTAAAAAATCTTTCAATTAGAAGAATAAAATAAAAACTTCGTCTTTGCCAAAAACTTACGGGACCGTTTTAATGCAATAATCGTTAAACGAGGCAAAAAGCACTAAAAAAACAGTTTTTTCGAAGTGAATTTTCACGGAAAGTTTGAGTAAAGATTTGCGAACATATTCTGATAAAAATAGCTAAATTACTTCGGACTTTTTCTTTTTGAAATAGGCAATCTGTGCTATCTAAACGGCTCAAGGCTATGGCGGATGGAAGCTCCACTCGCTAGCCCTAACAGCTTGGCGCAGCGCGTGCGCTGCGATTTTTCATTTTGAGGTCGCGATTTCGATGCCCGCAAGCGCCAGTTTTTTGTTTTCTGGAAAATACCGACTTTTTCGGCAAACTAGCAAATTTTTTATCGTTTTAGCATTCTATTATGATTTGTTACATCATAATAGACCAGTATCGAAACTTGTTCTAAAAGAAAAATCGAGAAAAACGTCAAAAATGGATAATACCAAAATTTCAGTACTAAAAAAATGGTGCGCGGCGCGCCACATTTTTCGTCATAACTTTTTTCATCCTTAATCTTTTTCGAAAAACTAAACGGTTCTGACTTTTGAATCGAAGCAGCTATCAAATCATACAAAGCTCGATGCTGAAAAAAATTTTTTGAAAATTCGTCTGCGGTCCCTATCCTTATGCTTCATGAAAATGAAAACTAACACGGGAAGTGCGAAAGGTCGAGGTATTGGAATTTAATGAAACTTGGTATATAGGTACTTCCGAACACCCTGAATCCAAAGCAGTTGAAAAAAAGTGCGCCTTTTTGGTTCTGGTCGAGTTATGGCGCCTCAAATTTTGCACGCAAAAAATGCATTGGAAGGGAGGAGGGAATGTGTTGCGGCGGGTAACTCTAGCTGCCAGCAGGCGGCGTGGTGTAGTGGCTAGCGGCCTTGCGCTGTGAAACCTATGATGAAGGTTCGGTCCCTTTTTGGTGAAATTTTTTTTTGCCATAATTTTTTTCGAAAAAATTAATGAATTTTTGAAGATGGAACGAAAAATACCGTTCAAAGTGTTAAAATTCACTATTTTATGTCGTTTTGAGACAGACTTTCAACAAAAAAATTTTTTCAGTCTTTTTTTGTCATACCCTGTGCAGGAAATTTGGGCGTCGAGATTATTCTTGCGAGAGTTCGTAGGTTTGGGATATAAATAATAACATTGTAGTTCTATGCTTCTATTCTTATTCATCAAAAAATTATGGTTGGGCAAGAAAAATGAAGCGAAAAAATTTTCTGTCAAAACTCTTTCTCAGATGGGCATAAAATGGTGAAATTCAAAACTTTGAGCTGTTCTTTCCCTCCATCATCGAAACTTCCTCATTTTTCAAATAAAAAAAATTGGCAAAAATAAATTTCACCAAAAAGGGGCCGAACCTGCAACATAGGTTTCACAGCACAAGGCCTCTAGCCACTACACCACGCCGCCTGCTGGAAGCTAGAGTTGGCCGCCGCAACACATTCCCTCCTCCCTCCCAATGCATTTTTTGCGTGCAAACTTTGAGGCGCCATAACTCCACCAGAACCAAAAAGGCGCACTTTTTTTCAACTGCTTTGGATTCAGGGTGTTCGGAAGTACCTATATACCAAGTCTCATTAAATTCCAATACCTCGACCTTTCGCACTTCCCGTGTAAGATTAAAGCTCCAGCCCAACACTCAACACTTAATGTCGTGAACCCTGATATCTTCATCAAATATAAATGTGAAAGAAAAAACTAAGCAAAATTGCTTTAATGGAAGGTTCAAAGAAAAAATGAAGAGAAAATGAATTTCTACTTCATGGAAGTAGGAGTTGGCTCAGCCGACGAACTTTTTGGAGCCGAGCTTTTAGGAGGAGCACCGCTCTTCGGAGCTGCACCGTTCTTTGACATGACGCTGCGGGCAGCTTTGCTTCTCGGAGCCGGATCTTTCTGAAAATTTTTAATTTTAATTATTACCGAATTTTTCAACTTTTGTTTGAAAAATTCATGGTCAATACGTTTCCGAAATGCCTAAACTACCAATATGTTTTTTTTTCTCAAGAGTTCACCTTATTTTTGGCCTTTTCGTCCTCACTTGCTTTAACGGCTTTCGCAGCGTCTTCTGCCTAGAAGTTTGAAAAAAAAATTTCAATTTTTCAAGACGTTATACCTTCATTTCAAAGATTCCTGGCGGATCGGGAATGCCATCAAACTTATATTTTCCAAAGTCGTATTTTTCTCTTATCTTCAATTGCTTGGTAGGAGTTGCCTTGGACACCAGCTTGATTTTATTCTTCTTGCAGTATGCTTCCACGTTAGCTTTGAGATTGTCATAATCCTTCTCGTATCCTGAAAAAGATCTTCAGCTCTAAAGTATAATTAAGGAAAAACCAAATGCTATTATTATACTAGACCTTCGATAATTTTCAACTTCTAGGTGAAAAAAACTGTTTCTTTGTGAGAAAGTCTAAAGCTGTTTTTTTAACGAAAGAATGTAATAATTAAAATAGCATACAATCACTCGTATAAGATTCTCACTTTTCGAAAATAATTTCCTTTTTTTCAGGTTCACACTTACTTTCCAAACGGAGCATAGCATCTTCGAAAGTTTCGTCATGCATCGGCGACGGCCTGATGTAAGCAAGGGCTGTAAGGTTTTTTTTAATGAATTTTACACTGATGTAGAAACATTTTTCTCCACTACCTTGTTTCTATTTGTTCTTTTTGTGAATCCTTTTAGTTTTTGAACAATAAGTTTCAAATCTTCCGTACTAAGAAATTTTTCATTGAAACGCACATTGTATGTTTCAAATGGGCTTGCGGTGATTTATCTTATCTAATCATTTAGAAAACTCCTACATTTTACTGATGTTCCGTGAATGTTGAAATTTTCGGATTATACCCTTGAAACTCACATCCTTTGTATTCGTTGTAGTCGAGGCCCATGTAGTGAAGATCCACAAAACGAATCCATTCGTAAAGCGTCAAGTAATTTTTCAGCTTCAGTGCCTCCGGATCCTCATCAGTGTACAGGTGTTCGAGGACATGGATAAATTCTTCAAGTAGGTCTTTAGAAAAAAAAAAAACTAATAATAAAACTAGCCAGTTTAACCAAGTTAAAGGCAGATTTTCAGCAGAACAAAGGGTTTTAAGGTAAATTTTGTGCCATTTTGTGGAGCTTGCTCTGTTGGTTGGAGAAGTTAGTACTCTAATATCATACCAAAGTGAATGAAGGAAGGGCAAACAAGACTACGCAAAATTTCGGTTGTATAAGTAGATTTAAATCATCAGTCGTGCTAAATTTTCGCGAGTTCGCGCAAATCAGAGATGATTTTCATGAGAGATGACTTCATTACCATGCGTGTCCTTGACTTTTCCTCTCCGGTTCTCCGACGCGTAGGCTTGTTCGTTGTTGATCATAGTCCGCTCTTTAACTTCGTTCATGACGATCCTGCATAATTGGAACGTCGCTTCGTTATAATCTGAAACTCGCAACTTCTGATTTTTCACTAATTAAGAAATCTTCGCGAATTGAAAAATATACACGTTGTTTTTCCTAAACAAAGCCTATAACGTACTCTTGGCAATTTTTATGCCAATGTCCGTAAATTCAGTCAGCAAGCGGTCGATAACGCCCAACGAGAGCCCTGAAAATGGCACATTAGACAAGTAGTTCACTAGACAAAGTCTTAGGAAGCGTGATGATACATTCGGTCCTGCTTAACTCGAACTGAGCGCAAATCGAACGTATCGGAGAATCTCTCTAATAACCACTTTAGTAGTCCCTAGAATTCCCCCGACACGACCTGTCCGCGACCGGCTCGCTTTACCAAGCTCCGAGCAGCTACTTATCGGGTTTCGACGATCTCGAAAGAGCGCGTTTGTGCAGAAAAAAAAATTATTTGTACATGATTTTTATGAATTTTTTTGCATCTGGAAAAAAAGAAACCTTGTTTTTACGTTTTTGTTTTCTCATCAAATGAAAAGCGAAATTACTACAGTAAGGAGTGAAATTATATGCGGGAAGTACATGTTGACTTGGAGAAATGGATTTCAAACGAATATTTTCTATTTTTTGAAAAGTAGCCTTTTATTGATCATTAGAATGGCAGCTAAGTTTTCTATAGGATTTTTCTCACGCAGGCTAGAAATAATTTTTTTGGCCGACAAAAGCGTTTATACAGAAGAAGTGAAATTTCCCGCACAAACGCGCTCTTATGAAATCAACTGATTTGCAATAAATGGTGGCCCTAATCAAAAAACCATCAACTGACAGGCATCGGCGATTTTTTTCTCCTCTTCAGTCTGGGGCTTGGTGTTCATCCACTTGGCTATGGTGTTATCCAAATGCTTGGCAATTTCCGGAAGCTTTTCCTTTTTTTTCATGTTGTTCTCCTGCGTCTTCACGCTCAGTTCCAGGTTAAAACCCGCTTTTTGGCGTTTTTCTTCTTTTCCTTCGTCCACATATCTTTTTTTGGTGTCTCTTTTGACTTCCTTTCCACCTTTTTTCCGTGCCTTGTCTTTTTCCTCCTTGAAAACCTCTTTCGATAATCCATCTTGGTTTGGAACAAGAATTTCGACAGTTTCCGCGCATTTATTTCCTTTTTTCGACTCGATGAATTTCGAGATCATAAGAAAAATATCCGTGTCTCTGTGCGTGCTCTTCATACTATTCATGAATAATCTCCTGTAGGCAACATTTTCCATGAGCTTTGTTTTTTCTAGAGTTCCTCCTTGCTCCAAAATTACATTCCTTCTATCCACTTCATCGCGGATGTGGTCCATATTGACAACTGAAAAGTTTTTTTTCTTGACTTTATTTTATTTTTTTCGAAACTAGAATTTTGCACCGGTTGTAAAACATCTGAATAACAAACGGATGCTTATTTCTCTACAAGAAGCGTGCACGGTGCGAGCACTGATTTTGCACTTTTTCACTGCACGGTGCATGTTTTCGTTTTGCACCTCGCAATTTCGGGCCTTTTTCAGTGCGCATGAGGTGCAACACCGCACGGTGCTGACACTCCGAATCAAAAAATTAAACATGCTTTGCTATTCCATTTAGGCCTTTTCTTTCTCCATCATCCGACTTTTCTAACGAAAAAAATCAATACTAAAACGAATAAAAAATATAAATAACATGTAGAACTGGGAGAAATGGACTGAATTGACAGGATTTCGAATACCCAATTTTCTGATTCGGAGTGTCAGCACCGTGCGGTGTTGCACCACATGCGCACTGAAAAAGCCCCAAAATTGCGAAGTGCAAAACGACAACATGAAACTAAAAAAGTGCGAAATCAGTGCTCGCACCGTGCACGCTCCTTCGTTCTAACGTATGATCTTCTTGTAAAGTAATAATTAGGATATAGTAAACGCGCAGTCGCAAAAACTTTTCTTACAAGGAAAAATCTGTTTTGAAGCTGTTTTGAGTCAAATACGCAAACGTCGTTTTTGGAATTTTCAGTTGTCCGTATAGAATATTTTCATTTATAAGGAAGCAATGACTTCTCAACTTATTTTTTAAACACGGTTTTCCCAAAGAAAAGCTTTAAACATTTAAATTTCACTTTGAAAATTTTGATCAAAGAAACCGGGAGTCAAAAAGCGTTCCGTAGTTAGCAAACAGTAGGAGAACTTTCCCAAATTTTTAAAAAAAAGAAACTGACACTTTGACCGGATTTTTATTTCTGCTTCTTCTTCTTTGAGGAAGTAGGCCGTCCGTTGCTCATATGCCGTGAAACAGCTAATAATATCGTCCGCTTAATCGATCGAAAATACAAAAAACGTTCAAACTCGTTTAACATACCAAATTGTTGATTGTCTTTCAGGAAGTTTAAAAAGACAGTGTGGATGTACGATACCATCAGACCTACTGTAAATGAGAATTAAAAATTGAGAAGAAATCAGCTCAAACTGACCGCATTGGGCGTATTCTTCAAACTCTTTCTCGAAACCCTTCGACGGCGGCGCCTTTCTTTTCAGGAACAAGAACATCAGAGCCAGTAGGATGCCAGTTATAACCATCCAACACAGTGATGTGATGGCGATTGCCAAGATAGGCATTCCTTCTTAATTAGAACGATCAGAAGTGCGTAAAAGTGTGAGGTTTTTTCTTGTTACAATCAGGAGGTCCTAAAGCAACCTTAACCGAAGTTTCATCAAAAGCTCAACCGGGGGTTTAAAATCGTTCCCTAGTAAGTAGGATGGATACCCGGTCCATGAAAGTGTATTTAAGCAAAGCTATAGAAGGTTATAGAACCCTTTCAGGTCGAAAAAATCTTTTTTTAAAAGTTATAAACAAAAAAAATCATTATCATTTTCCACTTCTGTATAACGGTATTGAAAGTCACTGAGGTACCTACAAACTATTGGGTGAATTGGCACAACTCCGTCTCTCTGCCTGCCTTGAAAGCATAGTTGTCAAAAACTTGGGGATCTCAGGGCCATAGGTCTTTTCGCCTCCAGAAAAGTATTTGAATAGTGAAACACGGACTGTAAAAATGAAGCGTCTACAGTAAACATCAAACATATAAGAACTCGAGCCGTTTAGTTGCCAATTAATACCAAATTTAGACTCTCAAATCAAATTTTTGGTTCAAAAAAGAAAAGCGACTATACATCGGACGGTACACAAGAGCATGTGTTCTAAAAGATAACCATTTCAAAGAAGTAGCTTCTTACATGTAAATTACCAAGTAATCAAAATTATGTATTTCCTTTTGCCGCTCTATAAGAAAAACGTCAGTGCGTCATAACTATCAAAAACCCTCCCATTTTTCGAAGTTTCGATAAGTCTCAAACGAAACTATGAGCTAGATAAAAAAATGAATTTGAAGGAATTGTAATTTTTTTAATAGTTTTTAAATATTCTGAGAAAGATTTCAGGTTTATGTGAAATAGGAGAAAAAAATTCTGAGTTCTTTTTATCAGTATCTTTCGGTTTTTTTCTTCGACTTACCAGTAGCTTTTTTTCGGCCGATGGAATCGATGGACATTCAGGCACCGGTGGGCAAGACGAACATTGCCCCGAAATCGGCTTAGGAAGTGGTCCGGAGATTTGTGGCGAACTTGGTGCCGAATTGGGTGGCAAATTTGGAGCTGTAGCCGGAGGTGGGGCCTGTGTGGTTGATTTAGGGCACGATGCCAACAATTCCTGAAAAAAGTGCTGGTTTCTTCAGAACGAACGTTTTACTTTATTAATCTTCAAGCTTATAATTTTAAAGTGTAACCTTTTCCAATTTTCTCAACCGATCCCATGGCTTCTTGTTCATGTTGTCGATATCGAGAATAGTTCCTTTTTGACAGTAAGGTTCGAGCGGAAAGATGGTTATGTTCTTCAGAAGACTGAACGCTTTATCAGAGACGTTAGACCTTCGGATACGGATCATTGGCTCTGGAAAAAAATAAAATTGTGTGTGAATAAAATAAAAATGTAATGAATTCTAACGTGTAAATTATTCTGCAGGTAAAGTTTCGTCAAACGGATTTTCAGCTTTCAACTACGGATTACAAAAACTTCGAAAAATTTTGGGAAAAAAATACCTGGAAAGAGTTTGTAATCGCTGGCGTTGAAAACTAAAGACTGCAAACTTTCAAAGTTTGCTTGTCCGAAATTGTCTTCTAAGACTATTCGCGACGCGGATTTCAAAGTTCCCGATGCCGCTAAGGCATTGTTTGTGTCTACTGGCTGCTTCTTGACGATGAATTCGCTTGTTGTGCACTCCAGGCACCCTGTTGTACCACAACTGTCATCCTCAATCCCAAACACAGGAGTGTCGCAACATTCTGAAAAAAAGCTGAAAATAACAAAAACCACAAAAACAATTAGATAATAACTGACGTATTTTTGCGGATGTCGGATTGGTGTTGATCAAGAAAATCGAAAAGAGCAGGATGATTGTCGTTACTGCAATAATTGTCTTGAAAAAAATTGACAACGAAAGTTTTTTTATTCTGTATTTCTCTGAAAACAAGTTATTTTTTTCTTTTTTTCTTTTTTTCTAAAAACTGCTATAAAATAAATTGACCTTCAGAATATATTTCAACGTCTCCACTGATTCTTTACGGGTCCAACTTAAAAGATCTCCCAAAATCTACTCAATACCTTCCCGATTCTAATTATTTTTCTTTATCCGCGTCAAAGTCTACTCGTTAGAGTGGACTAATTCCCGTTGCTGGTTATTTTACTGCTCTTCTTTCTTTCTTGTATTTTTCATAACTACTTATTTTTTTGAGCGATGTGTCGAAGCTTTGTTCACAACGGGGAAGGTTATAATTGAAAAATTCCATTAAGAATGATCTTGGATTTTAAATATGACTTTCTGAGAATGAAATCCGTTTCATGAAAAATTTCCTGATGTGTCGTTGATTAAAAAGTATGTACGTTGACAAAAAAATAGCGCAAAAATAGGTTCCAACCGTTTTTCATTTACTTTTACATTTACATTCATTTAAATCTACATTTATTTTTTTCATTTACAAGAACTGAAAAATGATTAGTTCATACGTGCCACGTAATTGACCTAATTGCCACGTGGGATTTCAGAAAATTTCTATTCTATGAAAAAATGATTTGAATTAGCTGCCTTCCAACCTTCCACATCTGGGATCCAACTCATAAGATTCTGGATCCCTATTCCGCATCACAAACAAGGATCCCAAGAAAGAACGAACCGACAGGAGGCGAGGAAGTCTTGAGGCGAGTCCTCATCGCGTCGATGTTGTGTTATGACTGACGCTCTTCCAAATCTCACGTTTGACTTACACGTCGTGATTTTCTTCTTTTTTCATTGAGAAACATTTTTTTTTGATGACATTATTTTTCATCTAGATTATATCATCACGGCGAATATTTTCTGTCCAACATTAAGGCTAGAATATTTTTTTGAAAGCCTGATTGCATTCTAATAAGTTTAATAAAAAGTTTTTAAGATTTTTAAAATTTCTAAAAACTTCGCTTTTTGAGGAAAAAAGGAAAGCTTTTACTTTTTTCAAGGTTGTGAAGTATTTTCCGCAGGCAGAAAACTTGATAAAAACTAGGGTAGACCTGAAAAAAAGGAAGAACACTCCATAGCCCCCAAAAACCCTAGAAAAATGATCTTTTTAATGCATCATCGCATTTTTTCAATACTTTGAAAACAAAATCTTGGTTCAGGCAGAAAAAGAAGGCATTGAGCCATTCCCAGTGCGTCCACAGTGGTTCAAATTTTATTAGAATAAGATCCTCATGAAGACTTCAATCACTGGATCGTTTAGTTTGAAGAAAATTTGATTTTTCTCTCACTTCAAATTGAAAACGTGTTCAGTTTTTCCGCGAGAAATTTCTGTTTTTTTTTCTCTGGTCCATTCATTTTTCTTACAACGCTTTCGAGTATATCATTTTTTTCAAATATTGTATTAAAAAAATCAAAGAAATGAACTTCCCAAGTAAGGCAGCAAAAAAACTGCACAAACAAAATGAAATATCGATTTCCACAGCGTGAATCGAGTGTATGGGGGATGATAAATGGGAATTCGGTTGTGTACTTCTCATTCGCTTTCTTCCCTTTTTTTCAACGTTTGCAAATTTTTTTCAATTTTTTTTTTTTTGAAAGTTTTTTTAGATTTATTGTTGATATTCAAGACAAAAAAAGCAACTTTGATCGCTAGAAAGTTGTTTTTTTGGCTTTTGAGCATATTACAGTATAGCCCCCCGCATATGTTGGATATCACCCCCCGCGACACGTTCGAGCAAGCCCCCACACTTATCCAATATAGCCCCCCGGAACTATCCAGTATAACTTCCCCAAACCGAAAAAAGGTCACGCAACGATCACGCAGGACACGTGTCAGAGCTTCCATTTTTTAATTTATTTTCTAATTTTTTCGTATCATTCGTCGTTCTTGGTTGTTTCAAATGGTTTTTTTTGTGTTTTCGCATGTAAATTCGTGTTCTTTTTGTGAATTTAATAATTTTTGTGATTTGATTTGTAGATCATGGAAGAAATTAGGTTGCTGACCGAGTTTCATGAGAAGTTCAAGTCAGACAAAGAAGTTTACGGGTACGTCTCGCCGAGATACGTACGAATATCATAAAATTATGGGGCGCTGACCACTTAGAAAAATTTAAGTTGAACTTTATTAGTTTTCAATCAAGTAATTGTTCTGAGGAATAGAATTTTTTGTTTTTTCTTTTCATGCACATCAATCAATAAATTACTTAGGAAAATAGGCTTAGTTTTAAGGCTTCACACGGAGGCGGAGCGCGCATAGCGCGAAGCCGACTGTGGCTCGCTTCGAAAAAACTGCCATTCTGGATAGGGAGGGGGACTTGTTCGTATGAGCTCTGGGGGGACTATTTCAAAGCCTTGCAGGGGGCAAATATGAAACATTGTCTAAGCATTTCAGAATCGCCCCCCGTTTTGTACTGCGGGGGGCCATTCTAGAATACATATTCACCCCCCGCGTTCGATTCTTCCCCCACATGAAGAAAAAAAAAACAGTGTGGGGGGCGATTCTGGAATTTTCCCATCATGACTTCTAAAATGATGGTAGGAAGGAATTTTTGGTCTACGAATATTCGTGAGCGTTAATTGTGCACACACCAATCTTGGGGGCTCGAATCTTTGCAAATTCGAATATTTGAGAACGATTCTTGGTAAAATTCACCTTTTTTTTTTTTGATTTTTTATATTTTTTCCATTTTTTTTGTAAACAGAAGTTGATGGATAATGTATACAGAATGAATGAAATTGTAGTAGACGTTCCGCAGCAAATCTTTGAATACGTGTATGCGAGAAAGACGCATTATTTGATAAACTGAAAGTGGAAAATCCAAACTTTCAGTACTATTAGGGTGGCAGGAAAGAAATGCGTGTTTTTGATGTCATTTAATTTTATCATAAAAACAAGGTTATCACAAATCAATTCGAACTGTAATTCCCATCTGTATTAGCACCTTGTCAACATTGCTCACGCAGAAAATGAGTACTCTCTCTGACAAACTGGGCCGCCTACGAGTCAAAGAAGTTTCACCCCCAAATTTGGACTTCATCGGAGTTTTTCAATTTTTTTTTTTGGCTGTTTAGCGATCCAATGATTCGGATAGACGATAAATGCGAAGAGCCATGTCTGAGCTTTGTAGCGGAAAAAGCAGAAGTTTGCAGAACAATTTTTCTGATTTTGGGCTAACATATTTTCGCAAAAAAGCGTAAAAGCGATATTGTGAACCCATTTTTCATTTCTCCTTTTTGCACTCGATTGCGTAAGAAAACTGTTTTCTCTTGCAGCTATGGGTGTGTATTAACTGATGAGCCAGTTTCACAGGCGTCTGTTGTGGATCCAGTCTAATGGCCTTTTAAAATCGCCTTTATCGTCGATTTTTTCGTGTTTTTTGATTTCAAAGGTCTTTTCGCCTAGTGAATAGCGCTAAAGCAATTCAAAATGTAAACTATCAGAAAAAAGCATCAATGGTGATCATAATATTGGAAGGTGCCAAGCTTCTGAATTTGATGTGTACTTTTTGAAATAACGCAAAAACTAGGTCCGCGAATACAGTTTTTGAAAGGATGTTTTCAGAGCTATTTTTCTTATAGAAAGGCGGAATGAATGTCAGCAAATTATATATCCAATGACGCACAAGGACAAGCCCTTTTCGACAAAAAATACCGTTCTAAATAATATTGCTTCTTGGATGAATTAGAAGCCGACAAAAACGAGCCGCATTTCTTTCATGCCACCCTAATAAATTTAGAGACCGCGAGCCATTTATTCAGAATGATTTGAAAGCTGTGTTTTTTATACTTCTTGATAAGGAAGACTGTCGATTTTTAATCCGTTTAGTTTTTGAAAAAAGGTCCACTAAGGAAAAAAAAAAGCGAACTGCAGGCTCAATCTCACGGCTTACCCACTGCCGCATGATTTCTTTTGAATTAATTTTGCGCATTTCGAACCGTTTTTCGAATTGGTTTTCCGTTCTAAAAAAATTATCAAACGTCACATAAATCTTTTTGTACAATTGTCATAAAAATTTATGATAAAAATAATATAAACCTGTTTAGAAAAAAAGGTCAGGAGGAATTTTTTTCGCTCATTTTTTCTCTTCTCTAATCAAAAAAATTATTATGATCCTCTTTTTAAAAAGAAGAAGAGATAAAAAAATTATCTCAATTTGTAAAAAAACAGCAAGAAGTAAAAATTTATGACAAAATACGGCTCCTGCAACATTTAACACGCTGTCTCTGTAACTGTCAAAAACAACGGGTACAATAAAAAATTTTATTTTTTGATTCTGATGAAACTTCATCCAGTGTGATAACCTATCATCAGAAATGCGGACGCAACTTTTTGAGCCATTTCCTCTTACTGTAGCCGGGTTACGGTAGGCAGGTGGGCACCTGCGTATCTAAGTATTGAAGAGTTTTTACTAGGCAAGTGATATATCAATCGATAGGTAATCCAATTTTAGCAGCTTTTACAGTACATACCATCTTGGGTTACTGTAGGAATTTTCGAGTTACGGTAATTGTTGTGTTTGGAAAGTCGGTTTTTCGGTCACCCTGGTCGTGAGCATAGAATCGCATGGTAATTACTCACATGGAATATGTCTTGTAGTATGTTCTAAACAATGCCACAGAAAAAAAGTTAGAATTTCTGAACCTAACATCTCGAGATTTCACTCTGAACGCGCGCAACTTGGCACTTGGCGGCCAGGGTTGGTCGGGGTTGACGATTTTTCACATTTTTCTTTTGTTACATGTTGGTGTGAAAACATTTTAGAATGTTACTTCATTGTGGTGTGTATTATTCAAAAGGATTTGGAGAGACTTTTCTGCTACATTTTCAGCCGAAACTTCGCTTTGAACTCAATTTTCGCTTGGAAAAGCGCGGTTCCCTTCGGAAAGTCGAATTTTTTTCTCTTTCCAACTGTACCGCTGTTTTCAAAACTATCAAATAAGAAAAAGCAACTTCAAGGTAACAATTAATGAGACATTGCTTGACTTCCACTAAACCTGTCCTTCCGAAACTTCCTTTTGAACTTACTAATGGCTTGAAAAAGCAACATTTGCTCTGAAAAAAACAGATTTTTAAAAGTTTCCAATTGTACCGCAGTTTCCAAAGCTATCAAATATGTGACTGACATCTTGAAAGTAAACATTTATAAGACTTTGCTCAACTTACATCGAACCTGTCTAGCCAAAAACTCCTTTTGAACCGTTTTTGGCTTCGTTGGTGGGTTTGAAGTTTGACTTTTGAACCTTGTTGCTTCGTTTTTATCGTTTAGAACATACTACAAGACATATTCCATGTGAGTAATTACGATGCCATTTTATGCCCATGACCAGGGTGACCGAAAAACCGACTTTCCAAACACAAAAATTACCGTAACTCGAAAATTCCTACAGTAACCCAAGATGGTATGTACTGTAAAAGCTGCTAAAATTGGATTACCTATCGATTGATATATCACTTGCCTAGTAAAAACTCTTCAATACTTAGATACGCAGGTGCCCACCTGCCTACCGTAACCCGGCTACAGTAGGAGGAAATGGCTCAAAAAGTTGCGTCCGCATTCCTGATGATTGGCTATCACACTGGATGAAGTTTCATCAGAATCAAAAAAATAAAAATTTTTTTATTGTACCCGTTATTATCTCATTTCATCCCGTCGACTAGTCGGTCTGATTGCCGCTCTCTCATGGGATAATGATCCGAGGCCCGTCAGCCCTGGACAAGCTGGGCGCTGTACTGTTCCAACTTGGTGAAACAGTTTATTCGCTGGTACTAACAACGGGCCAACGTTTTTTCCCAACGCTGTCACTCCGGGACGTATTGGACAACGATTGTGGACCGTAACCCGCGCCGACGACTAACTCTTCGATTATACCATGATTCAGCAGAGATTTTCCTCATCTTACTCTGAAGACTGAATAAATTGAAATTGAATTGAATTGTACTCGTTGCTTTTGAGACTTTTTGAAAATTACAGCGACAGCGTGTTAAATGCCGACATTAGCGTGTTCGATGCAAACACACCGACGCACACTTTCACGATTTCATTTTAAAAAACATGAATATTCTCTTTTTGCGAAGTTTTTTTCGAGCCGTTTCTATTTAGGGGCCGCCAGAATTTTTTTAATTTCCGATATTCGATAGTTTTTTTGAGCGCTTAACAACATATCAAAATTTTGAGCCAATCCGCAATTTGTGCAGGTAAAGACTTTCAGAGTATTCATAATGTACATCAGAGCGTTCTCGGTGAGTTTTCAGGAAACTTCCAACCCCAAAGTAAAATCGCCTTCCTTGTGGGTAGAATGAATTTTTGTTTTCTTTGTGATTACTCTCACCTAGGAACTAGAGTTCTCAGAATCAAACGTTTGAAAAAATGAAAGTTTGAAAACATGAAAAAAATTTTTTCAACATTTCCAAACAATTTCACATTCAAACATTGATCAAAAACGGCCACAATCAAGTCGTTCAAGTTATGATCAAACGTTTTTCGACCGAAAAACTTGTTATTTTGACCAAACTTTTTTCAAACGAAAACGAACGTTTGGTTTTTCGATCAAACTTGTTTTGAACGGAAACAAACGTTTGTTTTTCGAAAATTGAACAAACGTTTGTTCTGACCAAAACTTGGAATTCAAATCTTGATTGGAGCTCGGATAAGTTTGGTTGGACATTTATTCAAAATTTTTTCCGGGAACTACATCCGGCATCCACAGAAGGACAATTATCTTTCGAACCGTGATCTTTGCGAACCGAGAGTATCAAATGAACCCAAAAAGTGATCTTTTGTCAACCTTTTTTCTCTCAACCTCAAACAACTTGGACGACAAAAATATGTTAAGGTTCTTAAGATCAATTTTTGGGTTCATTTGGTACTCTTTCGGTTCACAAAGGCCATTCGGTCCATTTCGGCTCGCAAAAATAACGGTTCAAAAGATAGTAGGAAATTTCAATCAAAGGTCAGTTGCAATGAAATTTTTGAAAAATGTTTGGTTGAACGTTCGTTCAAACGTTTGGTTTTGAGAACTCTACTAGGAACACCTGGCACAGAATTTATATCAGTACATTTTCAAGTGAACTGTTTGACACGCAATGAAGAATATGTAATAAACTGTTTGACACGCAGCAAAAAAATCTCTATTAAAAAAATTGATTCAGAACCATTTTTTTATTGCGAATATGCCTTAAAGCACAATCTAGAAAAAAATGGAAGCCGAAAAAAATGACGATTTTTTTGGATTTCTGTCTTCGTTGGCCGTAGAAGTTAAAAATAAACCGTCTGAAAATCTCAAATTTTTCATTCATAGTTTCTATAAGAATGCTTCAAATGCGCCCTCGGACTTTTTGTGAGAAAATGTGTGTCAAAAAAAGTTTCAACAAGCCTTTGAGCAGTTTCAGTTTTATTATCGATTTAATCAAACATAGAGGGCTTACTTTTTTTGGCTTTTTTTGAACTAAAAGTTTAAAATTTCTCACTAGTTTTTGGCTTTTCGGTTCAAGGAACTATTCGTGAACTCGGTTTTTTCCCATTCAAACTTTGTGTTCCACGAGTTTACCTCTTTTTCAGGCCTTGCTTTTCTCAGCGTTTCCAGTCTTGTTGTTGGACGTTTCAGACGTCGACTCCTTTGTTTTCCGTATTATAAACATTGTGGCGTGAATGATGCCAAAAAGTATTGTCCAAAATAGCGAAGTTATTGCTATCGCCATGAATGGAAACCCTACATAAAAGCTCGATTAAAAGTAGTCGAAGTCGGTTGGATATTTTTTTTAAGTTATTGTACAGGCAAATTTCTATATTCTTTCTTAAGCAGTTTTTTTTTCGAGTTGGGTTGAAGAAAAGAAGGTTTCTGTTGAAAAAACCGGAATTTGGAATAAGATCAAATTTTCAGTTTCACGCCTTCAATCACAAAAAAAAATTCATCCTTTCTTGGTTTCATTCTTTCAACTGATTCCCTTTACTCATCAGATTTCAATCCTCCTTCGTGGTGATTTCCTATATCCCACACTCACCATTCTTCTCTGGACAAGCCGGTCCCGACGTCGAGTGAGACCTCGAAAGCGGACATTTATCTTGACTCTCAGAGTTTTTTGGAGGACAAAAAGATAGAAGCTTCTAAATGAAGAAGTGCTGGTTTTTTTTTTTGCTCAAGCTTATTATTTGAAAATGTAACCTTTTCCAACTTTCTCAACCGATCCCATGGCTTCTTTTTCATGTTGTCGATATCGAAAATCGTTCCTTTCTGGCAATAAGGTTCGAGCGGAAAGATGGTTATGTTCGTCAGAAGACTGAACGCATTATCAGCAACTTCAGAGTTTCGGATGCGGATCAGTGGCTCTGGAAAAAAAAAACGTTTTAACCTCGCAATAGTTTTTGCATGTAAAGTTTTTGTTGAGCTTTTTTTATTGAAAATTACAAAAAAATTCGGGAAAATTTTTGGTAAAAAGTTACCTGGGAAGAGTTTGTAATCGCTGGCGTTGAGAAATAAAGACTTCAACTTTTGGAAGCGTGCTTGTCCCGGATTGTCTTCTAAGACTATTCGCGAAGCCGATTGCAAAGTTCCCGATGCTCCAAAGGCGTTGCCCGCGTCTACTGGCTGCTTCTTGACGATGAATTCGCTTGTTGTGCAGTCCAGGCACCCTGCTGTACCGCAACTGTCATCCTCAATCCCAAAAACAGGCGTGTTGCAACATTCTGAAAAAAGCTGAATATAACAAAAACAATTGGGTGATAACTGACGGAATTGAGCGAATGTCGGAATGGTGTGAATCCAGATAATCCCAAAGAGCAGGATGATTGTCGTTACTGAAATAAATGTCTTGAAAAAAATTGACAACGAAAGTTTTTTTATTCTGTATTTCTCTGAAAACAAGTTATTTTTTTCTTTTTTTCTTTTTTTCTAAAACTATTATAAAATAAATTGACCTTCAGAAAATATTTTAACGTCTCCACTGATTCTCTACGGGAAAAAAACTTTATAATCTCCCAAATTCTGCCTTCTTCGGCTCAACACCTTCCCGATTCTAATTCTTTTCTTCATCCGCGTCAAAGTCTTCTCGTGAGGGTGGAATAATTCCCGTTACTGGTTGTTTACTGCACTTCTGTCTTTTATTATTATAGCTACTTATTTTTTGAGCGATGTGTCGAGGCTTTGGACACAGCGCAAAGGTTATAGTTGAAAAATTCCATTAAGAATGATCTTGGATTTTAAATATGACTTTCTGAGAATGAAACCCGTTTCATGAAAAATTTCCTGATGTGTCTAGCAGTATGTACGTTGACAAAAAATAGCGCAAAATAGGTTCCAACCGTTTTCATTTACTTTTACATTTACATTCATTTAAATCTACATTTAGTTTTCTCATCCAGCTTACTAGGCAAGCTTTTAAACATCCAAGACTTTGATCAACTCCGTCCTTCATTAGGACACCAAAAATGATCAATCCTTCCATAAATAATAAGTTTGCCTACTTTTTCCATATTCCTTACTAATCTTAAATTTAGTGATAAAAAGATAATGTCTCTACATTCTGGAATATGCAGCGAGAAGAAGCCCTCGGACAGATTTTGTTTTTTTTTTAGTTTTTCAAAACGACTTTTATATTTCTTTTTGGCTGGGCATGAAGATCTCAATCATCAGGTTTTCCAATTGAAAATCCCAGAGAAATTGAAATAACCCAGGGGGAAGCCAGTCGAAACTTTTTTAAAAACTGAGGTTTCGCAAGTTGAGATTTTCCGGAACTTTACTTGGTACATCACATTTTTCTGGCCTTTTCGGTCAAATCCTCTTCTAAATTGAAATGACCTTTCTTGCTGTTTTTTTCCAACTCAAAAGATTCTGGATCCCTATTCCGTATCACAAACAAGGAGCCCAAGAAAGAACGAACCGACAGGAGGTGAGGAAGTCTTGAGGCGAGCCCTCATCGCGTCGATGTCGTGTTATGACTGACGCTCTTCCAAATCTCACGTTTGACTTACACGTCGGGATTTTCTTTTTTTCATTGTGAACAATTTATTTTTTATGTCATCATTTTTTATCTAGATTATATCATCAAGGCGAATATTTTCTGTCCAACGTGAAGGCTAGAATATTTATGAAAGCCTGATTGCATTCTAATAAGTTTAATAAAAAGTTTTGAAGATTTTTTTAAAATTTCTAAAAAAACTTCGCTTTTTTTGAGAAAAAAAGGAAAGCTTTTTACTTTTTTTCAAGGTTGTGAAGTATTTTTCCGCAGGCAGAAAACTCGATAAAAGTTAGGGTAGACTTGAAAAATAAGACGAACACTCCATAGCCCCTGAAATACTTAGAAAAATGACCCTTTTTAATGCATAATCGCATTTTTTCAATACTTTGAAAACAAAATCTTGGTTCAGGCAGAAAAAGAAAGCCTTTGAGCCATTCCCAGTGCGTCCACAGTGGTTCAAATTTCATTAGAATAAGGTCCTCATGAAGACTTCAATCACTGGATCGATTAGTTTGAAGAAAATTTGATCTCTCTCTCACTTCAAATTGAAAACATGTGTTCATTGGGTCAGTTTTTCCGCGAGAAATTCCTCTTTTTTTCTTTGGTCCCTTCTTCTTCTCCCAACACTTTAAGTATATCATTTTTCAAATTTCTTATATTGAAAATCAAAGAAATGAACTTCCCAAGTAAGGCAGCAAAAAAACTGCACAAACAAAATGAAATATCGATTTCCACAGCGTGAATCGAGTGTATGGGGGATGATAAATGGGAATTCGGTTGTGTACTTCTCATTCGCTTTCTTCCCTTTAACACGTTTGCGAATTTTTCAATTTTTTTGTTACTTTCAAAGGTTTTTTTAAGATTTATTGTTTCAAGACAAAAAAAGCAACCTTGATTGCTAGAAAGTTTTTTTGGCTTTTTCGTTTTTCTTTTTTTCATTTTTTTCATGATGTTTCGTTAATGGTGTATTTTTTTGAGCTTTCTGAAATTTTAATTTGATTCGAATTATGCTTTTTTTCAAACCTGATGAAAAAAATTTCTTTGGTGATTTATTAACCAAACCAGGTTTATATTTTTTTATTTTTTTATTTATTTATGAAAGCAAATAATCCTGAATTTTTAAATTTTTTTCAAGTTTCCTTACGTTTCCTAGTCTTCTAATGTCATTATAACTATTTCTGTTTTTGAATTTTTATTCCTGGTTGACAAATTTTTTTCATCATTTCGAAACGATTCAGAATGATTTTTGGGTGTTTGGGTCTAGTATTCCGTCATTTCGCAATTCGGCGCAACCTCTAAATATAAAAAAACCCAAACCAGTTTTTTTCCCATGGTTTTGATGACGAATACTGCAATCTGAAAACTATTTCAGATGTCCGACAATAGGGAAATCTTGCACCACGATGAAGTTCCTGAGGTGAGGCATGAAAATGAGGTAAGGGTTTCCTTGGAACTTTCATGTGAAAAAAAGGATTCACTCAGAGGAAAGTGCTCGGAATCGACTTGGGTACAACGATAACCTGTATGGCTTTCTACGATGTGGAAACTGATAGATATACTGACCTCGTTGGCGATGGGAATAATCGTTGTTATCGATGGAGCGCGATTGTTTTACAAAGCCGTGATTTTCAGAGGAAGACCTGGTTTGTTCTACAGTGACTTTTGAAAAAGAGCGTGTCAACAACGAAGGCGGCGTAGCTCTGAGGGGAGACATCGGGAGGGATCCGCCTGGAGATCCGGTTCGCACTGTTTCATGTAAGAAAAAGAAACATGAATAGAAAGGATGGAAGCGTTGCGGTCGCGGAGCGGCTGTAGGAATTTCGCGTCTGCTTGCCAACTTTACACCTTTTACACTTAGTCTAAGTTTTGCTTCGACTTGAATATAATGGCTGGAAGAATGGCGCGTTAGATAAGTTTTGTTCTGACTGCTGCGTTCACTGTAGTTCTGATGAGTCTCAAAGCGAAAGCAATAAAAAGGCTGTGGTTACGGTAGCTTTTTTGTTTTCTGTATTTAAAAACCAGAAAACGCGCGTTAGATAAATTTCGCTCTGTCTGCTACGTTTACTGTAGTTTTGATGAGTCTTGAAGCGAAAGTACTAAAAAAGGCTGTGGTTACGGTACCTTCGTATTCTGTGTTCAAAAACCGGAAAAATGCCCAGCGCGAGATACAAAAGACGCTTCAGGACACCCTCAGCATTAGGGGAGAGTAGCCTAAAGTCGGGTGCATTTTAAAACCAACAGTTTGAGCCGCTCTATGCGCTTCAAAGGCCTTATAAGATTTTAAACTTCTTTCAGTGGTCAAACGAGTTATCGGGAAGAACCACGAGTCCTTTAAACGATCGGGCGAAGAAAGGTACATAAATTATAATGTAAGTTTCAAAATTTCGGGATTTCTAACTATCAAAATTCATTTTGCAGGTCGAAGAAAGCGAAAACACCGGGATTATTGGAATCGAAGCTGATGAAGAGGTTTAGAAAAGGAAATTTCATCGAAAAATGAAGGAATTATTTGAGATGGATGTGGACGAAGAACTAAAAAAAACCAAGGAAAAGGCGAAAAAATCGCTGAAAATCCGAGTTGAAGTCGATGGAATCGTCGAGTTTTACGCGCCGGAGGAGATTTCTTCGATGGTTTTGAGGAGAATGCGGCAAAACGCGGAGAGGAAATTGGAAACGGACAAATTGGTAAAGATTTGCCTTCGAGTAAAATATAGTCCATTCACGGCTACCTTGGGGCGGCGTGGCTTGTCTGCGCTCTCCATCAACCAGGCACTGTCTCTTTCCTAATCGTGCCAGGACCCTTTTTTCAATTGATCAAGCCAGCTGTGAATCAGTAATAGCATTAAAGGCATAGGGGCAGTAAAAAACGGGGTTTTAGGAGAAAGCAGTATTTTGTAAAGTTTTTCTTTGCGAATCCAACGGTGTAAAAAAAAATTACAGATCAGTTGTGACTAATTTTGAAGAAAAACGAGATTTCACTTTCCCGCCTTTAATTTTGAAAAATGCTTTAGATCGGTGTCAAAAAACACACACCGATAATGAAGGAAACACAAAATATCGCTATCCCAATCGAAACCTGTGTGAAATCATCATTTTTCACCAGAGAAGCATTTTTGCGATCAAAGTTTGCAAATTATACATGAATAGAAAGCTTTTGTGACGAAAAGAACTTTGGTGACAACAGAAATAATTGAAAATTGAAAGAAATGGAAAAAAAGCGAAAATCCGGAAGATAGTGAAGCCTGTTGTCCATAGAGCAACTTTACTGCAAAGCGCCCTTTTTGCGGGAACTCAAGCTTTCTTCTTTCAGACTTTGAATTATTTTTTCTTCAAAACTAGGAACTTCTGTACATTTCCAAGTTCACCGTTCGATTCGCAATGAAAAGCTCTACAAAGTACTGATTTGAACTGAAACACAAGTTTACTGCCCCTATGCCTTTAAAAAAGCTCGAGTATCACAATTTGCTTCTAGAATTCAGTAAGGCTGATACTTTCAAGTGATGAAACATGTCAGAAAGACTAGAATTGTAGTCTGAATTCAATCTTGGGAATAAAGAAAAAAATGAAATCTATGGGAATAACTTAATGGCATATGGGCAGTAAAAAACGGTGTTTAAAATAAATTGGCCATTTTTTAAAGCTCTTGATTTCCCTTCCAACGGTATACTTGAAAATGTACGACACTTCCTATTTTGGGAGAAAAACTTGTTCAAAATCGGAGAGAAAAAGTTTGAGTTCCCGCCAAAAAGGGCGTTTTGTAGTAAAGTTGCTCTATGGACAACACGATTTTTCAGTTTTTTACTGTTTTTTTTTCACTTCTTTCAAGTTTCAAGTTTTTCTCGCCATGAAAACTTTCTGTTTATGTATAGGTTGTAAATTTTGATCGCAAAATGCTTCTCTGATGAAAAAATGACGATATAGAGGTTTAAATTGAGATATCGATATTTTGGTTTCCTTTATTTGTTTTTTTTGTTTGACTGAAGAATTTTTGAGAGCTTTGATTTGAAGCAGATCTCGGGTTATTTCTCAAAAAAATGCGAGTCTTATGAGACTTCTCGTGTACCCCAAAGCATGTTTCAAAGTTGATAGCGTGAAAAGAAGTTTGCCTTTTTTCAAAAGCGCTCATGTCAGTGATTTCGAGAAGACTGTTCGATTCACAATGAAAAGATCTACAAGGTACTGACTTCCCATCAAACTCCGTTTTCACTGACCCTTTGCCTTTAAATTTAAAGATTTTCTTGAAAATTTCCAAATTTCTTTCAAAGTTTTCGCTGAATAATTGACTGAAGTTTCAAGAACCGAATTTTTCCAGGATGTCGTGGTGACAGTGCCAGCCTATTTCAACTGTCAGCAGAGGAAGTCGACGGCGCAGGCCGCGAAACTGGCCGGCTTTTCCGGACGTATTGAAATTCTCAATGAGCCGACGGCCGCCGCGATCAACCACGTCTTCACTCATGAAGAACAGACGTATGAGTAGAAAAAAAAAAAAGGAAAAATGAGCTCTGAAAAGTTGCTGGACATTTTGGAAAGAGTAGTTTAAGATCCTTCAGTCCTTGAGCCGAGTAATGGACCTCAAAGACGCCAAAATCTTGATTTTCTCTAGTAAGATGGTTGAGTATAGGTTATTCCGCGCCAGCTTGTCACGATTTCCAGTTTATTTCGAGCTACAGTAGCCTTTTCGGCGCTTCGATGCACTCGGTGTGCGCCTTTAATAAAATTCATTATTTCCGAACTTTGGAATTTTCTTATTCTACAAAAACAGTTGTAACATCTATATATATATATATATCAAACTAACCCAAAAAAATTATATGCAAAAAAAGCTCAAACAGTCGGTTTCCTTAATAACAATTAAAAAGTAGTAATTCAATCTTTTTTTGATTTTCTTTTTTTACAAATCCAGCACAGAATCTGAGTGTGTATTGTTAAAGCGAAAAATGAAATCAATTCATTGAAAACAACCTCGTAAATAATAAAAGAGAGAGAGAGGAAATTGAAGCAATATCTCAATTAGAAATAATGTTTTATTAAAGGCGCACGCAGGGGGGAACACCGAGAGCATCGAAGCGAAACGCCGAAATGGGTTTCCGAGAAAATTTAAAATCGTGACAAGCTGGCGTTGAATGACCTATATTCCTTTTGACAGGGTAGAAACTTACCTGGTCAGCAATATTTCAGGGGCTACTTCCTCGTCTACGATCTCGGCGGCGGGACCTTCGACGTGACTCTGATCCATGTCAACCATTCGAGAACCGAGTTTCGTGTCCTCAACATCGACGGCGATTCTCATCTCGGCGGCGAAGATTTCAACAACGATTTTTTGGATTATGTTGGCGAGAGGATTAAGCAACACTGTGAAATCGACATTTTCGCCAAGGAGAATGCTGAGCTCAAAGCCCATTGCCGTAGGGAATGCGAGAACGCCAAAAAGCGCATCTCTTCCGAAGAGCAATTCAACTTGCATGTCGATTTCCTAATCGGCGTTGAGCCCTTCTTGATCACGTTCCCCAGAATCGGTAATCATTACAATTTCCAAGAGAATGAAAACGATTTCACCGGCCACGTATACTATGCAAAGATCGAGGCGAAGATTGATAAAACGATTGATATAGTGAGGAGAGTCCTTAGAGAAGCTGAGACGAAGGGCGTGAGAAAAGACGACGTGAAGGTTTTGCTGATTGGCGGTTCATCGCGAATCCATCTGATTCAAAAGAAGCTTTGCGCAATCTTTAATCCGGCGATGATCAATCAACAGGAAGATCCGGACCGAGCAGTGGCACGCGGCGCGGCACGCTACGCATACCGCCACAGTAAACAGGTGAATATGAAAGTCGAAGACGCGATGGCCCTGCAAATCGGCATCGTCACCACGAATCACGATGGAAGAGGCCGAAACATCACGTCTTTGGTGCCGGCAAACTCGACGCTCCCTTTCCCTTCGACGACCAGAAGATTCAGGCCTGCCAATGCGAATCAGCCTTTTGTCAACGTCGAACTTGTTCAAGGTAGGCCTTGTTTTGGACCCAAACTCCTAAAAACTGGGAAAAAAGATCGTATAGAGAATTCTCAGGGACTTTTTGCCCTCAGTTTTGATAAAAAGCTTGCTCTTGCCAGGTCAGGCTTCGAAATAAATTTTCACCGAAAAATTTTAGCTTTGGGAGAGGGTGACCGGCCGACATTCGCACGAGCCTGACTTGAGGCGTAGCTTGTTCAGCGCAAATCTTTTCGGGCTTCCATATATAGCTTATTCACGGTTGGCTTGAGCCCATACATGGGCTAACCAACTACTTTTTGTGACGTCATCACGTACCCCCTTGAAAAAGTACGTACTCGCCTCGAAAAAGTACGTATCTACCGTTCGGAGATAAGCAAAAAGATAGGCAACGAATTTCCTACTAAATGTACTTCAAAAAGCTCGATAATTAAAATGGATGCATTTTCCGCGGCTTAGAAAGCCACCTGAATGAATAGGGGGCCCGAAAGTGAAAAACACCCTGTTAGCCCACGTATGACTTGAGCCATCGAAAAAAACTTCTTGACACGAAGATAAGAAAAAAGACAGTGCCTGGTTGATGGAGAGCACTGACAGGCCACGCCCCCTCAGCGTATTAAGTTAGCAATGAATATAGTACATTCCAGCCCAGCCTATTTCAAATCATCAGTTTCCCAACTTCAGGTGAAATGAAGAACTACGCCCTTCTCGATGCGTTCTCAATGCCAGTAGCTTCAGCTGAAACAATAGTGAAGGTTCAAAACGGGAAAAAATTTGAAACAAAATAAATTATGTTTCAGATAACATATTCTGTCGACGAGAATGGACTCGTTAGCTTTGAGATTGCACTCAACGAGGGGGGCGACAGAACGAGGGAAACGTACAGAAGGACCGCCCATATCAGCTATATATCAGATGTGAGAAAAAAGCTAGAGGTCTGACCGAGAAGAGAGGTTTTTTGAATGGGACCGGAGTTAGTAGAAGCGATGTCAATCCCTTTTTCAGCTCCCTGTTGAAATTTTAATGAAACTTTCCGGAGGCTTTAGGACTTACCGATTTCAGAACAAGCAAAAATTTTCTCACATTAGATCTGGTATTTAACAAGGAAGGTCATTTTAGTTGGGATTTCCTCAAAAACTGGCCAGAACGCTTTTTATTGTACCACAAATAGATCCTGAACGTTTTCACTTTTCAACTTTTAAGAAAGTCCAATGAAAAGTCGAGAAGAACCTTCAAAATCCGTTAAGATAAGCTTTTTCTGGGCTTTAATTTATCAAAAACTAGGGAGTTGTGCAAGTTGAAACTTTTAGGTACCCTCTGTGGTACATCGGAGAGTGTATTGGCCAATTTTCAAGAAAATCATAAAACTATGTCATAAGGATCAGTTTCACCTACAGAAACTCAATAGGAAAGGCTGATTTTTTTTTAACTTTTACAAACAGCTCTGGACATTTCTCCAGTAGATTTGGATCCAGCGGGAAAAACTGCACCTGTTGATAATTAGAATAATCACTGTGAGTCAAGAATTTCCCCTGGTGAGTAAGAAAAACAGCCGCCGAAAAAGAACAATGACTCTAAGAAAAGTGGCGGTGCACCCTGCGTTGAACTCTCGGTGCACCCCGCAGTGTAACCAGGGGTGCACCTCGTTTAGCTTTAAATGCCTATCAAGGTACTTATTCCGTACACGAAAACATTTCCTAACACAACCTTTTCCTACAGTTTCATCCTAAGTTGTTACGGTATCTCTTTTTATTTCCGACCGGTCGCCCCAGGGGTGCACGCCAACCAGGTCAAATGCGGGGTGCACCGAAAATTTTCGGGGTTCACTTCGAATTACACCCTCATTTTTGTTGAGCTAACGGGTATTTTTCAAGTTTTTTTTCCTCTGAAGTGGTAAACTGACTATTTTCTTATAAAAAAAGTAAAGCCGCTAGAAAACTTCGAGTTAATATTCAGGAACAATTGGAAGTGATGATGGCTCGTGCGGCGCAAAGAGAACGGGATGATCTCGCGATTGAAGAACTTTCAAGAAGGGAAGAATGGTCCGACAGGAACGACGATGTTCAGGAAGGAGGAATCATCGAAATTGAATGAAATCCTCAAATTTTTTTTGTGCTGGAATCGACTAGAAACGCCAACTTCACTTATATTTCTGAACTTCCGTCTACAGCCTTTTTCGGAAAATGTTCCTTATTTATTGTTATTGTAACATTCCTTTCAGGTTCTCACTTATTGCTCATTTTTCTGATAGTGCCTCACATGACGAAAAGCTTTTTTTTATATCTATGCGATCGTCCATATACAGTACCGTGCAGCGAGATATACAATTACCCTTTGTTCGTCATAACTTTTTCAGGAATTGTCCAATTATCGTCAAACTTTCTACAGCTGTTTCCTATGGATCCAGTATGTGATCCCAGGAAAATTAGTTTGATAGCTCAGCTCATTTTTCTAGTTAGTCACAGCCTGAAACCTGAAATCAACAAAATCTCCGAAACCGAGAACTAGTTTCAAACTTTTTTTTGGTCGATCCACGATAGTAAACCGTTGTTTAACTTGTTTTTATGGTTCACTGATGCTTTGAGTTGATTTTACTATCGCTTGCTCAACTATAAATATGAAAACTCTAAGTTCAGGCGCCCTTGATTTTTTGAGATTTTTTGATTAAATCGTTTGGGACTCGATAATCCAAAAATCTCAAAAATCAAGAGCGTCTGAACTTAGAGCTTTTTTTATATTTATAGTTGAGCAAGCGACAGTAAAATCAACTCAAAGCTTCAGTGAACCATAAAAATGAGTTCAACAACGGTTTCCTAGCGTGGATCAACCTAAAAAATATTGCAATTGGTTCTCGGTTTCGGATATTTTGTTGATTTCAGGTTCCAGACTGTAACTGACTAGAAAAATGAGGTGTCAAACTAATTTTCTGGGATCACATACTGGATCCATAGGAAACAGCTGTAGAAAGTTTGACGATAATTGAGCAATCCCAGAAAAATTTATGACGAAAAAAGTGAAATTGTATATCTTACTGCACGGTACTGTATTCAATGTCCTGCCTTTGTTATATTCATTTTTCAAGCTTGCCATCTCAGAAACCTTTCACTTTATGTCTGAACTCTCTGTAATACTTTTATTTACTTATTATGTAGCAAAACATTGCTTCTCTATGTGTATAATGATCCTTTGTTTGTTGATTTCATTATTATAATATTTTTTTGTACAGGACAGGGCAAAATAAGGATTGCAAGAAAGAACTTCACACATTTTTCCTATGGAAAAAAACATAAAATTTTTCCAGCTTCATTTTTTTAAGATTCTTCCATTGTGATAGAACGCAAAAATGGAAAAAGTCAAAAAAAATTTTTCGCGCACGTCTTTGGATATCTAGCTTGAAAAAAAACTGATTCTTCCTATTAAAAAAATATATTTTCAAAGGGGCAGATATACTGAAAAAAAGAATTCCAGCACCGAACGCGTCTATAAATAAATAAACGAACAAGTGCGCTCTAATAATAATTTTGAAAAGACAACTACTTGAAAAACATACTTAATGTTTCGATCCTGCGAAAAATGAAGTTCACTTTTTTTAATGATCAAGCTAGAAAAATCTTCAGAAGTTCCCTCAAAATCGCGAAAAAAATGAAAATAAGAGTCTGTAGGCGCCAAGTCCGCAAGCACTCTCTTTGTAACCGCAAGCTCGTTCGTACGCGCAATTTCATTAAATTCGTGCTCAAAGTGATTTCCTCGATTTTTCAAATTTATCTCTGAATATTAAAAAGTTTAGTTATTTTTTTCACATACTCTAACGGCTATTTCGAGCGTTGCGGAATTACCTTGGGCACATCTTTTTTTTCCGCTTGTTCATTTTATTTTCTTTTCTTTTCGCACAAATTCTTTTATGTATTTTTCAGATTTGGTTACAGTTGGAAGACTGAAAGCAGGATTTCTTATCAGCTGGCTCCAAAAAAATTATTCTGCAGTTGGTTATATCAAGAATGAAGTATGTATGTCATAGATTCAAAAAAAATTATTTTTTTTTTCTGATTTCAGGAATTCCTTTGACATTTCATGCGAAAAGGCCCAGAATATCCAGCGATCAAGGGAGATGAGGTAATTTTTAATTTTCGAGAGATTTTTTGGATTTGAGAACGTTATGAAAAAGTTTTAATATGTAAAAAAAAATAATTTGACAAGTTCCTTCACGAAATTTGGCATTGGAATGTCGGTAAGTAGTCTTGGTTGCTTTTTAAAAAAATATTTTAATCTTTTTTTAAATTTAGTAATCAATGTCTTATCTAATCTTTTTTTGATAAGAGCTATAACCGTAAAGATCATGTTTTTTTTTTTCCAAACGAAATCTCTTTCCTTCTGATTTCAGTGCGTTAAACCAACTTCTCAAGATTAAAAAAGAAAAATCACTGAAAAAAATTTAAGCTCAGGATTTCTGGATTGAAATTTTAGAGGTTTGTAGCAAAAAGGTTTCATTTCGGCTTCGGTAGGGAAAAGAAAAGCTCAATAAAGCGTGTTTATTGGTGCTGATGTAAACTAGTGTTGCTGCGTGCGGTTGCCGGCGGCGGCGCTCATTCCAAACAGTCCAAAAACGATCAGCTTGGCAATGAGGAAGCCAAAGGCGATGCCGAACTCGTAGGCGTACACCTGCATCGTCGACGCGGCGGCCTGGTCCTAAAAAAGTCAGAAAATAAAGATTTTAAGTTGAAGGTGAGACTCAACCTTCTTTGTTGGTTAAAAGTAAAAGACACACCTTGATGAGAACCTGGATGGCGGCCCCAGCGATACCAGCATAGGCGAGCGTGAGCAACAGGTAGGAGAACGAGATGTTGCCGCTGATGGCGCCGAGCAGCAGGTGAACGGCCACCGAGGCTCCAAGAGCCGCGCCGAGCACGTTGGCTCGATTGTTTCCAACGGCTCTGAGAGCCGCCGGCAGCACAAACGAGATGATGACGGGTGTCAGGAAGATGAGCGGCTGGTTGGCGTAGTGGCCGCTGATCGAGAAGCCCACCAACAGCGACTGGATCAACGTCAGGCCGCCCAGCGTTCCGCGAATCTCCTGGTCGGGCGATCCGGCCGCTTGCAGCTGCAAAAAAGAGAATCAAAGCCGATAAAGCCACCAACCCTCCGGACGACGCCAAATGCAATCAGTGGAAAGACGACGAGCGCGAGTAGGACAGCGCCAAACTTGAGCAAGAAGAGCGAAAGGATGGGGCCGACAATGTACGAGCCGATGAAGCTGCCAAAGAACGCGCCAACCAGCAGCACCGAGGCGTACGTGAACGTCTGGGCGATCGCGGCGCCAGGAATCGGAGCCTCCGAGAAGTCCTGGACGGCGGCGATCAGCTCATCCGCCTGGGGCTTGATCGACGAGCCGACGTCGCCCAAAATCGCGGGGCCAGTCTCCGCGAGCTCCTGTCCTCGTCGCCGCACCACGTTCACCAGCTCCGACACTTCGGATTGGTACGCCGCGTAATTCTGAAGTCGAGAAGTTTGGGATCATTTCAAGAATGAGCCTAGACATACCCAGACTCGAGCTTTCTCTTTTTTTTGTACCCAGACAAGTTTGATAGCTTATGCTGATTCACGGCTGGCTTGAACCATCGGAAAAAGGGTCCTGACGTGATAATAAAAGAGATAATGCCTGACTGGTGGAGAGCGCAGACAGGCCACGCCCCCTTAGCGTCCCAAGCTAGCCATGAACCAGCTATATTGGAATCGGACCTACTTTAAGGTCGAATCTGATTTAATTGAGGCTAGACTTACTAAAAATCAGGCTAGACCTACTTAAAACCAGGCTAGACCTACTGAAAATAAGGCTAGACTTAATAAAAACCAGGCTGGACCTACTGAAAATAAGGCTAGACCTACTAAAAACAAAGCTAGACCTACTAAAAACAAAGCTAGACCTACTTAAAACAAAGCTAGACACACTAAAAACGAGGCTAGACCTACTTAAAACAAAGGCTAGACCTACTAAAAACAAGGCTAGACCTACTAAAAACAAGGCTAGACCTACTTAAAACAAGGCCAGACCCATTAGAAACAAAGCCAGACCTGCTAAAAACAAGGCATAACCATACAGAAAACGCCACCAAACTCAAAATTCCGAACCTGGATAGTATCATTGATGCTGCCGGCTGCCTCGGCGCCGACTCTGGTGCTGGTCGGAACCGGCTCGGGATTTTGAGCTGCTTCAGCCATAGTTGCTAGGAGCGATGCGAGTAGGGGTGCCGAACGTAGATAGAATAATCCACGGCGACTTTTTCCGCGCCTTTTATACTCCCTCCTCACGTCATCTGATCCCGTAGAAATTTCTCATTTCTCTTCGTTTCCAGCGTGAAACGTCGGGTCATTCTTTGAACGTTTCGATGCCGTCCGAAGGCGTCCGATCCAGCTCCAGAAGCGCCTACAGTAAGCGGAGCCGCAGCAAGTCGAGAAAGTCGAGGAAAACTTCGCGAGTGAGGATTTCGATCAGAAAATTGTGGGAAATTCGATTTTTTTTTTTCTCAGAGCAATCGGGTTTACGAAGGCAACGCTGATACTCAATGGACCGTCGTGTGTTTTTTTTTTAATTACAGAAGATTTCAAGGAGTTCTAAGTTTTTTTTTTGTGAGGTTGAGCTCGATTTGAATAGGTCTAGGTTTAAGTCAAGGGTGCTTTTTCAGGCTTGATTCGAGAAGGTTTAGGCTAGATTTGGATGGATCTAAGACTAATTTTAGTAAGGCTTTCCGATTCTAGACAATTTCACTAGGTTAAGTCTGGATATAGAAAATCTATTTTCAGTAGGTCCACGGCTTGATTCCAGTTTCAGTAGGTCCACGGCTTGATTCCAGAAAGTTGAGGGTGCTTTTTCAGGCTTGATTAGAGTAGTTTTAGGCCAGATTTGGATGGATTTAAGCCTGGTTTCAGTAAGGCTAAGCTCAAGCTTTCGATGCTGGACTGTTTCACTAGGTTAAGTCTGGATTCTAGAAAATCTAAGGATGGTTATAGTGAGTCGTGATCTGATTTCGGTGGTCTAGCTTTTTTCAGTAGGCCCAGGGCTTGATTTCAGAAAATCGAGGGTGCTTTTTCAGGCTTGATTCGAGTAGGTCTAGGCCAGATTTAGATGGATCTAAGCCTGGTTTCAGTAAGACTAAGCTCAATTTTTCGATTTTAACCATTTCACTAGGTTTAGTCTTGACTTCAGAAAATCTAAGAATGGTTATAGTGAGTCGTGGTCTGATTTCAGGTGGTTTAGCTTTTTCAGTAGGTCTAGGTTCAATTCCAGAAAGTCGAGGGTGCTTTTTGATTCGAGTAGGTCTAGACTAGATATAGATGGATCTCAGCCTGGTTTCAGTAAGGTTAAGCTCAAGCTTTCGATGCTAGACTGTTTTATTAGGTTCAGTTTGGATTTAAGAGCGTTGAAGCTTGATAATAAGGAGCCGGGGTCTGATTTAAGTAGATCTATCTTTTTTCAGAAGGTCTAGGAATTCAGTTAGGCCAAGGCTCGATTTCTCGATTCTAGACCATGTCATTAGGTTTAGTCTGGACTTTGGAACATCTTAGGGTCGTGGTCTGATTTCAGTGGAAATTAGCGTTTTTCCAGTAGGTCTAGGCTTCAATCCAGTCGTGGCCTGATTTAAGTAGGTCTAGCTTTTTTCAGTGAGCTTGTTGAAGACAACCTTGATTCGATTGAACTTTCTTAAAGAGTCTAAAGCTGATTTCAATAAGTATATCTAGACAAGGTTCCAGTTTTAAGTATGTCTAGGTCGTATTTTACAAAATCTGGGCTTGGCTTCAATAACCAGGTTTAATTTCAATGGCTATAGGCTTGAATTAGATATATCTAAACATTGTTTCGATGCGTTTTAGCTCTAAATAAGTCGTTTTTTCTCGAGCTCAAGACTATTTCTCAGGACTCTGACCCTTCCGAGTCGGCGTTGGACTCGGTCACCTCGGAATTTTCGGTTCCACCCCTGCCAAGAGCCACTGAAGAACGTCCGACCGCCGTTTCAGATCCGGCTCTTGAGGAACATTACCGTGGCGTTATGCGCAAAAAAGAGGTAGGATTTTGTGCGGAAATTAGGAAAAACGGGCACATTTTTGTGAGACTTGACAGTTCAAAAGTGATCCATCAGACCTAATTTTAATCTTAAAAAAAACCATTTTCGTTCCATTTCAGTGTCTCAGAGCAGGTTCATTCTGATTTCGAGTTGTATAGCGAGTAATGTGTTTTTTTTTATTGATTTTTAAAGAGTACTGTAGACCTTAGCGGTTACTGTAGTCAATTTGGAAATGGATCGACTTCAGGCCGCCCGTCTGGTCCGCCGCGACGACTTCATACTGTATTACCGTGTCCCTTCGAAGCAAACCTTCCCGGTGCATATCCAGCTGATGCTCTGCCATCGGAACACTCTGGACAAGGTATACTTGATCAGAAATGCCCGGGTCGCACTGGGAATGGCTCGACTGAGAAACTCTAAGTTTTTCAGACAGTTTGCTAGGAATTGAGCTTCTGAAAAAAGTCGATAAAAGCAAAATATGAACTTGTGGTCTTAATTTGGACATGAAGTTTGTAAAAAAAAAGGTATAGGCCCTCAAAAAATCACCAAAACTTGTTCTTTGAAATAAAGCAAGGCTCACTAAATGCATTTTAACACGCTGGTTTCGAATCGATGGTAAGAATCTGCCGATGAAGTTTGTGGAAAAATCTATGAGCCTTTGAAAATTTAACCAAGATTAAGACGTCCGCCCCCCTCTGGATCTTAATCATCCATAGGCTCTAAAAAATCTTTTTACTCATTCAAATAACAAAACTACATTATAGTTATTTCAAAAGTCAAGTATATACCTTGTTGTGCTCTGAATTTTTCGAAAAAAGTGTAGAAAAAAGTTTTGGCCGCGCAAAAAAATTCACCCAAACTAGTAGGGTTTTTGCTTGTTGGAAGCCTAGATTATGTGACGAATGGGGGGAAAAACGCCTTATTTCTGAAAATATTGGCTTTTCGTCATCACCTATGTCACCTTTTAGAGTGGGCTCTATTGGAAATATTGATTTTTTCAATTTTTTAAGTGGCCCATATTTTTTTTTCTTCTCGGCTATTTTTAAGCAAAGTTCCGAAATAATTTCAAATTCCACATTTAAATTTTGATCAGAACTCAGTCGAGTGCATTTTTGGTCAACCTTGACTCTTTGAGCCGTTCTGAGGAAAATGAAAGAATTCCAGATTTACCATTTTCCCGTCGTGAAACACACGGAGAACAACAACTCTCATTGGTGGACCGTTTTGATCAATAATCAGCCGACCCAATTGGTAAGGATCTTCGATTTTATTCGCAAACTGGCTTGAAAAGTGTGAAAATTTCTTTTTTCAACAGCCTAACTTTCATTGACCTTCAGTTTCCACTCTAGAACCGCTTTGCGTACCTTTCAAATCGGGAAAAATTGATTTTCTACTGATTAATTGCCAGGAGCACGTTTTGATTGTGTAAAAAAAAGCGAAAATATCGACAAAAACATAGTAAAGGGATAAAATTTAGTTTTCTATACAAGAACAAAAATAGTCGTACAGCTTCATTAGGAAAATTTGGAATAAAAAGTGATATTTTGGACCTTGGTAGAGCAACCCGGACGTCTCTAAGCCTCTCTAGGGACCACTTTAGCAGTGTCAGAACTCTTAAGTGATCCCTAGAAAAATTTGGAATAAAAAGGGATATTTTGGACCTTGGTGGAGCAACCCGGACGTTTCTGAGCCTCTCTAGGGACCACTTTAGCGTTGTCAGAACTCTTAAGCGATCCCTAGAAATATTTGGAATAAAAAGGGATATTTTGGACCTTGGTAGAGCAACCCGGACGTCTCTGAGCCTCTCTAGGGACCACTTTAGCGTTGTCAGAACTCTTAAGTGGACCCTAGAAAAAATTCAAATAAAAAGGGATATTTTGGACCTTGGTGGAGCAACCCGGACGTTTCTGAGCCTCTCTAGGGACCACTTTAGCGGTGTCAGAACTCTTATGTGGACCCTCGAAAAATTTTGAATAAAAAGGGATATTTTGGACCTCGGTAAAGCAACCTTGACGTTCTGAGCCTCTCTAGGGACCACTTTAGTGGTGTCAGAACTCTTAAGTGATCCCTAGAAAAATTCGGAATAAAAAGGGATGTTTTGGACCTCGGGCATTTCTAAGCCTCTCTAGGGACCACTTTAGCAGTGTCAGAACCCTTAAGTGATCCCTAGAAAAATTTTGAATGAAAAGGGATATTTTGGACCTCGGGCATTTCTAAGCCTCTCTAGGGACCACTTTAGCAGTGTCAGAACTCTTAAGTGATCCCTAAGACTGCTCGGAAACGTCCTGATTGCGTTACCGAGGTCCGATATATCAAAAAAGCTGTGAGATCAAGAAAAAAGCTTTTCGATCAATTTTCAGAAAGTTTTTCATGGAACAAGCTTTTCTGATAGTGATGATAATGAAATTTGAATTTGAAATTTAAAAATTTAGTTCCGAAACCTGTCGGACCTCGTCCGCTGCTATCACCTCTACCGTTACACCGACGCTCGGAATGGCCGTAGTGAGGTCAGTTTTTCGATTTTCTGATTTTCCGAACTCTGGAACTTTCTCCAGGTGTTCCCCCTGTGGAAAGGCGGCCTTATCGACGCCCACCAATAATTCATCAAAAAAAAAAGAAGAAGAAATTTTGGGATCTCTCCAGTCAGCTGAATGAAAATTTGCGCTTAAAATTCTTTATTTTTTTCAAAAAAATTGAATGAAAAAAACCCGTTGAGTACAAGCAAAGATATGGGGGAATCAAAAATGGAAAGTTTTCTAGGGATCATTTTAGGAAGGTTTGACAAGTGACTAGTTGAGGGGTAGAAGGTTGGAATGAGGCTGAGAAATGGAGGATGGAATAGGCGTCTAGAGATACTGCTTAAGTGATCCCTTGATGTTTAAAAATCAAGTGACCTCTTAAGCGGTGAAAAATAATACAGAAATAGACAATATTAGCTGCGGAGGGGAAGGATTTTCCTTAAGGGACTTGAATTCAATATAGTGAACACTTGAGAGGTTTGGTCATCACTTAAGGCACTACTAAGCTTGAAAAAAATGCTGAAGGGAGGTTAGGAGATCCCTTGAAGTACCACCGACTCACCTTTTAGCGATTCAAGTGGTCCCTAGAGATTCCTCATATGACCACTTGGTCACAGAGCCACTCAAACTAGATGAATTATCCAAGGGATCCCTAAAGCAATTCACACTATCTACTCCACTGCTGCTGGAGCATCTGAGTGTAGGCGTCGGAGCCTTCGCGGCCTTTCGCCCTGACGGCGACCATTTGACGCGTCCTTTCCGTCCGCTTCTCTCTCAACTTGGCCAGTTGCCAACTCGCGACGATCGGCAACGAAAATGCGAACCAGGGATGAAGCTGGAACAGGAAAAATGACTTTTTTGTTCTTCAGCTCGCATTTGAGGAGCTGCCGATTCAGATAATGATTTTCGATGCCTCCGCGCGCAAGTAGTTTTGGGTCGGCTGCGTTATTAATTAACCGTTTTGCAGCCTGGCCATTCCAAGTGCGGTCATGAGCTTTCAATTCAGACATGAAAACGAATATCTTAGCCCCTATTTTTTCATTGCTTTTAGTTGCACCCGACTTTAAACCGGCTTCCTCAAGGAGGCATTTGAATTTTTGGTACTGCTCCCTTGAATAAATAGACATTTTATTTCTGAGTTTTGAAGTCTTCCAGTTGAGAGTATAAAGGTTAAGAAAAATCAATGATTTTTAGCGAACTCTAGTAATTTTTGAAAGTCTCGGAACCTTTGAAAACTGAAGGAAACTCACATAGAAGACCGATTTCAAAGCACTCAAATATCGTTGATCCCGATCCAAAAAGTCAAATCGGAAGTTTCGCAAAACAACGTTGGCGGCCGTGTAAATCAGGCATATCGTCAGTGAATGACACAGAATAACTGTGATGAACCGAGTTGTAGCAATATTTTCCGATGTTTGGTAGCGAGACGACAGCGAGAAGGCCATTCTGGAAATTTTTTGGTTAGGCAGAAAAAACGGCGCGCCGTAGCGCAACAGGTTGTGTGCCTGTCTACGGTTCACAGAGTCACAAGTTCGATCCCCCCTCCCTTCGAACCAACCAAGTGGCTTAAGAGATGTTGGTAGTGGGAAACCACGACTTCAAACACGGATATGTCACTAGAGCCAGTCCACTGATTATCAATATCAGGATAGGACCTCGGCTAATCGACTTGGGGCGTCGCTCAAGCGGTACAAAGGCGTAGGAAGAAGAAGAATAATTTGGACAGAAAAAATTGGAAAAAAGCTTGAGAAAATAAGTGAGGAGAGAAATTATTCCCAAAAGTAAGAGTTCCTTGGTAAATTTTGTGCACATTCTTAATGAAGCTCAGACATTGGTAACGAAAAAGGAGGTGCTCCGGACGTTTCTGGCAGCTCTAGGGATCACTTAAGACTTCTGACGCCACTAAAGTGGTCACTAGAAACGTGTACAAGAAATGTACAAGAGCTTTTTTTTAAAGTTTCTCTTTTTTTAAAGCTCAATTGAGAAACTAACGTATGCTCTTGTCTCTTGTTGATAATCGCCAAAAAGCGTAAAACGACCAGAGCGCCACAAGCCACGGCGAATGATGACAGGTAGATGATGTTCACCTGGAAAGAATCAAGCTAGAATCTATCTTTTTATTGAGATTTTCCTTATATTTTTGAAAGAAAGTGATGTTCTTATATTTATTTGAGAAAGGACTGCTACTTGCCTTGATTTCTGTTCCTCTTGGAGGAGTCAGAGCCGTAATTGCAGCATGGCTAAAGTCTCCATCAGCATAGGCCCAGTAGACAAGCAGGATTGGTAGTAGAACACCCTGGAACATTGGAAATTTGTCAGTTTCTCGTGACCTTATAAGTTGAGATTGAGCATTACTGATAGAAAAAACTGTGGGGAACTTTCGGAGGAACGTTTGAAAGTTTAAGCAAATATTTTTCTTGAAAAGGTATAGTCTGTGTGCCACGACTTGCAATTTCACGGAACGACATTCCGCTGTTCCGCTGCGTGCGTTCGCGAAGCGTCTTTCGGTCGCGCTTTTAAATGATTGTTATTGCTGTGGGACCCCATGAAAGTAAAGTACCTTGATAAAAGAAAAAAAATTAAAAGCGCGACCAAGGTTCCCAAAGGCGCACAGCGGCACAGCGGAATGTCGTTCCGTGAAATTTCAAGTCGTGGGACACAGACTATACCAGGAAATGAGATTCGATGAATTTTAGAAGTCCAGGGAATGTTTACCTTACAAGGTAGATCATTTTACTTTACGGTTGGGAATTCTCTGAAAACTTTTCAGAGCATCTCTTAAGGTTCTGAAAGTCTCAACCTGCACAACATCCTAGTTATCAAGAAATAAGGGCTGACAGCTCCAAAAATGGCCTTTTTGGCTGATTTTGACCTAATTTCTCAAAAACTAGGAAGTTATGCAGGTTGAGACTTTCAGAACCCTTTTTTGGTACTTCAAGGAGTGTTTTGTACGATTTTCAGGAAATTCCCAACCACAAAGTAAAATGACCTTTCTTCAAATTTCAACTCACAATGATCAGATAAACTGCCAAACTGATCCTTGGACTCGTATTCTCGTAGGTCTTCACCATGACCGTTGCCGCCAATCGTTCGGCTACCAGTAGAGCCTAAATTATATCAATAAGTATTCATTATCACTACAAACGCCTTGGTCGCACTTGGAATGGCTAAAACATCGTTACTTTCTTATCACGGTTTTCGCTAAAACCGCGCGCAAGTCGTTTTAGGTCGGGCGTAAGAAGCGTCTGTAACGCTTTGAGCCATTCCACGTGCGATGAAGGTCATTTTTTTTTTGTTGAGAATACTTTTTTGCGAGGATGTATACGAAAAATTACAATAAATATATAAAAACGGATAAAAACATGAAGGAAAATACTCAAACCTGTCCGATAATGCCCGAAATGAGACAACAAACAAGTGGAATATGGATCATTGCATAGGGAAAAGCTGGAATCAGAGCGTCACATGGTTCGGAATAGGATAGTAGACGGGACAGGGATAAGGCCTGAAAATTCAGCTTTTCTATGGATTTTTATTCAAAAGTCACTGACCTCATTCAATAGAAATATGCAGGAATGGACGAAAGCTGACAGGAAGTAGCCGAGAAGAAAAATCTGGAATTTATAAAATATGTTTTTGTTTTCAACACTCGTTCTCCGAGGTTTGCAAAAAAGGCTTGGTACAACAATTTCTCAGAGCTCTACCTACTGGCACTGATACTATACGGTCTTCTGAATAATTCGCACCAAGCTTTGATAAGCTCCGCCCATTTTCAAGCGTACTGTGGAAAAAATACCGTAAAAAGCCAAATTTTTTCCTAGTGAAGCAAATCGTTTCAAACTAATTTTAATGCAGAGAACATGTTCATTAGAGAATAACTGAAAAAAGTTGGCTTTTTACGGTATTTTTTCCACAGTATGCCTGAAAATGGGCGGAGCTCATCAAAGGCTGGGGCGAATTATTTAGAAGGCTGTATAGTGTCAGTGACAGTGAGGAGAGCTCTCAGGAATAAATGTAAAATTTTTGTACCAAGCCTTTTTGGATTTGATCGATTTTCTCAGAGAACTCGATTTGAAAAAATTAGACTAACCCGAAAATTTGGATGAAATGGAGAGGCAAAAAGATAATTCCTGACGAAATGAAAAATCGTGAACAACGACGTCGCCGACAGCAGGGCGTTCACAAGGTAGACGATTCGATAGGGAGCGAAAAATATTGTCGCGGCTTCCTTAAAGCTCAGTTATTTATGCAATGGACATTTTGGATAGATGTTCACTTCAATAATTATTTTTAATACAAGTGGTCGCATGGAGAATGTCTTCGGTTGCTTCAAGAAGCTCCCGACTTGAAACGACTTGCGCTCTTACTTTTTTGAAAGCTTCAAAAACTGATAAACGTCTTCGAGACGTTTTGAGCCATTCCACTTGCGACCTATTTTTTAAATTCCACTTAAAGGAGGCTTATAGTTTCCTGGAAATGACTTAAATTGAGCTTGGAAAATTTCACAGGATACGTATTTGACAAGACTTTGAAGGTATGAACTCACCAAATCACATTCTGAGGCTGGGGCCATCGTATGTTCTGAAAATTGGAGTTTAGGTGGTAAAAAAAAGCGAACTATTTGAAATAGTCATAAAGGAAGTTTTTGAAACTCAAGCTTGGAAAACAAAGAAAAGGAGCAAATAGTCGATTTAGTGAGAAACAATGTGAGAATGTAGCGGCCAGAAGGTGAAGACTTTCTTTTTTGTAGTCTGATCTTTGAGTGAAGTTTCACAGGATTATAGTGGGGCTTCAATAATCTTGTCTGCTTGAGAATGCGGCCGACCAGAAACGACTCTCGCTCGGGTGCATGAAAGATCTGTAGGATTTTTCAGTCAACGGTAATTGTTGTAGCCGCAGCGCAACCGCGACGCGTTGAGCCATTCCAAATGCGACCGGAAGGTTTTGAGAGAGAATTTATACGCCTTCTGTACTATAATGTGGATCATTGAAGGGATAAGAGTCTGAAATCTGCTTGAATTCTAAAAAACACATTATTTGAAGTGACTAGGGCAAGATTGATGAGCTTTCAACTTGATATTTGACCTTAAAAGCAGATCTGTGGGACGTCTCATTGACTCAAGGGTTATTATTGCAGCCGCAGCGCAAGCGCCACGCGTTGAGCCATTCCAAATGCGACCGGAGGGTTTTGAGAGAGAATTTATACGCCTTTTATACTATGACAACATGAATAAAACCAAAAATCCACTTGACTAAACTAAAAAAAACACATTATTTGAAGTGACTAGGGAAAGATTGATGAGCTTTCAACTTGATATTTGACCTTAAAAGCAGATCTGTGGGACGTCTCATTGACTCAAGGGTTATTATTACAGCCGCAGCGCAAGCGCGACGCGTTGAGCCATTCCAAATGCGACCGGAGGGTTTTGAGAGTGAATTTATACGCTTTCTGTACTATAATGTGGATCATTGAAGGGATAAAAATCAAAAATCCGCTTGACTAAACTATAAAAAACATATGATTTGAAGGGACTAGGGCAAGATTGATGAGCTGTTAACTTGATATTTGACCTTAAAAGCAGATCTGTAGGACGTTTCATTGTCTCAAAGGTTATTATTGTAGCCGCAGCGCAACCGCGACGTGTTGAGCCATTCCAAATGCGACCGGAGGGTTTTGAGAGTGAACTTATACGCCTTTTATACTATGACAACATGAAGAAAACCAAAAACTCGCTTGACTAGACTCTAAAAACACATGACTTGAATGACTTGAGCAAGATTAAATTGAGTTAAATTTTAAGCTGGCAACTTGATATTTGACCTTAAAAGCAGATCTGTAGGATGTCTCATTGACTCAAGGGTTATTATTGTAGCCGCAGGGCAACCGCGACGCGTTGAGCCATTCCAAATGCGACCGGAAGGTTTTGAGAGTGAACTTATACGCCTTTTATACTATGACAACATGAAGAAAAACCAAAAAAACTCAGCTTGACTAGACTCTAAAAACACATGACTTGAATGACTTGAGCAAGATTAAATTGAGTTAAATTTTTAAGCTGGCAACTTGATATTTGACCTTAAAAGCAGATCTGTAGGATGTCTCATTGACTCAAGGGTTATTATTGTAGCCGCAGGGCAACCGCGACGCGTTGAGCCATTCCAAATGCGACCGGAAGGTTTTGAGAGAGAATTTATACGCCTTCTGTACTATAATGTGGATCATTGAAGGGATAAAAATCAAAAATCCGCTTGACCTAACTATAAAAAACATATGATTTGAAGTGACTAGGGCACGATTAACTTTACAAGCTTATGACTTGAGTTTTCAACTCCAAAATAAGCTCATCCCAAGTTTAAAAAGTGCAAAAACCAATTGAAAAAAAGGTGCAGAGAAGGGTTTCTTCCCCCTTTTTTTCTCTCGTTCGTTTTGAGCGAAATTGGGCGACGGATTTAATCCGAGAGGCAAACAAGGCGGGAAAAAAGAAGGAAGAGAACGTCTCGAATGTCCGAAAAGAAGGAAAATATGAAGAAAATGATTCAATTTTGGGACAGGGAATCGCGATTAATTGGGTCTAAAAAGATTTTTCATAATTTTCAAGTTTTTTCTTGTTTATTGATGTACATATTTAAGTTTTTTTGAATCTCAATTCTTTTTCAAATTGAGGAAATAGATTTCTGTAGTGGATTTAGGTCGATTTATACAATTTTTGGGCAAAAATATGGAATTTTGAGATCAAAATATCAAGCTTTTTCTCGTTTTAAATTGACTATATTTTTTCCAATTTATTATGCTTTGAAGCTTTGAAAATGATGCATTTTGAAGAAAAATCAACAAAAATGTCTAAATTTCCGACGAAAAATCCAAAGAACCTTTCATCAAAAAAAAGGACGATAGGTTCCAATTTCAGCGTTTCTCTTTTAGAAAATGCATAAATTTCACATTATTCCAACAAAACACGAGATCAAACAATGCCTTCCGGTCAAGAAAAAAAAAGGCAAAAGGACGTTTTATTCACTCGCAATAATTGATGGTAATTTGATGCCCAAAAATTCTCACTCCATTAGGAGAATCAGCATTTTTTGGTGAGAACCCCTTGGGTATTGGTTTTTTTTTGGTAGGAAAAAAAAAAGAGAAATTCGACCTTTTCGGCTTGTCAGGTTTCCTGTGGAGAAGTTGGCTTGAAATATTTTTTTGATTGGAGTGGAAGGAAAAAAATTTGAGTATTAGCTAGCGTTCAGTTGTAATACTTACAAAAAACATCAAAATCTACAAAAAAAATCCTAGGATCTATATGAACTTTTGTCAATTCAAATATTATTGATTTATAGGAAATTTTAAAATTGCTGTGTAAAGAATAAGTAAAAAATTTAAAGAAGCGGGAAAAAACTTGACAAAAATTACGTTAAAAAATCAACCTCGCAGTGATTGCGTCACTGTGTCTGCGGACTTCAATAGGACAATTTTCAACTTTTTTTAAACGTCTCATTTTTCCTGAATTTTTTGAATATTGTCCAAGAATGGACTTTCAAAGCTCTCAAGTAACTATGGATAGCTGAAAATCGAATGATTTTATGAAAAGGAACTGAAAATATAAGCTAAAAAAAGGAAAAAAATAAAATGAGATTTTCCTCATGAACTTGAAGCTCGTGAAAGTATTGGAAACGGAAAATAGGTGACTTTTTTTCCCACGAGAACAAGCGCTCCGTTTTTAGTATTACAAATTCTATACGTAGTTTAGAAAGTAGGAAAATTCCTGGATTTTTGAAAAAAAAACTTGGGAACTCCTGAGTGGTCTCTAAAGGGGCCTTTGAACGGTGCCCTCTAGGAACCAATTTAGCAACCCCTATAGGGTCCACTAAAGCTTGTAAAAGTGTTCCCTATAGGGGACGAAGATTTTTATGAACTCTATGCGAAGAACTAAAAAAATAAACATTTTCTGAAGAAAAGACCCCTATAGGGGCCCCTTGAGCTTTAGGGGCTAAGGGATCAGACCCAAAATCCCTATAGGGACTACCTTGATTTAACCCCTATGGAGGCCACTTTTTTGGTTCCTAAAAAAAGATGAAGTACAAAAAACAAGAAAAAGACGGAATTGGAAAAAAAAAAGAACTTTGTCCTCACCCAACTAAAATAGCCTTTTTTTTCGCTAATCCCCTCTCTGAAGTACTTTTTTGGTTTTTTACTGGATTTTTTCGGAAGACGGATAGAATATTCAAGAGTTTAAAAAGTGCAAAATACAAAAAGTCATAGAAAAAAATGATTCAAGTTGACTATTTCAAAATATCTCACCCTGGAAAGGTACCCTTTGAAGAATATATATATAGTAAAGGATTTTTAGTCAAAGATCCCAGAAGCCTCCGCACTTTCTCGTGGAAATGTCATCCGCAGAACGGAAAACTCGGAAAATTGGCTCAACTTTAGTGCAAAACTGGCAACATTTTCTCACTTTTTGAGGTGTTCTTCTTCTTTATTAGCTTTGTTTTTTGCTTGGAATGATGACGAATCTTTGGAAAAAATTTTTTCAGTACGACACTCCGCTAGAACGCGGAATTTTATGAGGGAACTTTTTTTGAGGATTTTCGGAATAACCGACACTGCCAAAGTTGGAAGTGGGGAAAACGGGTGCAAAATGGCCGCTAAAAGGGTTCCGTTTTGCGGCCATTATTGAGCCTTTCTTTCTTGGTGGGGTAAAAAGGGTCAAAAAAGGTTGAAAAAAGGGTGCCGAAAGTCTCGGCCATTGATGATTTTTGATTTTATTAGGATCATACACAGTCACTGGTAAAGATTATTCTCAATTCAAAAAATTTGTACTTCTCAAAGGGTCCAAAAAGGGTGGATAAAGGCCGAGGAAAGGACGCAAAAAGGCAGTAAAACGGAAACCGTGGCCACCCGTTTAGGAACAGTTAATGGGAACCTTTTGGATCCATAATGGACGTTTAAAGGGTCATTACTACTTTGCCTATGGAGGTGTAAGGTGGAAGATCGTACGAATAATGCTTTTACGAAACTCCGCCAGAACGCTTGAGAAAGAGATTATCATTTTCGGACTACTGTAGAGTTACAACGATGATGATAGATGTAAAGTATCAACTGGAAAAAAGTTTGAAGAAAGGTTCACCCAAATCGAAAAATGGAAGAAGAATCAATTAAACAAACAAATAAAAAAAAGAAGGGGTGGAATAAAAAGTAGAAGGGAGAGAGAGGACGTAAAAATGTGTGTCAGCGGGGTCCGATTTTGCACGGAGAAGTGACGAGAGCGAGGGCAGATGCGTAAATACGCAACACATATCGAAATTGAGCCGCGAGCGGGCGGCGGGCCGACCTCGAAAACCCCCGCCTCTGACGGCTCATTTGTTAATTGATTTGACATGGATCCCGCCCGTGTGGTCAAGCTGGCTAATTTTTGCTGGCGCTTCTTGAGATTTTTGGAGGTTTGGGATGGAAGAAGTTAAAGGAGATTATGGCTCAGATTGGAACGGGGAGAGTTTGAGCCTCGGTAAATAGCTACTCGAGCAAAATTGCAAGCAAAAAAAACAAGATACAGACTTTTTTTGAACCGCACAGCCTCGTTTTTTTGAAATCAATAAATATACAGTAGCAAGAATGGGTGAGACAAAATACGGTTTTTTTGACAATAACTTTGCAGATACTTAATGAAACCGGACCAATTTTAAATATGTTATGGAAAATGTGTTTGCGGATACCCAATATCCGCGGTCAAAAACAAATCTGACTGGATTCTTGAAATTGTGGAGTTTTTGAAATTTTTTTAGTTCAAGAAAAAAATTGGGGTGATGCTCTGATTTATTTTTAAAAAAAGGTAGGGGTTTTTTTGAGCCTCATAGTGAATAACTGCAATTGAAGGTACAGGACAAAGATTGCAAGAAAATAAAACCGGTGAACGTACGCTCCATTGCTAACGGCTTTTTGAGCCGCTTTCATATCTAATATATTTGAAATGCCATTTTATTTTTCGCCCACAGAAGGATTTTTTTCGGACTTCTTGGGAACTGGAGGTTCCCTTTTTGGGGACACAAAAAAAGCTTTTTTTCCACAACTTGAGGTCTTGGAAGATGATGGAAATATTCTAATCGCGAACAAATAAAAACAAGTGTCTTCAACGTATACGAAAAAGCACAATTTTTTTGAATCTTTCTTTTATTAATTATTCGTGGTGAGGTAAATTTTTTGGCATTCCAACAAGCGGAGGAGGGTTTGAGAATTTTTCAATCAAATGTAGCAAGAAATATCCTTCTTCAAGGCTTGATATTTTTCATTTACAGTAAAAAGTGTATTAGCGCCGCTAAGGTGCGATTGAAAGAGAAAAAAAAAAAAAGAGCGAAATAAACTAAACAAAAATGTTTGAAGTACGCTCTATAGCTAAAGGATTCCTCGAGCGTTTTCGGACTCGGACATTGGTAACGCGAGCCGGACGTGCTCCGGACGTTTCTGGGCAGTTCTAGGGATCACTCAAGGGTTCTGAGGCTACTAAAGTGGTTACTAGGAATGCCCCGACACGTTTGATTTGCGTCCCGTTCGCGTTACCAAGGTCCGAGGAAGCTTGGCAAATTTTGAAAAAAAAACTCGCTTTAATTAGACTATTCGACATTTAACTTACGTGTTAGGTCAAGCGCCCAATTAGTGGCCATTTTTGGTCATTTTTGGTCATTTCTATTACTCGGCAGCATTTTAAAATAAAAATTGACAACTTTCGAGAGAAAGAGCGAAAATATAGGAAAAGAAGCAAACTGTGCAATTTGTACGTGGGAAAATTTTTTTGGTAGATAATCCTCGAAAGTACAAATTTCCAGGCGCTTGTAAGTAGACCGTTGGAATCAAAACAAAAGAATCTTTAGAAAGGCGTTTCATTTTCAATACCTAGACGTCAACTAAAGCTTTCGTGGTCAAGTGGCTAACTCGTCCGCTTTTTGAGAATCGGGTAGTTGGTTCAAGGAAAGCGTAACAATAAAAAGGCCGTTGTTACAACGGATCCTCTTGATTTATATGACCAGGCCACCACAGACTTCTGGGTTTCGAAAGAAGGAATTTGATATTTTAGCCGGGAAAAATGAACTATAATAGGCTCCACTGATAAAACAACTTCTGGATTTTGGAAAAATAAATTTGATATTTTAGCTGGGAAAAATGAACTCTAGAAAGCCAAGTGTGCTCCACTGATAACACAAACTTCTGGATTTTGGAAGAAGGGATTTGATATTTTAGCCGGGAAAAATGAACTATAAGAAGCCAAGTTCGCTCCACTGATAACACAGATTTTTGGATTTCGGAAGAAGGAATTTGATATTTTAGCCGGGAAGAATGAATTTTTATGAAAAGTTAAAATCCGCTCCACGGCTAATTGGCCATTTTTCATACTTGTTCATGTAAAATAAGTAAGGTTGCTGGGAAGTTTTTAGTGGCCACTTTAGGGTTTTGACTTTCTAGGGACCACTATAGTGGTTAAAAACTAGTGGCTCTTCAAAAGTCGTACTACTAGACTACTAAAACTACTATAGTGGTCACTAAGACGCGAAATAGGGACTTCTATAGAGGAATTTTGAGTTGCCACTTTAGGGTCCTTTCCAAGAAGCCCTTGAGGAACCTCTCAAGTGGCCACTAGAGTGTTCCCAAAAAGTATATTCTTTTTCCTGAGTAAAACTTACTAGAAAAAGCTGAATTTTTAAAATTTATTATTCTAGTTAGTCACGAAGAGATCAAATTTAGCAAATTAAATAAACGTTTCGTAATAAGACGAAAAACTCGTTTGGAGGAACTATGTCAACGCTAGACGACTATCACTTGCACAAGAAGCCCTTGAAACTCGAGTGCGAGGAGGGCAAGAAAACAACTTTTTTCTGCTTTTTTGGACTTTGAAACACCGTTTAGTAGTATACTGGGAAAATTTTTAGTGGCCACTATAGGGTTTTGGCGCCACTATAGTAGTCAATTTAGCGGCCACTTAAGGGGTTAAAAATTAGTGGCCATTATAGAGGTCTATGGGTTCCTACTAGACCACTAAAAATGTTAGTAGCCACTTTAGGGGTCAATGGATCAAGATAACTGGTCCAATCTGTTTGTTTTAAAATTATCAGAATTACTGGAAGGAATATGGGATGAAAAACTACTGAAGTGGCCACTAAAACGGAAAATAGTGGCCACTTTAGTGTCCTCTCCAAGTAGTGTCCTCTCCAGTAGTCGAGGCGAGCCTCTATAGTGGCCACTAGAAATTTTCCGAGTAGTTTGAAAAAAAACCAGAATCGCAGCTGGAAAGCTGTCGGTTTGAAATGGTTATCAATTAGCGACTTTTTCTTCTTACTATGATAAAATATGCAATTTGGCTCAAGTAGTTTCTCGTCGGTAGATGTAACTGCAGCGAGACTAGTTTAACCAGGCTTGTCTAAACTATTAAGGAAATCGAAAAATCAGTTAGAAGAGAAAATTTGACTGAAAGAAGGGCGCTTTCTTATGTGTCAATTAAGGAAAATACGGGGGCGCGTCACGTGGTGTCAAATTTCTTGTGTGTGAGAGAAAAAAAAAGATGAAATCCATTGAAATCGGAGATTTTTTTGCTTGTTTCAATGATTTGGAATATTTTATTGATGGGTCAAGAATCAATGGAGTTCCACTGCTTCTGAATGGCTTGGAAGTAGTTGTTGGCGCCTTCGACGCCGTTGAATCGGATCGCGACGGAAGTTCGGATTCTCTTCGTTTCGGCCATCCGCATACTGTCCAGAAGCCTCTGGGCCATGCAACCCATGAACAGGAACATATCTGGCACGAACTGCAAGTTTTCGGTTGTTCGAAAATGCTTGGAATGATAAGAAAATATCAATGTTGAATATTAAAACCACAAAAAGCTTCAAGGGGCTCGTAAAAATCAGAACTAGACTCTTATCGAAGAAATTTTGGATCAAACTACTTAGCAACTCCAGAGTGGTCCATGTAGGGGCAACCTTAAAGGCCCTTGGGGGTCTCTCTAGGGAGCATCTTTTACCAACCCTATAGGGGCCACTTCATCTTGCAAAAAGTGGTCCCTATAGGGGTTTTAGTTAGTTGCCTTTGTAGGGGACATGCTAGTCGATAGTTTTTATGAACTTTATGCGAGAAAACTAACAAAAAACATGTTTTCAAAAAAATCAAACGAACCCTATAGGGACCACTTAAGCTTTAAGGGCAAAGGGGTCAGACCCTATAGGGATCAGTATAAAGTTCTTAAGTAAAAAGAAATTAATAAAAATTCACTCAACTTGTCCCCAAATTCACAAAATTTCACAACAGCGTAAGAAAATTTTTCCTCAAAAGAAAATAATCGAACCCACAAAGAAAACGCCTCGAAAGGCCTGGAAATCGACCGGGGTGGCAAAAGAGTCCTTATGAAGACGTGTGGTAAGAGTTCCGGACAGGTAAATCAGGTAGACGATGACGTGAATCAAGGAGATGACCACCGTGAATTTGGTCGTCCGGACATTTTCCGACATTTGATAGCGTGAGGACAGGGTTTGTCGTTCTCGCCATCTGAAAAATGAAGAGATTTTTAATTTTTTGCAGAAGGAAGTTGGAACAATTCCTAGAACCTGCAAAAATGACAAAAAAAACAGGCCATGAAATTTATAAGTTTCAAAACACTGGAAATTGGAATATTCGGACGGTTTTGAAGTGGGGATGTTTTAAAAAAAAAAGGGTTTTTGTCTAATAAATTGTTAATAAAAGTTAAAAATGTTCAATTTGAGCAAGAATTTGTTCACTTTGTGTGCATTCAAGAACTTTTTTAAAGCAAAATTAAAAAATAGTCTTATCGAAAATTGAATCCACTTGAAAACTGTTCACCCCTTAAATAAATTACTAATCTGACACTGAGCCTATTAAGAAACTAACAGAGCGTGAAAAACTTTTAAAATCAAAAATCAACAAAAATTGCAAAAATTGCAAAAAAAGGCGAAATCCTTATTAAAGGCGCAAGTTGCTCTGCCAAATTGCAGTGTCTCCGCTCGAGACCCAGTGTTCGATCAACATAATTTCTTTTTTTATTCACTTCGTTTTTTTCTTTTATTTTTTTCACTATTTTTCAATGTGGTTTTTTTCAGTTATTTTCTGTTTTAAGTTTCTCAAGGTAGTATTTTTAAAAAGCTCCATCGGTTTTTGCAGCATAAAGCTCGTTTTTTTTTTTGAGTAAAAGAGTTGAAATTTTCAACGAAAATTCCTTCTGAATTTATTGAAAGTATAAAATCATTGAATATTAGTTTTTTCAGTTCTTATAGCATTTTGAGAAAGAGATATAGCGTTGAAATTAAGTTATATTTTTCAGGAATCAAGGGAAAGCAAAATGAAGAGGTTGATGACTATGATATCATCAAGTTTCCCTCAAGTGATTGGATTCGATTCGAAATCTTTGGCGGTTGTTTTCGTAAGTTGTTTTTTCACTGTTTTCATAGCATTTTTAAGTATAACTATGTTTATTTTAAATTAATTTTCGCGCTTATTCTGCTGGAACGTTGCTAGTTACATGTAGAAAAAAATATACGCTTAGTTTCATAAAATGTGGTTTTTAGGCGAAGTTTTTTTCACCGTACCTGTTTAATGAAAAAAAAAAACTTACTCTTTCTCAAATTTCCGAGTTGCGAAAAATAAAAACAAGTTCCCAATCAAACTGACGACACCCACACAGACACTAAGTATGAAGATTATATTTATCTGAATTTTAATATATTAAATTTGGAAGAGAACTCTTTGGCCTCATGGTCGGGACGGTTCTCACAAAGAGATCCAATGGAGTCATTCCAAGTGCGACCAAAAATATTTGAAAAAATACCTTTTCTGCTGCCGAACCCGGCGTGGCAATGAAGGAAACTTGCTTTGCGGTGAATTGTTCGTTATGATAGGGATAAACAGTTATTAATATTCCACAGGAAGTCTGTAAATGTGTTTTCGAACTTGGATCACGAAACTTTCTCGTTTTTCTTTTATCCATGGAGCAAAAAAATCTCTTTGTAACCAAGCTTTTTTGAATTTTTACGGTGGAAAATTGATAGCGCATAACTTTTTACCACGGCGTTTTTGATACTGAAAGAAAATGCGAAACCAAAAATGAAGGTGGCGGAGTCAAAACCACCGCCGTTCCAATGTGACGTCATGGGAAACAAGTAAAATAAAAAGGATATTAAAGGCGCATGTTCAACGGGTCATGAGACGAATTGATTTCTTTTTTTTTCTATTGTCGTTTTCAAAGTGATTCCGCGAAGTTCAAAATAGCCGCCAGAGAAAAAAAAATATAACTGAGTCTCGAAAATTCCCAGTGTATGCACACGAAACACTACACTTTACGGACTATATATGGGTGAAGCGTCGTCAGACAAAAGCGCCGCGTTATCTGAAACGGTTTTTTCGAGAATTTCTCGAGAAAAGTGACATTTTTATCCATGGTGCGCACATGCTTTTTTTCCAAAATAAAAACCCACCGCTGCAGCAGCCAAAAAAGGACCCAGTAAGGTCCTCCAACGCTCGTAATCCCTATGATAAACCAAAGCGACAATCCTTTCGATCATCATCCCGATCATAATGAATGAAGACCCGAAAACACCGTAGAGAAGAGGTACATGGATAATAATGAATAAAGTTCGTGGGATTAGGAGCTTGCATGGATCCGTGACAATGAATGGGATAAGTGACGCGTAGGTCTGAAATTATATGTGAGAGAAAAAAACATTGTCTGGAATGGCCAAATCGGTCACTTTTTGGTGTCTTTTTGTGCAAGCTTGTTTTAAGGAAGTTACAAGGAATTATAAGGTATATAGTCCAATAAGCTCCCAGTAGAAGGGTAATTTAACTTTGCGGTTGGGATTTTTCGGAAAATTGGTCAGAACACTCTGATGTAGTACTGTCGTAAGTTTTGCTTTGATATTCAGCGACTTATCCGAGTTTATACAGGGATAATGTACATACTTTGAAAAGATGGTATCAGTGTCGCATGACTTTTGTAGCATTTTTATTGAATTCACTTTTATATGCTTTTTATTCTTTTATTTTTTATCGCTCTTTGTGCAATTGCCATGCTGTTTTCATACATGGAAGAACCTCTGAGGGCAGTTTTGACCGATAACGACAGTTGGGTCGTCGATGATGATCGATGACTGGAATGGCTGGCGTGATGCGTCAGTTTTCAGCGTCGGAGTTGCAGATGGTTTACTAACGCACTGGAAGACCACGTGCACTGGTCGTACTGACGATAGAAACGTTTTGAAGACGTCTAGAACCAATCCAAAACTCACCGCCCCCTGCGATCAGACGGGAATTTTTCTGAATCTCGCCATCTCCGCCATCCGTCTCGACCGTGAAACGACGTCTGAATGCTGCTGGAATCATGGGAAGACGTCCAGTGAAGAAACCGCTGATTTCTGAAAAGAATCGAGCCGCCAGGGTGAAGTGGGCGAAGGAGCATCTCGCGTGGACCCGTCAAGACTGGAACAAGATTCTGTGGTCCGACGAAACGGTCCTCCACCATGTTTCACAGTGGGTAATTGGTATTTTGGATGATATCTGGACTCAATTGGTCCACGAACCCACTGAATTCCGTCACTCCCGAAGAGGAGGAACTTGCTTTCGTCGGACCACAGAATCTTGTTCCAGTCTTGACGGGTCCAGTTGAGATGCTCCTTCGCTTACTTCACCCTGGCGGCTCGATTCTTTTCAGGAATCAGCGGTTTCTTCACTGGACGTCTTCCCATGATTCCAGCAGCATTCAGACGTCGTTTCACGGTCGAGACGGATGGCGGAGATGGCGAATTCAAGAAAAATTCCCGTCTGATCGCAGGGGCGGTGAGTTTTGGATTGGTTCTGGACGTCTTCAAAATGTTTCTATCGTCATCACGACCAGTGACACGTGCTCTTCCAGTGCGTTGGCTCTTCGTAGAGCCATCTTGAGCTTTCCGACGCTTTAGGAACTGAGAAATGCACGCCTCTGTCACACCGAACATTCGCCAACGTCATCATGGTCAGTCCATTTTGACGACCCACAACGATGGTTATTTTGTCGTTATCAGTCAAATCCTTTTTTTCAGAGGTTCTTCCCATGTTTGAAAAACATGAAAAAACATACGGCAACATTATTACTTTTAAAAATTTGATAAAAAAATAAATAAAAATAAAAGCATAAAAACAATTGAATTCAATAAAAATGCCTAAAAACGCGTCACAGTGATTGCGTGACATGTCTTTGTATACCATATATGTTTCAAAGTATATTTTACATTATCCCTGAAAGTTATATATAAATCGGATAAGTACTCGCTGAGATATCCTCAGAAAACCAAAACTTAATATACTTTTGAGCGGTACTGTACCTGATGAAGATTCTGAAAATTCCAGCCTGCACGAATTTTTAGTTGTCCAGAAAAGACACTTTAAGGTCAAAGGAAATCATAAAAATATGAGAAAACAGGCCATTTTGAGCCATTTTTTCTCGAATTCTAGGAAGCTGAGCGAGCTGAAACTTTTAGACTTCATACTAGGTACATTGAGGAACTTCCTTTTTTTAGGAAATTTCCAACCCTAAAGTATAATGGCCTCCCTTGTTAGCAAAACTGTGTAATTTCAATATTTTAATCAAGAAACTTACAAACATAAAACACTGAAAAGTTGTACACAATATCGCGTTGCCGAAATATGACACAAGTAGAATCTGAAATATTGAACTTCTAAATACTATAAAATAAAGTTGAATACCTTAATATTCGCATGGAAGGCGGTAGAAATCAACTTTCTTGTCACAAAATGCACCAAAATGGGTAGAGCCGCCCAACTGACGCACATCCGCCAAACTTGAACCCATCGATATAACGGATGATAGGTGATTAGATAGGCCTTAAAAGTGGCCACTGTAGGGGTTCTGATAAGGGAGGTGATTTTACTTTGCGAATTTTTATGAAAACTTGCCAGAACGCTACTTGATGTACCAGAAGAAGATTCTGAAAGTCTCAACCTGCACAACTTCCTAGTTTTTGGGAAAAGACGCCTTAAAATCAAAGAAAACTGGAGTTTTGAAATTTGGAGTTTTAAGCCCTTTTTTCTCAAAAAATTAGGAAGTGGTGCAGGTTGAAACTTTCAGAATCTTCATCTGGTACATCAAAGAAGGTTCTGGCCAATTTTTAAGAAATTGCAAAGAAAAATGACCTCCCCTATGGCTTTTTTTTAAAAGAGAAAAGGTGTTTTTTCGTTTAATTTAGTAGCTTTTATGAAACATTTTCCCGTAAAATTACTGCACTGAATGTAGTGGTAATATCCAAGAGTCGGATAAAAGAAAAGTGTCTCGTAAAATCTAACGAGGAAAAAGGCTTTTCGCAACAAAAATCTTTTAGATTTTCAGAGGAATCTAAAATTTTGAATATAATTTCATAGACAAAGTCGGATGGGTGGAAAATGCTCCCGTTTTGATGCCTCTCCCTTTTCCACCATTTCTTAAGCCTTTGAAGTTCAAAAAGATGGTAGGTTCGACAAAGGGCCTCTTTTTGCTGCCTTTTTGAACCTCTCTCTTTAGCGGCCAATATACACCTTTCCGACTTTGCCCGAGTTTAATATTGAGGTTTTAAAAAGTGATAGTCTGACTAGGGAACGTTTTTACCCTCGGATGAACTTTTGCTGAAACTTCGGTGAAGTGTCCTTTAGGATGCCCTGACAAGATCTACTGCGAGAATCTTGATTTGCAATCAGGGGTCCTAAAGTACACTTCAGCAACGTTTCAGCAAAAGTTCGACGGATGGGGGTAAAAACGTTCCCTGGTGAGTTGAAAAATATGGGAAACGTCCGTTTGTTGTTTTTTTGGTCAAAACGTCCTGTAAATTTTTCAGGACATTTCTTTTGAACAAAGTGCTTCAGAATGACCCTTTTTTTCGTTTTCTAAAATATCAACCTAGAAAAAAAAAGTCTATATGGTGAAAATATCATCACTCGTAGGCAAAAGCTTGGTCTAAAGATAAGCATTTTCAATTTTCTAAACTTTAAATTTCCATTTGAGAGGGTTTTGGTTAAGAAAAGTTGAATGGCAGGAAAAAAAAGGATTTTCAAAAATCCGTATAGAAAAAAGAAACTCACATCTCCGCAGTTGGCCGTATCCATATTTTCGGGTCGAATGAATGAATTGGAATACGCCAGGGCTTAACCTATTGGCTCCGGCGGAATTAGGTTCCCCTTCTTTTCTCGTTCCGCAATGAGTATAAAATAAATGAGATCGGCTTGGATTTCTTTCGTTTTACTCCTTTTATGAAGCGCTTTTTGACTCTTTGACAACATTTCCGCCTGAAAATGTAAATAAAAACAAAAACAGAGAGTTTGGCAGGAAATGGAAAAAGTTGGACGTCACGGAAAGGGTTTCCTGTAGGTTCGAGTGGGAGGAGAAGCTTTGAAAATAGACGAATTTTTTATAAAAATTAATGATTTATACTTCGAAAAATGAAAAAAATAACGACTTTTGGAGAAATTCATTGTGTTTCGAGTGACAAGAAAAGCTTTAGAATAAGGTTAGTTATAGAAAAGAAAAAGAGAAGGACAAGAGAAACAGTCCGCAATGCGCCGTCGGTATGCAGACGCCGCTTTCTGTTGCGACGAATCGTTCTGCGACACTATTTTGAACTTATTTTTTTCGTTTATCATTGATCATCACTGTTTAGTACACATTCACATGATCTCGAATATTTTCGCGTCTCAATATTGATTTTTCGAAAATATGGCAGAAAAATCAATATTGAGAGATGCGAAAATCATTCGAGTCGTATATGAATGTGTACTGCACAATCGATCATCAATGATAGAATAAAAGCGAAAAAAAAAATGCAAGTTCAAGATAATGGCCCAACAGAAAGCGGCGTCTGCATACACGCGACGGCGCATTGCGGACTGACGCTCAATTTTTGTCCTACACTCGAAAAAAAATTAATTTGTGGATTTTCATGAGATTTCCTGTGATTTTCAATTCAAGAAAAGGAGAAAATTAAAATTTGGGCCATTTGGGTTTTTAGAATTCACAGCGTTTGATAGGAATGTTGTATTTTTAGCTGGCCAGGAAATTGAAAAATTTTAACGTCAGAAGAGTGTTTTTGAAGGCTTTTTTCATGACTTTTTCAACAGAAAGAAAAATAATAGATTGAATTTAGATTTTTAGAAATAGTCGAAAAAAAGCTCTTTTGAGAAATACTACGCTGGAAAAATGCACTTTTTCACAATTTTTAATTTTTTGAAGCTATGACGCTATAATGAAACGACCAACCGGAATATAATACCAGAAAAAAAAGTCATGACTTTCATTTTGCGAGTATTTTCATTTATGACTCATATAAGCTCTTCTGAGGCGTCCAAACAAGATCTTTTTCTCAAAAAAAGTTTTAGAAAGATGAAACTTTTATAAAGTTAATGTCAGTAGCTTATCTTGAATTTTTTCAATTCTATAATTCCTAACACTTTGGAAGATTTTTCTAAAGTTTGCTAGTTCAAAGGTGAGCAAAAACAATATTAATCAGGGCTTGCAGGTTGAAAACTGAAAAATCATTTTTAAACGAAAAACTGGGCCCATCTCTCGAAAAACAAAGAATCGACTAGGTAAAACATGAAAATTTGCAAGTGGTCTTACTGAAGTTGGCGCAAAGAATATTATTGAAATCGAATTTTTACTATTTTTTTCACAAAAAAATCATTTATTCGAGCCCAGAGTGAGCTCAGATAGAATTCAAGGTATTATTTTATAATTTTGACGAGGAAATTTTGTAAAAAATGACGAGGAATGAGACGAAACGGCTATTTTGAGACACTGAAAACTTTGTCAGCCCCAAGCTATAATTATGTTTTTCTTCAAGTCTGATTAGATATTTGAGAAGGTCCACTGCAAAAAATATCATTTATCAAAGGTTCTGACATATCAAAAGAAAGAAAAAGGCAGAGAAGTCCGAAAGCCTTTTAAAAATAGCAGTGGAACCAAAACCTGGCCAAAAAGTTCATTATTTTTCAATTGAATCGAGAATAATTCAATTTTCTACCGCATGATGGCGAACACAGGCATGGAGGTTCAAATAATGGGATTTAGGAGCGTAAAGATCGAAAATGTAGAGAAATTTGAAGTTTTTACCAGGGAACGTTTTTACAGTTGAACTTTTTGCTGAAACTTTGCAGAAGGGTACTTTTAGGACCTCCTGGCCGCAGATGAAGAAAAAAATTTCTCGCAATGGATCTCGTTTCCGAGTTGTGGAGCTTCAAAGAAGGCAAGCGTTATTTCGGGTTTTTGAAGTGCCTTAACTCCAAAACGAGATCTATTGCGAGAAATTAAAAACGTACCCTAGTAGTGGTTTTTTGGGAATTAAAAAAAAGATTTGGAAAGTTTCGAGTTAAAGTTGAATTTTTATAATCACGTTGGTAGCCATTTTCTGCAAAATCCCTATAGTGGTTCCTAAATGACCAATTAAGGGTCTTATAGGCGGCCCAGAAGATGGTCCTTTAGTATACCTCCGTAGTGGGTTTTTTTCTCTCTCCAGGACCCAAATCGGCTTTTCCCAGTACCACAGGACTTTTTAAAAAACTGCAAAAAAAGGATCCCCCAAGAGGACTCGAACTTTGGTATCAAGATTACCAACCGAGAACGCTATCCACTAGACTTCCTCTGAAAAATCCTTGTTTTTTTCTCAAATTTCCACTTTTTAAAGGATTTTTTTCTCAGTTCCCCTCTAAAGCCTTATTAGCTCTCAGTTTCGGGCAAAAATAACCCAACAATAGATTTTTTTAAAATTTTAGTCAGCCCCTAAAAAAGTTTTTCCCACTTACCAACTCACAGACATGATCTAACTCAAACTTCTTAGAAGCCTACGTATATTTTTTCTCTTTCACATTTCCGTTTGTGCTCCAAAACGCACTCTGGACTCTTTGAAAAATAGACTTTTCGTCTGTCTGCTTTACTTGTTATTTTTTTCTTCCTTTATCCTTCTAGATCTTTGTGGAAAAAGCTTAACCATTGGAACAGAGAAAAAGAGTAAGACGTATCCTGGTGTTTAAGGGTACAAATAAAAAGTCGAATGTCTAGGAGGCAAAAAAGTGCAACTGGTACTGGTTATGTGTCATATTGGAGTTGAAGGTTTTTAAGCCTACAGTAAGACGACAAAAAATGCATAGAAAAAAGATGGAACAGGTCGAAAAACAGAGAAAAAGTATCGAAAAGCTTCAAAAACCAGTTTTTTGTTATCTATACTTCATTTTTTATTTGTTCACCATTTTTAGTTCAAATAATCCAATTAAAATGAGCAGCAAAATGTAAATTCCTTGAGAGGATCTGAACTTTGGTCATGAGATTGTCAAGCGAAATCGCTAACCACTGACCCACCGTGTTATCGCGATTTTTTTTTCACAGAAAACGAATAACTTCTCCGACCTCTTTGTACATGCTCCCACTTAGGCTCACCTACAAAATTTGAGATTTTTAAGCAAAATGGACTTAGGAACTCCAAAGTGGTCCTATAAGGGCAACCTTAGGGGCTTTTTGAGGGTATCCTCTAGGGACCACTTTACCAACTCCTATAGGGGCCACTAAAGCTTGCAGAAGTGATTCCTATACGCCATTTTGTGGCCCTTATAGGGGAAATTCTCGTCGATAGTTGTTTGAACTCTAAGCGAGGAAGAATTTCCATGGGAAAAATTGAATAAATAAACGTTTTTGAATAAAATGGTAGGACCCCTAAAGGGACCACTTGAGCTTAAGCGGCTGAGGAGTGAGACCCTGAACACTTATAGGGACCACTTTGATTTAACCCCTGGAGGGGCCACTTTTTTCTTCCTAACCCCTACAGGGACTACTGTGGAATCCCTAAGTAGGGCTTGGAATCATTTACCAAAAAAGAGGTCTGAACCAAAATAGGTTATCTTGGAAGCGAGCCAACAAATGATTTTTAAACCTCTTCAGGTTTTTCTAAACAATTACGCATATATGCGCATTTTTTCCTCCCTTATCGAGGCTATTTTTCCACTTATCATCAGACTTAATGCTCTGATCTTCAAGAGCCCCAAAAGTAATTTCACACGGTGTCTGAGCTTTAGGCGTTCCCATTGACGAAAATAAAGTCCAACTTTTTATACTTCACATTTTCACACGATGATAATTCATCTACTTATTTTTGACTAGCCTCTAGAGAGTTCTATTCATTTTCCTCATTATTCTTTTTATTTTTCAGCTTTTAGAGGTTTTTCCATTTTATGCCATGTTTTCTGAGTAGTTGAGGCCTCTAAGTGAAAAATATGGAGATCGACAAAAGCGGAACATCGTAATTTTGAAGGTTCTCCTGATGGTGACGTCATTTTGGAGTGTTCTAGCGGAATCTCGTTGAGAAAGATTTTTCAAGTATTTTTATGCTTTTTATAAGTTGATAGATCTGTAGCATCCAGTGTGACCGAACCACTAAAACTAATACTTTTTATCTGACCTTTATTTCAATGTTAGACTTTTGATCTTCAGTCTTCATTTCTCTTCTAAAATTCTAGAATTTCATACTAAAGTAGTGCAAAGCAAGATATTTGATCCTCCAGAAGATTGAAGAGGCTCCTCAAGGCCTCCCACAATTCAATCAAACAAAGGAATCTTCAGACAATAAAGCCCATCTTATTTTTCGAAATTTTCTGTTATCTGTCACACGACCGTAGCACTAGGGGATTTTCAATCACACAAAGGAGAAGGTTAATTGTACTCTTTTTCAGTGATTTGTAGCTGGCGGCACGTGAGAGACTCGGAGGAGAGGGTATTTAAATGGCCAGGTGGTCTGCGCGGCGGCAACGTCTCGCGGCAATGGCGCTCAACCGACGGCCATCGTCGGCTCGAGGGCCGACGAGCTCGAGATCGACCTACAGTACACCTTCATGATGGACGAGCCTGAGTCCTTTCCGAGATTCTCTGCACCTGGTTTAGTTCCAGAGTTAAAATGATCATTTTATTTCATTTACAAGGGAAAATTGTCATTGAAATCGAAAGTTAGATTTTCCTGAGTTAAAATTTGAGTTTCAACTAAACATACATGTGATAAGCATGACTGGCGACAGCCAGGCCCCCTCCGAAGCTCAAAAAGTATTTTTAACTAAGAAGAAAGAATCGTGTTCTGCCCAGTCAATGAGATTTATCAAAATGAGATTTTGGATTCTATTTGTCAGATCCGATCAAACTTGATTCCGTCAAACTTGCGATTATGGCGAGGAATAGTCGAATATTACACGAAACTGAGCTGAAACATGGCACCTGGCCTTGGACAACAGGAAGAAACTCGCCCTCACGTCTGTTTTCTGAATTTGTTAGTCTATGCCCGAAATGGCTGATGTATTGACAGAAAGATTCAGAGATTTTTCTTTTGAACAGAGCCTGGAAAGCGCTGGATTTTCTGGCCCATGACTAGTAAAACGGCCAAAGGCTTTGAAAATGACTGAAATTTGCTGACGTGGGTTTCTCGCGTAAATTTTGATAAAGGTGCTTTAAAATTAGCCTGAATTAGGGTTTTCCACACTGCAAAATTTCAGACTTAAACGGACTTCTTCCAAGTTCAGAATTAACGCAGAAAATAGCCTCCAAAAACAGCAGCTTAATGAGACTCTACGCGCTCAACGGTCGTAAATTCCAGGAAACTCAAAAGATATCATAAGATGTGACTTTGGATCTTCTTCTGGGACTATCACAAGATCTGTGTCGAAAAGTCGAACCAACCAAAAATTGTAGTTTTTATACAGATGCAAGAAAAAAGCGAAGTAGTTTTGTACTTTGACTGGTTGGATTCTAGTTGGTTCATTGGATGGATTTTTTATTCGAGCGACAAAAAAAAATTGAAAAAACTGATTTTATAGAAAGTTGTAGATTTTTTCCACAATGACTCAAAAGTTTCAATATTTTTATAAAAGGTGACGTCATTCCGAAGCGTCCGAGCGTAGTGTCGTACTGAAAAAAGACAATTTTCTCATTTTTAAAGGATGACATCATTGTGATTAGTTTACATATTTTATTAGAAGTTCAAATAATGTTTTCTGTCACGCTTGTGAAGCTAGTGACTCAATTTTTTGAACTTAAAAATATAAAAATATGGAATTTTTATCAAAAAGTGACGTCATTCCGAAGCGTCCAAGCGGTGTGTCGTACTGAAAAAGTCAATTTTTCTTATAAGAGCTTGACATCATTGTGATTAGTTTACAAAGAAAAATATCAATTATAAGTTCAAAAACATTTTTATTCTGTGACTTTTTCAGCTGGTGACTCAGTTTGAAGCTCTACAAATGGAAAAATGTAAATTTTAGTGACGTCATTCAAAACGTCCAAGCGGAGTGTCGTACTGATTGATATAACTGAGGTTTTTTTCCATCAGTTGAGGAGAACAGTGCGAATAGTTTGAGCGGAAGATCTAACTTGAAAATCAATGAGTCTCTTTGGCTTTTTCAAGCTTGTTACTTAACTTTGAAGCTAAAAATGGAAAATATAAAATTTTTATTGAAAAAGTGACGTCATTTCGAAGCGTCCAAGCGGAGTGCCGTACTGAAAAGTTCAACTTTTTGTTTGAAATTTTCTTTTTCCTAGATCGAGATCACTACTGTGTCAAGCGGAGAGATGTACTCAAAAAAATCGTAAAATAGTTTTTGATAGAATTTTCTCGGACCGATATCGAAATTTAAGGGGTGATTCTCAACGGCACCCCTGATCACCCTGATCTTGACCCACACTGCCGAAGCCGATGAGAAGTTACGCCGTCCTGCTCTTCAACTTCGCCCTCTTCGACCTCCTCACCTGCATCGCTTCCTTCTTCGCCTGTCAAAAAGTCTGAAAAATATTATCCTTCCTTCCTCGATTCCACACCCTTTTTCAAGAACGATTTTCTCGGATTTGGCTCTGACCTACATCTTCCACGGCCCTTGCCGATATATATCCCCGTTTTTCTGCTACTTCTGCCACTGCTTCGTTTGTCACGCCATGGCCCATTCTCAATGGATCCTGATTGTGAGTTTCGGCCAGAAAGGGGGTCGCATCGGGAATGGCTTGAAGCGTCGCGGATGTTTGAACGTGAAAAAAATGCATCTGATTCAGTTTCTTTCGGGGATTCCGATTTTTGTGCTTGGAAAATGACGATAAGACCCTTTAGAAAGAGTTATGAACTCTAAAAGTTTGAAAAATTGAACCGGTACATTTAAGGCCGCTATAATGTGTCAAGCATGTGAAAAACTAGGAAATTTTGAATTTTGTGTCAAACAATTCACTTTTTCGGTGGTATGAAAAAAAACACCAGAGATATGAAAAAATCGGAATAGTCGCCGTTTGAATTTTCGCTGGTTTTTTTTTTCATACCACAATTGTTTCCTGTTTTTGGGACCTAGAACCTCCTGCCTTACAAGGAAAAGTTCAAACGATTTTTTTTCAATCCTCAGTTGCGAAAATTTTCACTCAAAGGAACTTTTGAAGCACAAATTCGGAATCAGCGTGAAAAACTGACCAGTCCCGCGCTTTTCGATAAATCAGAGCGCAAGTCGTTTTGGGTCGGGCGAAAACAAGCTTCCAGACCTCTTTCTACTACCGCTACCGTATCCTGGTCAAAGAGCAGCCGACAGTGAAGCAAGTCGTCGCCCTGACTCTCATTTTCTACTCGTTCTCATTCTTCATCCTTGTAAAATATTAAGGAATTAGTTGAAAATCGAATTTGGGTTGTAGATCCTGTACTCGTTTGACGTCGGCGACAGCAATGAGCTGAAGCAGATCATGTACCGGCTCCATCCGGAGTATCACTATGAGGATGAGAGCATCTGGGGAGGTAAAGTTTTTGGGAAAAAAAGTAGGGAAAAAAGCATACATGGGCAAGTGCAGAACTTTTTTTAGAACGTAGGCTCACAAGAATTAATCAAAATAATAAAAAAATGATTTTTAAGCTCAGAGAGGTGGTCTTGGCAATAATGAGAACAATTTTAACCTCAGGGGGTAACAAATAAGTGGGAGGAACGGTCGGCGGCTTCCAAAAAAACTATCTGTCCATGTATGAAAAGTCTGAGAAGCTAGCCTTGGTGCTTACACGAGAGGACAAATTTTCACACTTTTAGAAAATAAATTAGGAAACTTGGATGTGGCTCTCGTTACATTATCTTTTTTAACAAAAGCTCTGAATTTTCAGCTTTTAGAAGACCTGATAGATGAAAGTTTGGTTTTGAAGTTAAAAAGGAACCCTAGAAAATGCTAAATTTCAAGTTTATCCATTTTTCCAAAACGATCCTGCAATTTTCGAACTTTTGTGAGATCCCCAGCTTTTAGAAGGTCTCATAGATGGAAGTTTAGTTTTGAAGTTGGAAAGGAACCCTGGAAAGTGGTTAATTTTTATAGTTTATCCATTTTTCCAAGGCTTTTCGAATCTTTTTTGAGATTCGGAAATATTCTTCATGCTAAAATTCTCACGGAAGCTTCTGCGCTCCATGGAGATCTATAGTAGTTGAAAAATTGTTTGGTTATAGTTTCACGTTTTTCGAATCTTTTTCTAAAACTTCTGGGATTTTTTCCCCTTGGTAAGAGGTTCAGAACCGCTCGAATTTTATTAAAAAAGCTACCTGAAGCTTTCGCAGTCAAAACGGAGTCTGAACTCTAGAAAAGCTGTTTTTTTTTCAACTTTCAGAAGGGGTATATGTGCCTTCCAACAGTAAAATCTAATTACAAGAACTAGAAAAACCAAAAAATTCAGTTCTGACCGTCAGCGGGAACACTACAATTCTATCGTTTGCCACCAGTTTCACAATCCTCTACATGACTTTCCCATGCGTCCCAATCTACGCTGCGATTCACCATTACCGTCATCAGGTCTCATTTAATTAACCTCAAAAGTTCACGCGAAACTTCCAGACTTTGAAAATCCTGGGTGGAAACGCGCTGGAAATGAGTGAGGCCACCAGGAAGTCCCACAAGAAGATGATCAAAGCCTTGACGATCCAAGCCATGATCCCGATTTTCTGGCTCATCGCCTCGGCCATCTTCACGTCCGTCGAGTTCAAACTCATCCCCAGCGGCCCTTTTCTGGAGAATATTACGTTCCGGCTGATGGATTGCTTCCCGACGTGCAGCCCTCTCGTTTCCCTCTACTTCATCGCTCCTTACAGGTTTGTGGGTCGCACTTGGAATGGCTCGGTTTGAGCCAAATATTCGAAATTTGGGTGGGGAATGGTCTTCGGATGAAGGCGCACTCTAGCAGTGTCGGAGATCCTAGAAAAGGGGTGCAAAAAAAGTTGCTGAAAAAGGTTCCATTTTGCGCCCGATATCGAAAAAGGGTGCAAAAAAAGGGTCAATGCAGGCTCATAAATGGGCGCTGAACAGTTCCATAATGAAACTTTTCTTCACCTTTTCTGTATACCTACTTGAAGATTGCCGACGAAAAAGTCGCTTAAAATAACCCCGTTTTGTTTCTAATATCAAGCTTGAGAAAGGGTGCAAAAAGGGTCAGTACAGGCTCATAAATGGGCCCTGAACAGTTCTATAATGAAACTTTTCTTCACCTTTTTTTGTATACCTACTTAAAAGATTGCCGACGAAAAAAAGTAGCTTAAAAATAACCCCGTTTTGTTTCTAATATCATCAAACTTGAAAAAAGGGTCAGTACAGGCTCATAAATGGGCCCTGAACAGTACCATAAGGAAACCTTTCTTCACCTTTTTTTTGAAGTCCGACTTGAAGATTGTGCTTCAAGCCATTCAAGTCATGCGACCAACTCCTTTCATCAATTTTTGAAGTTTTCCTGATTTTTTTCCCTGGGGAGGTGTTGAACTCGAGACCTTTTTAACCACATCCTAGCAAGCAACCTACTGAGCTACATAGTTTGTTTTGTCAGAAAAGGACTCCTCGGCTACTGGAGCAAGTTGACATGCCGCAAGCAGAACGCCGTCGTCGATGCGGTCGTCAGCGTCAGCGGAGCCACCAATCAGAACGATAAAGCCAAAGAAATTGCCGACCTTGCTTGAGAATCTTCCTTTTCTCTTTTAGATCCCAAAATATATATTTAATAACATTTTGATAGCTATGGTATGTTAAGAAAAGCTAGAAACCCCGAAAAAGCCAATTTTTGATGTCTTTTGCGCTCCACTGATAATTCTATTTATTTATGATGTATCTGTAGACGGACATGCTCGGACGTTTCCGAGCCATTCTAGGGATCACTTAAGAGGGCTGACGCTACTAAAGCGGCCACTAGAAAGCTCGACGAACCCGAGTCGTGTCTCGTTATAGTAACCAATTCCTGAGCGATTCTAGGGATCACTTAAGAGGGCTGACGCTACTAAAGCGGCCACTAGAAATGCTCCGACACGTCCGTTACCAATGTATGTTTATCGTAGCAAAATTTCTCTTTTTTTCATATTTTCTTCTTAAATTGGAATATTTACTCCAGTGAACCCATAAATTGACTGCAATTAAAAACCAACCCCTCTTTTCCTATATTTTCACATAATTGTAGTTTGATGATTGCCATTTTTCAAGATTTGCTCGTTTCAATATATAGTAATTTCTATTTTTGATGTTAAAAAGACAACTATTGTTCAATATAAACACGATTAGATAGTTGGAATGTTGATTCAGGGTAGAATATATTGAAAAAGAGATCCACAGAATTTCCAGTTCGAACCGCAACGCGACCGCGCCGCACAGCCATTTTCAAATTGAGACCTTTTTGACGGGCCCAGAGTGCCAATTTCGAAGTTTCTCTGAGTGCTGTTCAATGTATTTATTTATTTTCGATTTATCAAAGTTTTGCGATCGAAAATATTTAATTCTTTAAAAAACGGCCTTTTCCTAAAATTTCCTCACAAAACCGAAAATTCCAACTTTTCTCCCCCGATCAAAACTCCTGTTTTCGACCAAAAAAGGCTAGATTCTCAGTGGGGCGACTACTCCGTAGCCTTATCAGCCGCTATCAGCCACGCCGTAGTTTGGAATGAACACGGAAAAATACTCGTTTTGATCCTCATTTCCACTTCTTCAGGCCCTTTTTCGCTCTGGTTTTTCTGCGAAATGATTCGAATTTCGAATTTCAGTTCAATTTTTCATGTCTTTTTCCTTGTTTCAATATGAAAAAATGCACGGTTATTTTTCCAGGAAGTCCGTAAATTTCAATTCTAAGACAAAATGGTGAAGCCGAAGGCATACGTCATTGGAGTTGGAATGACCAAGTTCAGCAAGCCTGGATCCGTCGGATGGGACTACCCGGACATGGTTAAAGAAGCAGGTGAATAATTAGAGATACTATCAATCGATAGGAAATGACGTCAGACGCACGGAAATCCATGTCAGAAAGTTCTAGGAAGCATAGATCAGTTCTAGGGAGTTCTAGGGAGCATAGAAAAAGATATGCTTTTTGAAGTTTTTGAAAAAAATCATAACTCGATTCCTAGAAGGTTATGAACTTTGAGACCTAGTTTTTCTTGATCTCCTTGATCTCCTCTATCGATTGATACCAGATTTGACCTACTTTCCATCTTTCGATCTCCAAGTTTGATCGCCTCTAGCTCAGTTCCTAGTTGATCTACGGAGGTCAAACCCGGCCTCAGGTTATTTTTCGTCGTGATCTATCGATTGGTATAGGTTTCGTCCGGATCGGCTTCCATGACCTCAGAAGCTCGAAAAACTGAAGGGTTAGACTGTACTTTTCCATTTTTCCCGAAATCCAAAGTTTCTAGATTTTCAGATCAATCGATAGGAAATGACTTGAAGTCCGAATATCCAGATCAGAAAGTTCTAGGGTGCCTAGGAACAAAGATATGATTTTTTAAAGATGATCAACTTTGTTTGAAAAATCATAGCTTGATTCCTAGAAGGTTAGGAACTTAGAAACCTAGTTTTTCTTAATGCTCATGATCTCCTCTATCGATTGATACTAGTTCTGACGGAATTTGAAAATTTTCATTCCTATGTTTGATTAGATCTCAGCTTTTCTCTCTAACCATGTGACATCATTACCAGTCGATAGAGCGTCCCGAGACGAATCGAATGATGTATCTCAACATGTGATAACTTATCATAAAGTCGAGTTACCAGCTGAGGCAAGACTGGAGCTTCTGGATGAAGCTTGATATCCTGATAACCTACATCAATGGAAAGCTGGCCTAGAGACGAATCCATTGATATACTTGGATTACCTGTAGTTGCGCAAAGATATAAGCCTTTAAAGTTTGTCTTAAAAAATAAAAATGCGCGTCAGATCTAATAAGTTGTCTGAAACAGCGCGTCGGGTCAAGTGTCAGTCTGAGGCTCTCATCGGTGTGGTTTCCTCGCGAAAAAGGAAAAGCTCAAAAAGTTGATATTTTTAAGTTTTTCTGTTGTAATCGATAGAGCAGCTTCCATATGGTACTGTTATCATATCCGTTTTCGAGGAAAAGCTCAAAAATTGGCGGAAAAAGAGGTCCGAAAAAAATTGTATTTTTTCGGGCTTTCAGGCCTCATAACTCCGTTCATTTCAAAGTTACAAAGAAACGAATCATATCAATCGATTCGTCTCATTATCAGCTTTCCAATGATATAGGGCTTCAAGAGTTTCGATCAACATGGATGACGTCATTGACTTTTCCAGCTTACATCTCAGCTTTTCCCTCAAACCATGAGATATCATAATCAGTCGATAGAGCTTTTTAAGACGGATCGAATGATCTATCTTAACGCCTGATAAGTTATCAAGAAGTTGAGTTACAAGCTGAGGCAAACCTGAAGCTTCTGGATGAAGCTCGATCTTGTGATAACCTACATCATTCGAAAGCTGACACTGATACGAGTCGACTGATATGATTAGATAAGCTGTAGCTTCTCTGAGAGCCGAGATATGAGGCTTGAGAGTCTAAAAACAGCCATTTTCGGACCTTTGTTGACAATTTTTCGAGGACTTTTCGCTGCAACTGATATGATAACGGCACCATATGGAAGCTCCTCTATCGATTACATTAGACGAAAAGACCAACTTTTTGAGCTCACTGCGAAATCACACCGATGAAAGCTTCAGACGACGCGACCCGACGCCAACTCACACAACTTGATCTGACGCTGACTATATTTTTCAGGCAAACTTTGAAGCTTATATCTTGGCTCTCAAATGCTACAGCTTATCTACGTCATATCAGTCGAGTTCGTCTCGTCGTCAGCTTTCTAATGACATAGTCGATCAATTGATCAGACTTGGATCAGAAAGCTTTTTGAAAATGCCTTATTCGATGGCATATAAAAGCGAAAGTAACGTCTTGAGTTGGAACAGTTCTTCTGTCCGTAAGAGTGTAATAAGAAGCTTCCGGAGTTGGTCTTGGAGATCGAAGATCGTTTCTGGAAGGTTCCTAGTTCTTTCCCACTACACGGGGCTTTCTCGACGACGCTCCGCCCACTTTTTCTCCGTGAAGTGTCGCGTGTCGTGCGCATGCACTTTCGCGCAGAAAATCGCGTTTATCTAGAAAAATTTCGAATCGTCTTGAAGACTTCTGGCAACACGGCGGCCTGCCTTTAATAAGCCTTAGCCGTTCCATGACGTCACACGGGAACAGTGGATATTTTCAGCTCCGCCCATCGTGTTTTGGTTTCGCATTTTCTTCCACTAACCGTGTCTACGCATGTTTCTCTATCGATTTAATGAATTTAAGGGTTTTATGAGTCTTTCACGCTAGGAGTTGGTTGTTCAGTTGACCTACAGCTACTGTTTTTCAGTACCACGAAGCTCTGAGCGACTGTGGCTGAAAATACACGGACATTCAGCAGGCGACCGTTGGATATTTGTTCGGTGGGACCTGCCGTGGCCAGAGGGTTCTTTATGAATGCGGCCTCACTGGGATCCTGATTTTCAACGTTAACAACGCCTGCGCTTCTGGCTCTTCTGGTGTCTTTCTCTGCAAGCAGATCATCGAGAGTGGTGCGTTTAGAAATAACAACTCTTGCGCTCCATGGCAAAAGATTTATTCAGGACTGGTGAATTTTCAGGCAACGCCGACGTCGTCCTGGCTTCGGATTCGAGAGAATGGCCGCTGGAAGTTTGGAAAATATGAGCGCTCCTGCTGACGACCGAGCCCCTCTCCGTCGATAAGCCATTGAAGTTCGTGATTGTCCCCTGTAAATTTGGAGCATCGTTGCTGGATTATAAGCTATGTCGAGTCCCCGCATAATTACTTGATCAGGACCATTGAAGCCTGGAAAAATTTGAGGTGTAAACTGGAGCATCGTACAACTGGAGCTTTTTCTCAAAATGG